GAAATGATCGACGTTGCCTTCATACTTAAGGGTTAAGTCCCGCGGTTGACTGGCTAATGGCATCGAACTTATTAAGTCTGCTTTTATTCACTGGATATCAAGTAGGTGTAAAAGCTACGCTCGAGACACGATGGCAATAATTTTATGGCACAAACTGCGCGACGACGACATACGTTCCAGACAATGTTAAGTTTAAAATTGACGCATTAGATTATCTTTTAAATGTTTTTTAGACACTTCTGCGAGAACTATCTAAAAGCTGTCAAAAAGACTTAAAAAAAAAAAGACTTCTTATGCGTCGATTTTAGACTTTTGTGTTATCTGGGATACTTTCTAATGCGCATCGCCGCGGAAAAATACGCGCGCGAGCGAGAATCACACACGTAATCTCTCGCTCTTCTATTGTCATCATATAGAAAAAAAGAAGTAACAATAAGAACTTCGAGACACTCCTTGCCTTGTCGGACAATGGTAAAGTCGATTTCTCAGATCACGGAGATTGTTTTATGATCGATCGAAATACCGAGAGTTTCCGCAAACTTAAATGCAATCTTCTGAAGAAACGTAGATAACTCGCGGAGAAAGATCGGACTTATATACGAATTATGCGGCTCGAACGAAATGATTAAACGTGCTTTTTAGTTTCACACGTCGCGATAAATCATATAAGCGTAATAATTTTCTCGTCAAACGCAAAAATGGAAGACAAATATGTATACATGTATATACTATATACTTATACATTTTACAAGCAGATTCGCTTAGTAAGGGGACCTACGATGACTAAAGTTAAGAAGTATTTAGTTTCACAAGCTTATCTTAGATTTTCCAAAATAATCTGAAAAAAACGCTTGTCGCTCGCACCGCGAGCTGCGCGTTAATAATTTTTTAACCGGCCTATCGTTACGTTAAACTTTCATTTTGTATCGCGGAATGAATGTCAATTAAACGACAACCAAAGTAATCCTTGTTTTTCTTTTCTTTTCTTTCCTTATAGTACTTGCATATACAGGCAACTGAACTGAGAGATTCGCGCACGCCCGCGGGCACATTCCGCGTGCGTTTATCGCAGATTATGGCATTATACGATACGGTGGTACAGTGTGTCGATTGCTCCCTTCGTTCATAGTTTGGTTCGCGTATTAGGGGTAATTAATAACTAAATCGATTATTATTTGGCTAAGGTAAAAACGGAACACTTACTGAGTATGCAAGAACACACTTTGTCAAGGGATCGCGTCTCGCGATCCGTCGACCGTATTGTACGATTGAAAATGTATATAGATATACCCGTCAACGGGGCGCTGTATATATTTATATATATAGTCCTCGAAATTCTATAACTTATAAAAAAAGAGAAGTCGGAAATTAGAAATCTCAGACATGACACGGCTGTAACAAGTAATATCATGTTGTCGTCCATAAATTTATTCGTAACTCTCTTAACTCTAATCATTGATTTTAGTTAATATTCTCTCGCATATATTCTTAAATTCTCGGAACTCTCGCAAGTTCTTCGCAGTATGTTATGGCAACATTTCAACGATAAGCCGCGCGCGATTATAAGTTTTGCCGATATGCTTTGCCATGCCGTGGATGGTCGATCCTCCGATCGCGAAGCTCTCGAAGATTTCGTAATCACCGGTCGTCGGAGACGCGGATTTCAACGATTAACGAACACCCCCTCAGCTCATATCGACGTGGTCGCGTGACAGTCGGCTCCGTTTTGCGTCTGCTGCGTGGCGTGCGGCAACGCCGTGAGCTCGTTCCTGCTGAGATGCTGAACGATTCCTGCCCCTAGCGAGTCGCCGATGACGTTAATGGTCGTCCTGCAGCGATCTCTGCGAATGATGTGCGAGGTGCATATTAAAGGATGCTCCTTAAAATTGTAACGGAAGGGAGGGGGGGGGGGAGCACACTTACAGTAACCAGTCGACCGCGATAATTAAGAAGACGTCGTTGGCCGGAAGTCGTACTGTGTCCAATACCATCACCATGGTCACTAGGCCGGCCTGCGGAATTCCAGCCGCGCCGATACTGGCAGCGGTCGCCGTGATACTGCAACAAGATTAAATAGAATAAATAAATTAAATAGATTAAACAGAAATAAAGCTTTCTTCGCGAGACGAATGGAGAGACTTAAATGGAAAAGGAAAGCTCACCTTACCGCTACCAGCTGTCCGAAGGAAAGAGGGACCTTACGCACTTGCGAGATGAAAATGGCAGCTACAGCTTCGTACAAGGCGGTACCGTCCATGTTTACGGTAGCACCTATCGGCATGACAAATCTGGTGACACGCGGATCGATGCCGTTTTTCTCTTCGAGACAGCTGATGGCGAGCGGCAGCGTCGCCGAGCTCGAGGACGTGCCGAAGGCAGTGACGAGCGCTTCCGCCATATTTGAGATGTACGAATAAGGGTTCTTCTTCGTGAGGAGGAAGTACATCCCGGGCAGCACCAGGAAGCCGTGTATCATCAGGGCGACCAACACGGTCAGGAAGTACATTCCGAGCTGGCCGACTATCTCGTCGAGCGACTTCATCTCCGTAATTTTCGAGGCGACTAGAGAGAGCACGCCGATCGGCGACAACCTGCAACACACGAAAATGTACCCGAGTTCCTTAATTCGAAGAATATAACGCGATGAAGAAGAAACGACGCGAGTCGAGATGAATTTATATATCTCGTACGATAGGATTATCGTGCACAAAATTGCGCGATCGTCGACGGTTACGCGAATTTTCTTTGGGGAAAATTAATGCGTTTCGAGAAACGATTGATACTTTATAACGATTTATATTTGCGAGTCTTACCATATGACCCAGCTGGTGATCTGCATCATAGCGCCGGACAGCGATTCGAAGAAGCTCAGCAGTGGCTTCGCCTGCGGCCCCATTTTACCGAGAGTGATGCCCATCACCGTCGCGAATACGACGAGACCGAGGATATTGGAGCCCGAGACTATCTTCTCCTCGAGTTCCCATTCCTCCATAGGAACTAACAAACATCAATTTAAACGTGAAATTTTTGAGCGAAAATGCCAATTAACGCTTATTTAACCGGTGAAAAAAAATGCTTACTACTGGAATTCTCAGGTAACTTAGGCTCGGTTCGATGTTGAGCGACACAGGCCTGCACGAGATTTGGCGGAAACATGTTTCTAACTAGGTCCATCAACGTGTCGACTGTGGAAACATTTTGCGCCGGCCTTTTGGTCTCCGCGGCGGAACTACCGACACCAGGTTGAATCGAGACGACCAGAATTATACCTAATTACAAGATTTAGAGTTTACGCGCTATCAGCATGCAGTTAGACATTTTGCATCTTTTTTTTTTTCATTCGCTTGTGATCAATCGCGGGAGCAAACTAGCGGCAAAAAAGGTTAGCGGTCGCAATAAAAAAAACCGGCGAGATAAGTAACGATGACACAACGACGAGAAATAGCAATTATTCAGCTGGCGCGATAATGCCACAAAGAAAAAAAAGAAGTAGACGGTAGAGGAAAGGTCGAGCGTGATTGCGATACGTAAGCAGAGTGTCGAGTTATAACCGGCGTAATCTCCGTATCGGCACAATATAAAACGTCATATTTGTCCGTTGTTGCAAAAATATTGTAAAGCGACGCGAACTCTCCCCTCGCGATAACGCCACCGAGTGATTCGCCGCTAATTTGTGTTGTCTGACGCGGGTCGTTCGCGCCCGATTCTTGCCGGCTCGGGGCCGTGCTCGGCGTTAATTAACCGAGATGAGTCACGAGAATTCAGGGCTATCAGGCGCATTCCCTTCTGCAACCAGATATGTAAATGCGGGGTTGTGTCTGCCGCTTGTCGCGTTCACCGTTTCTGAGAAACGTAATCGTTTATAGCTCCCGCGCGCTCTGTCGCGACGTCCGAGATGCCATGTGCGATTCTGTGATCGCGCCGTTTGATGCCGAGCAATCGTTTAACCTTCGTAATACGTTATTTAAAACGCTAAATGCATCCAGCTGTTGCGTTGAAGATACGCGCACAATCGTGCATCTTATCCATTCGTATTAATTACGCGCCTAGACACTTTTGGTCCGCAGGTTTCTTCTGAGCTTATCACGCGCGCCGCGCCGCTCTTATCCCGTAATGCAAGATAATTCTCGACGCGGCTTTAATAAATAATTGTACCGCGCGATCGTATAGAGGCTAAATTAGGCTTTCGCACTGACCTAGGATAACCGCGCAGATGGTCGTGACCATGTAGTAGCCGATCGCGCGCGCGCCGATTCTGCCGCTGAGCGACAGATCGAGCGAGCCGATGGCCGATATCAGACTCGAGATGATCAACGGCAGGATCAAGCTCTTGAGCATCCGCAGGAACAGGTCGCCGAGATAATTGATGTACATGATCTCGCGGGGCGTCCATTTCTCGCGTGTGTTGCGCAGGATGATGCCGAGTACCACGCCGCCCACCACGCCGCAGACCGTCAGTATGGTCAGCGCGTTGTGGCTCAGACACGATCGCATCTTCTGCCCGGCGGTCCGCGGCCTCTTGCTGGGCTCTTGAGGGTAGTACGAGCTCCTCTCCTTGATCTTGCCCTGATTCTCCGCCCCCGACAGCGGCGACCTGGAACACATCGATAACGTTCTTTGATAACATTTTTCTCTCGCTCTTCCTTCGCAAGACTCTCTCCTTTCAATCCCCCTTTTCACTAGAAACGTTTTGCTATAAGGATGACGTAAACTTTTGACGTTCGAGAAACTCACTGACGCGTTAATCTTGGGAGATATGAGCTTTAGCATTTTTTTAAGAACAACTTATACGGACAAATTATTTCTGTTACGTGTACTATTTCTGAGTTTCGAGGATAAAATACGGTAAGATCGCGTGTGTCTCGGCAAAAGATAAGATTGTTTATTATATATAATATATACGCGTACATTTAATTTAATTTAAGAGACACTGCGCAGACGACATGTAAACGCTTCGAGTTCGAGACGACTACTGTAACGTACGAATGGCAGAAGCTGGGAAACTTAATATCTTCCGTGATGGACGTGACTTTTCATAACCGTTGAAAGATAAGACAATAACAAAACTCGTAATGTATGTTTATTCTTATGTATGTCGACAGGTGATATAACTATGTATACCTATAAATACGTTAGACATTTTTTCATCTGTTACGTAGACTGTATTGCTTCCAAAATACATCAGCAAAATCGTATAATAATCTCCCAGAAATTTATAACTTCTTACGAAATATTCAAAGTTAATTCCAATTAATGTCAGTCTGAAACGTTAACTTTGAAAATATAACATTTTTATTTCTGAATTGTTAACGTATTTTATCTCAATGTTGTAAAATTTGAAGCAAAAGAAGTAATAAATAATATATATATATATATATATATATATATATATATATATAGACTCTAAAAATTGCGAATCCAGCTCTTACGAAATTTATTCACTCGTCATGATTACGTGAATCGTATGATAAATGTTTCTAATTTTTATTCTTACGTCTTGCTCGAAATCATAAATAGATTGTGCTTACCCCATTCCATCAGCATTCATAATAGTCGCACCAGGAAATATATAAAATAATTTTATAAAATGATTTTCTAAAATAATTATTAGAATTTATTCTGAAAAATTAATAGCTCATAGCATCGCTAAATAACGCGAATTACATCGAAAAATGTTCTCGTTACCGCGCTTCTTCCAATTCCCAGAACAATCGTACGGTTTACTTCAATAATTAGCACTTCATTATAGTATGTGTATCTAACGCGCGCGATTTGCACGGTTCCCGATTGTTGGCAGCGGCACTTCGCACACGATAACGTTGTCACAAACAATTCTTTTTAGACCCAGATTTATTGAAATTGGCACCTTTCGGTTGCATTACTGGTCTCTTCTGCAGTTAACCGGGAACTGTTTTAAACCATCGACTATTTCAAGCTGACAAGGTTCCAATCTCCTGCAATTCTCTGAAGCGCACATAACGCAATCTCAGCACAGCGCGTTCCACCGCAGGAAATAAATCTACGAGCTAACGCAAAGAAGCGCGCGCGCGTCACGTAGGGGGAAAAAAAGCGTAGAAATGCCTCTGACTTTTTCAAAATCGGGAAATAAGACTGGTGATCGATTACTCGGTCTGACGACGGCTCAGCGGGAGTAGCGGGACGACCGTCCGCGCTGTCAAGGCGAATCGCCTCTATCGCGATGCGGTACGTAACAATACGCGGAAGTATCGATAGCAAACCCACGCGCGATTATATTTGTATATGCAGCTGGCGGCATACGAGGAATTACACTGCGAAATTGTCATCATAGGAACATCTTTTAATGTCGCAAGATAACGATCTGTCGATCTCCCATTGGACAATGTCGCTACATATCTGTGCCAATTAAGAATGTATTTTTCACTATTAAGCTAATACGCGTTTGCTGATACGCGGAGCTGTTGCGAAATTAAGCGGATCAGGCGAATGGTGCTTTAGCTCTCGCCGCTTATTGTCTTAATTCGACAATACAGTGCAGGTGTAGCTTTGCAAATACATGGAAAACATATTAACTTGTCGCTTTAAGTGCATAGGTCGATTTTGCATTATTATTATTTTTGTAATTAAAAACAAACACTTTAAATTATTAACTTCAATTATAGATCTTAATATCTTATATAATATATTTTTGGAAAATGAAATCAACTGGAACGCGAAATCTCCGCTTATTTATAGATGATCACGCTTCGTGACGCTTTGCCGTATTCATCGGTATTTCCATGCGGCATAAATAAATACGTCTCGCGTATGCAATCGCACGACTTTTTGTTGTCGGCTCAAGTCTGTAGCAGTTTTTACAAGTCGAGCGATGCGATTTCAACGCGAAATTTGTTCCGCGTGATTATGCGTGCGACGGCGTAAAGGGACGTAAAAGGCAAAGGTGATGAACCGAGTCCGTTTGCGTGGGCCAAAAGGAGAGTCATTAGAATGAATACGTACACACAATCTGTCAGTCGTCTTTATCTTTGGGCTTACGCAAAAACTGTCATTGTAAGATGTCACCGACCCGACTCGACGACGAGTATCTCGATCGCACGTGCCGCGCTCGGAGAACCGGTCGGAGAGAGATACACTCGCTCGAGCATAATTTTTTTATCCGCGGTTGCGTCATCGATCAAGGACGCGGGCTGGTCGCGCATCTAACGCTTGTCGCGACGAAGGACGCCCCGTTGCGTCCTAATATATGCTGATGATTGCCGGTGACGTCATCGGTGTTAATATAACGTCGCCGATAAATCCCGCTCATTTTGTCGGACGAGTCGAAAACAGAAGTGTCGGATTACCGCGTAATTTAACAAGAGCAATGTTCGGTGCCTGCACGGCGTGGACCAATGTTGCACACTTGGCGCGATCTCTGCCAAGTTCTTCCACCTCGAAGAGCTTCCGGGTGCAGGCACTCGCGAGTGTTATAAACCGCGCGGTAAACGTGACGGCAGCTCGCGCCCAATCGAATACTGCACCGGTCTCTCGTGCGTGGCCCGCGTTAACCTTTAAACCACTATATCGGCCTCACAGACCGCTATTGAAACGTTACTTGTCAATAATTTTCTTATTTTTCACCATTTAAATATATTTTATTTTTATTGTACATAAGATTTTTTTGTTAACCCTCACATTATTGAGGCATAATTAAAACATATTATAGTTTTCCTTTTTCCCATCAACAAATATTAAGAAAACATACATTTTTATTATAATTAAACTTATAAAATTAGCGGAAGTATAAGTAAAGCGGTCTGTTAGACCGACATTGTGATTAGTGTGAGTTTTTTGGGCGTGGTGGTTTAAAAGTTAATAACTGCACGCGAAGGAGAGGGCGCGGTGCGGTGCGACAAATTTCCAAGCTTACGAAAGCTTCCAGGCTCACGGTAACGACGGAGGAGACCACGGACAGCCGCGCACGCAACGCGTGGGCGTTCGTCACGGATCGTTTCGCGGATGTGTTTCCATTATTTCCGTCCCTCGTACCGAAGTTCCGGCGCAAATCCGCGCCGATACGGTAATATGTCACGGGGGGAAGGGGGGGGAAGGGGGGGGAAGGGGGAAGATGGCCTACTTCGTGGCGTCCTTGCTGACCCACTGGCCCGGTATTTTTATCTTATCGTCAAGACGTCTCCCAAACAACTGTGCCTCAACAAGCTAACGGGGATCGGGATTTTTCCATTAGATTTCGCAATGTGATATTCATCACGCGCCGCGCGGCGGACGCGAACGGGAGCACGAGTGGCCTCGCGATGAATGAGAATTTCGAGGTAAACGAACGAACGACGCGGCGACGACGACGTACAAGATGACTTTAATTGTGCCAGTTAATCCGTCGATCGCGCGAACTATGTACACTCGGGCGCGCAACGTCATTCGCAGATGCCGGGTTGACACGATTGGCCTCACGCGACCGTTGAAAAACAATCCGGACTGAACACACGTGCGGCGGGGCAGATGGGAAAATATCGTCCCTGAGAATTAATGCCGGACCACACGCTGATGATAAAACGCGTCGTCCGTTTCCGGCCGAGTCTCTCTATATATACTTTTGCACTGTATGTTTTTTTTTGCGCGGTTTTATGTTACAGTTAATCGACGGCGCTCAACGAATCGCACTGAATACCAGAGTTAAAGGGTATCACCTTGTCGAGTGTTCAACGCCGGCTCGTCTCGAATAACGGGTCAATTGTAACCTTTTCGGTTTAACGAGATGTGACGGCGGAAATAAAAATTTTTACGGCTCTTGAACGCGGCAAATGGCACCATACGTGTTTCGCGGAAAGCGCAAAATCGCCGATCGGCGTGCACTTGTATGTTTGCGTGAAGACCGCACGCTTGTTAAAATACAGCCGCAACCGATTAAAATGAATTAGCGCGGCTATAGGATTAAGCGTGGCTAGAAGTAGGAATAATAAGTTGGCGCAATTTGTCAGAAGAGATCAGCGTGGAAGAGAGAATTAAGCGCAGTTATAGAAACGGGAATAATATACAGGCCTCTTTGCGCGCCGTCTCTCTCACGCTCCAGTTTTTTAATCGTCCCGAATACAAAGCGGGGACAATGAATGGACGAATAAATCGATTAAAGGTAAACATTAATTGGACTCGAGACATCGCGGAGTGACACGTGACATCGTGCTAAATACTCCAATGCCGCGACGTTGGCTCGGGTAAAAGGTCCAAAATTATCCTCGGCCAAACAACTTGTTGAATACGCGCTTACGTAAGAGAGCACACTGCACACTGATGCAATGCATCAGCACACCGATGCAGGTAAATCTTTCTCTCTCACTCTCACTTGTTTATTTTGAAAATCCGACGTCATTGGATGTAAGCCTAAAAAGATTCTCTGTACTACTCAGACGCGTTAAAGCTTAATATTTCATTTACAGAAAGGGAGAAAGAGACGGATAGAGACGCATATAAAGATAGGGCTTGTTGCTTCGCAAATATTTGCCGCGAATTTTGACGTCTCGGTTATGATTATTTCGCGTACCGTGTATATAACGTCATGCGAAGAGACTTAAGTGCGTGTCAGAATAGCGTCTGATTTCTCCGATGTTATATACGACCGACGGATAAAAACCTCCATAAAAACGTCCAGCCTTTTGACTCCCCTGTCTTTACCGTCTATCCTTCTGTAGTTGAATAATTAGCACGCGGGCTACGGTAACCGGTTTTATATACGTATTACGCGTGCACATTGTAACTGACATCTTTACAAGGTACAAGGCTTCGAATGAAGAGCGACAGTGGGATCGCGTGGAAAGAGAGAATTTTTTTCCTCGTAAATCTCGCGATTTAATGACGACTTGAGAATTATCGACGAAATTGTGAAAATTTTATACCGAGGCATTCGTTATCTCCGGGTCGACGCGATATGCAAAGCTCATCAAGAGCAGGTAATTCGATACGTATTACGTAGAATTGCTCACGCAAATGTGAAAATAAACACGCCCGCTGTAAATCAAATTCTATCGATCGCGGTCGATCGCGGGAAAATGCGAGATAAATTTGCAGTTGTAGCGTTCAAAGGCGGCGTGCACGATTTTCTTATCAGCAATAAGGATGAACGCGCGCAACCTCTATATACGTCGCACAGTTTCGCATTCGCGATAATTCATTTCATTGGCGTACTCCCCAGGCCGGATGTGTCTCTCGCGTTCGCATGTTTCGTTTAATTATAATTTTTGTTACACTTTTTTTTCTGTAATCGAGAAGCCTCCGTCATCGGGCTTCAAGGTGCAATTTAAACGATCTATTTGATCCGTACATCCGGAATCTTTTATATAATCCTTTCTGCCGTGTAATTCAAAAGAGAGCTGAAAACGCAGAAGCGAGTGCGTAATGCGAATCACGTATACTTATATATAGGTATATCAGAATGCACGCGATGTACGAAACTATATTATTAAAATAAAATTCTGCCGCGAATTGTAGTCTAAAACAATCGCGCGACGCGCGTTTCCCCCTCGGCCCTCTCACCCCTTTCGGGGCAAGAAGTTCGTCAACAGACTGCGCTGCCGCGGAAGCTGCATCTACGCACATTCTCATTACAATTGACGACGATTTCTTATGCGTTGCACTGCGCTGCGTGCGCGCGCGTAACCGTCGTCGTCTTGCTCCCTCCTCTGTTCCTTATCACAAAGAACGGGGCTTAACAATGATTTAATGAGCAGCCGGCGAGCGCCCGCTGTTGCCCATTATGGAATTCTGTGCCAATGAATCTCGCTGTCGCTGAATGCGATATACGATGCGACGTATAATGGATCAACTGCATACGCGATATATGTATATGTATATATAGGTACGCACGCGGGGTGACGGTATACCATTCACCGGTGTGCGAGTACTCGCCATTGAAATGAGACTTGCGATTTGTAGGTGGCGATAAATTCGTGATGAATTAAATTATCGTAAAATATCGCGTCTTAATTTTCGAACTCAGACTTCTGCACAATCAGACTTCAGACGGAAGTCGTGAACGATACGCTGCATGCTTGCATTTTATCGGGAAACCGGCGATGGAATATGAGATAACGCGCGCGATACACGCCCTCTCTCGTTCTTGTAATATTTATTTTCTTCTAATCGTTGCGATATTTTTTCTACGATTTAGCCGCGCGATAAACGAAGTTTAGATCGTATTATATTGCGATAAAAAAATATGCGTCAGTTACGACGATTTCAATCGTAAGCTTAACGTTTATGCGTTTCAGCTGAATTCTAAATTATTATGTAAGGTGCGATTAGCACATCATTAACTTCTATCGTGACTAGATCGTGACTAGATTGTAACTCTTCATTTACGATTTAATGACTAAATTATAAATGAAGAGTTATGACCAATTCACGGTAATTTTAAATGACTAAAAATACTAATTTAAAATTTAGCTTGAACGCGATTGGAATCGTCGTAAACTCACGCATATTTTATCACGTGATTACCGCGTGAGCAAAAAATATTGCTGAAATCAAAGATACACGGTATCGCCACGAGGAAGAGATTGTTCCATATTATGCATAATTTATCGGTGAAATTAAAATCCATTTTAATCAAGCCTAAAAGTCAACATGCAACCTAAATAAACCAATATGAACGATTTACGTTTTGCCACGCGACAAATGTATGCACGCAAAACGATAATAATTCTTAGATTAAAAGCATTAAAGCTGCTATAAACAGTACATAAAAGTCTGAAAAATAATAATAATCAAAATTTACAATAACTTGAGAAATTAAAGCGCGCTTATGTTTTAAATGTTGAAAAATACGTGCGAATAAAATAATATTATCATGAAAAGACTATTTCCTAAAGTAGGTTCTTGAAATTTTCTTATCGAAAATTGCGTGGCACTTTTTTTTACGAGACACTAAATTCCGGGGAGAACTGGGTCAAGAAGGTCCAAATGGCAGAGGGCAAAGTTTATTCGATACACGTGTCGTATGTAGTTATCAGCAGTCCGATGATGATAGCTCATCATAATAATATGAAATATACAATCCACACAAATGACCTGCAGTAGCAGTTGCATCAGAACAAGTATAAAAAAAATCTACTTCGAGAAGGACATTCGCGTATCGCGACGAGTGCATGCAAGCGCAGGCTTGATCAGGATATCGCCGTTAATTAATCAACCGAGTCATTTGCAAATCATATATAGGCAATCGTTAAGGAGACGAGAAATAAATAGAAATAGCGAGATATCTCGCGCGATAGGAGGGAGATCGTACTTACAGCTCGCTTGCCACTTCCATGATGCGCTTCCTGCGTCCTGTACGTTCCAACGAGAACCGCGCTCGGCAATCGTTTACATAGAGCGTTCACTTCCAGTTAGCCGGAAGCGGCGGCCGTCCCGATGGGGAAGAGAATCGCCGGAGCTGGATCGTCGAGGGGCACCAAGAGCGAATTTGCCTCTGCCTCTCTGTCTCACACTCTCTCTCTTGTCCCCCTGGTCTCCCTCTCAACGTCGCCGTTTTTTTTTTTTTTTTTCGTGAGTGAACACGGCACGTTCGAAGTGGTGACGCTAGCGGCGGGATTTAAGCCGAGAGGGATGAGACGCGATGGAGGACGAAGGAAAAAGAGGTCGAGGACATGCGCGTGGACGACGGGGGATGAAGGATTAGATGCTCCAACGTCGATTAGCGCGCTAGCGCGCGCACGGGTTTCCTCTTTTTTCCCCTCTCTCTCCCTTCCTCCGGCCCGATTCCAGAGCGACGGTATACTGAATTCCCTCCGTGGAATTTAGAGCGTTCGCAGGGATTCGCGGAGATTCGCGATTCGGGCCGATCCGGAAGCTGACGCACGACACATACGTCGTCGATCGGCGACGAGCGGCGTAACGGCGCGCACAAACTGGATGGACGCTGAGTATCTCGTTAGCCAGGAGAGGATGTATGCTGATGGGGCTCTCAATCTGTGCCACCTTGGGTGGTACGATTAGCTATGGCGATTTCCCCCCTATACGACGATCTCTTCCTGCCCGCTATACCGGCTGGCCTATCATCGCGAGATATATACTCTGTTACGAATATACGCGCGCGCTTTGCGTATGCGAGTAAGCGGCTACCACGACCCCATCGGAAGCCACCGGCCAGGGTCCCTATTGTTTGTCGGCGGTGTCCGTCCGCACTCGACTGTGATGATCCACCGGCGGTTACCGCGCACGCTGGCGATTCTTCTCCCGCGTTTCGGCTACGCTCGACAACCGTACCCCTCGCGCGCTGAAAACAAGCCTTCCCTCATCCGAGAACGGATTCCCAGCGCTTCGGGCTATCCTCTCTCCGCGTCTACCCTCTCTCTCTTTCTCCCCCTCCCTCTGCCTCTTCCTCTTTTCCTCCTGATGCGAATCTCGCTCTCCGTTGTTAACTCTTCGACGACACGAGGATCGTTTTAGTGTCACTTTGACAGACAGCCTTCGGAAAGACTCGGGGGTAATGGCAAGAAGTGTGCGGAGTACTCCGAGATTCGCAGGACGATATCACCCGTCGATCGATGAGCAAACAGTCGCCTTTGTTGTTATCTGCAACAGAACATTAACGACGCGCTGTTAATATTGATAATGCGCTGAATCTTGATGTCCCTAAAGCCTTTTAAAACCTCCTCCCGCTACACAGGACTCCGCCTATATCGACGTGTTTTAGCATTTATTTTTAACGTCGCCGAGTACGGCTCGTGATCAAACGCACGATATTAATGAGCAATAATCGCCGGTTGTGTTTTTACATAACGTTTTACGTCGGGGAAAACGAGTGCTCTTCGCGACAGCGCAAACAAATCCGCTCGAATACATTAATCCGATCTCGTTACTGTTTACTCTTTCGGCGTACGCGCGCCCAGCGGTACAGATGTCGGTCGTTAAGCTTTGACACTTGTCAATGTACGAGAAGTACATGTCATCAGACTCAACATCTCTTTTTTTCCTCTCCAATTTCGTACCATATTTAATATCTTAATATTACTTTAAAGAGCTAATAAAAATAAACTTAAAAAGAGCTTTTTCTTCTCCCATTCCTCCCTTTCGTCCTCTCGTCCTCTCTCTCTCTCTCTTTCACACACACTTTTTCCCTCTCCCTCTCTGCCTCTCTCTCCTTCTTACTCTTTGAACAAGTCGATCGATGAATTCTAGTCAACGCAACTGATGCAACACGTGCGCGGCGTGTAATCGTTACATAACATGTTACATTTATGGTAAAAAGATAAACAGCTGTTGATAAAGACGAGGCAGTAAATCAAAAATGTAGCAAGAATTATATTTACCAGCATCTTGCTGAATTGCATCTCTCACCTCCTTTCTGTCTCTCTTTCTCTCGAATTAGATAGTAATATTATTTGTAATATTATTACATATAGTTATTATTTGAATTTGAATAATTGCAATTACTTAAAGCACAGTACTTATCGCGTTAGAAGATTGTAAAGCTAACACCCGAGGCGCGACGTAATTTATTCGCGATCGTTGTTATTGAGCAAGTTTGCGCATTCGCATGCATCCGATTCGATTAGCATCGGCGACGTAGAAAACGGAAGGGGAGGGCTTGGGACGCGACGTTTGCGAGACGCGCGTTGAGTGGTTTGACAACTTTAATTGCCGTACACAGAAAAGATCGACCAGTGAGCTAATCGCGCGGAATAGCCCCGTTTCACGCCCCGAGCAACGTTCGCCGATTCGGCGTTTATCACGCCTTACAACTTCGCGGCGTGCAATCGAGCGCGTGGGACGGGAAAGGTCGGGGAAGGTCCCAAGTGTGTCCCTTAACGAAGATGCCCTCGTTCCAAATTTAAAGCTTCTCAAGTCTGCCGCCTCGGTTGTCGATTAATTCCGATAACCTTCGGCTCCCATAATTGTTTGCACAAGCATTCGTTAATCGAGGTACCGAACTGTACACGACGACCCGCACAGCCTTCGTCAAACTTTTTTGTCATTTATATTTTCCCCTCGTGATAAGCGTGGAAAAACTAATTATTGAATCGCGTAAAAAAAAAAAAAGAAAAAATCAGGTAAAGGATCAAATCGAAGCGAGCGAGCAACATGCATGAAGATATCGTCGGCGATATCCTCGTACATGCTGTATCTGTTTGAAGCGTAATGGAATTTTAACGAGACGCTGCATGTGCTGTGCCGTTTCCCGAGCGGTAGAAAAGCCGCCCCTGATCGTTTCTGCAGAAACACCTGTGTGTAACTAAAGCCCGAGGTGAATTAAGGCCGCCGCGCGCGGATGATAACTTGATTTTGTAACGCGACCGGACGCATGCGGGTGATTCTTTTCGCGAATCGATACGAGCTCTCGCGTACACACGGGAGCACGTAAATCGAGGCACCCGAGACAGCCGTGTTGCGTGCCAGTCATCAAGGCGGCGATATACGTGCACCATTGTTCGTCGTTGCGATAAACACGTCGCACACAATTTCAAAGGGGTTGGAACTTGCAGCTCTCTCTCCTCTCATTTTCACCTCCCTCCCCCCTTTCCCCCCGCCGTAGGAAATTCCCTACCCCGAGCGGTTTACTTTCGTTTTCCCTCGCGTCGTCGTGGCGTCGCTCGTTGTGGAACGCAACAGCCGCGTTTTCTAAGTTCTCACGTCGTCGAACAGCGTCACAAAACGCTCGCGCACGGCCGAAGACGACACAGCAACAACGATTATCGTAACGCGCCGCGTAACTGGTCGCACATTATCGTGCGTGAACGAACGAACGGATGGATGGATGGATGGATGGATGGATGGATGGATGGACGGACGAATGAACGGACGGATGGACGGAAGTATCGTATCATATCGTACCGTATCGTATCGTGTCGTGTCGTGCGTGTGTATAATACGTACGTCGGTGTCGCGATCGGTCGCGCTCCTGGATAACGAGGATCCCAGTTTCTGCACGCGCGACGCGGCGACGATCGCGAGACTGTGGCGGCGCGACGTTAAGTTGCTTCTTTATAGCACGGTGTTGGCGCGGCTAGGAGAGCCGCGCGCGCGTGTGGGACGTTCATGCCACGCGTTCGAAAAGCGCGCGAGAGAAGGGTGGAGTTGGCGAGGCGGGAAAGCGCGAACGAGGAGAAGAGAGAGAGAGAGAGAGAGATAAATCGACGGGCGAGACGCGACGGGATGAAGCAAAAAATCATGCCGAATCGCACGCGCGTGCGTGCGGGCGCGCGGTCGAATATTCTCAATGATCGCGCCGGAGGTCGCGCCTTTCTCTTTCGGCGTTCCCAGCAGCCGATTTTCGGGAGAAGGACGCACGCTTTATTATCGCTTGCCCTCGGCTTCGCCTCTCGTTATCGCCGGTGTTATCCGGTAAAAACCGGCGGGAAGTTAAAATCCCGCGAAAGAAGAAGTGAATGACTTTCGCCAGTCACACGGACGGTCCTCTCGGATGAGAGCTGGCGCAGTGGGCGGGGGGGGGGGGAGGCGCAGCTTCCCTCACGAGGGTAAGGGAAAGAGGGGAAGAAGAGGATATCCCGCGCTCGCGCTCTATACCCTTCCTCCACCACCTCGCGGACTTGACGGCGGTCGCCATGGCGAATTCATTGTCACCCCGGATTCTATCTGGGCGCCTATATTTCCGTCTGACGTGCGCAACGAATCGGATGTCAGGAGGTACTGCCCACGCGACGCGTAGATAGGATCGATAAAACGCCTCCAACCTGAATTTCGGATAAGCCGCGCCGATACCCCGCCAGCTCGCGCCGTCGGTTTAAATCTCGCCACGTGCGACAGCAAAAAAAAATGAGAAAGAAATTCGCGCAACGTCTTCGGTACAGGCGACAAGACACGCTCGACAGGAAAGGGAACACGCGTTTCTCCCTGCAGCGTGTATGGCTTCGGCGAGAAACCGGGCACTGTCGCCGGTGTGAAATTCGGTGCGCTCGCAGCATCCGCGTTTTGCCGCGCGATCGAAGAGGTACGCCACCCCTCTCCCGTTGAATGAACCCTTCCTCTTTCTTTTTTTTATCGATTTTCAGGACACGGCGTCGCGCGCTCGACGGAGAAAAGGAAAAAAAGAGGGAAAGAAACGCGAGAATTTTGTCTTTCCTTTACGCCTCCGCATTACGGAGAAAAGAAACCCGTTTCGTTTCGCCTTCGTCTCCTACGTAACTCGCGCGATATCGCGCGTATATCTATACAACACGAGGCGAATTGCCGTATCCGGCAATCGCGATTCGCGAGACTACTTGACTACATGCGCGACGTGACGCGATGCGACGCGACGTGAGACGACTCCGCCGTTCTTGTTTGCGCGTGAAGACAGGCCGCGGAATCGCGCGGATTAGTCGCTTACCTGACGATAGCGCGAGGATAATTCAAGCCCGCGCGCGAGTTCGAAAAGCGCGCGGGCGACGGGGAAACCGGCCTCTCTCTCTCTTCCGACTCGTCGTGCCTTCGTAGGTGGAGCCAGCGGTCGCTTCCTTGCCCCGACGGATCACTCATTCTGCGGTTTCGAGCTATATTTGTATCTCGGAACGATACTGCGATAAAAGAGAAAGAAAGAGAGAGAGAGAGAGAGAGAGAGAGAGAGAGACTGCCTTGTGTATGCGTAACTAATGAATTTTACAAAATTGCCTTGGTGATATCGAACTGAACAATCGAAAAATATCTTTAAAGTTTCCCTAGAGAAGTCACTTAAAATATAGAAAAAAAATTGTCAAAGACTATTGGAAAAAAAATCAAAATTATATGAATTTATGTCTTGTGCAAGGAAGCTCGAATTATCTACGATATTAAACTTAAAAAAAGATAGAATTCTAAACATTACTTTCGCAATAAGCATTATCGTGGTGCACTATCAAGAATCGGAAATTTCACAATGTAAACTATCTCTCATATTACTCAATGTAAATCCATGTTTCGTCGATTTGCACAAAAATAATATTGATCTTCATATTGCTTGTAATTTTGTAAAAAGCACAGTTATACAGGATTAATGGAAAGACTCTCGATAATGCGTGTATATATTTGAAATATATATTGTATTTATTCAGGAATTATACAAATATTGGCATATAAGTTAGCGTAGCAGGTCGTCGATTACGCATCTGTTTAGTAACGCCACGAAGGGAGGAGGGGAAAGATGCACTGTTTTTTCTAACGGCAGTAATCCGATCTTTCAGTCCGTAATAACGGAAATGCCTATAATCGTTGAAATTAACAAGCGTCATTTAAGTCTGACAAATGGGAAGTTGGTGCGTTCCCCGAATCGCGCGATCCACGGTACAAAGGCTACTTCGTTTGTATCCTCTCCACGACAGCGTATCGAACAGAATCGAGTTGTCCCATTCGGCCGAAACGCGCTTTCGGGCCCTCCCTCTCCCTCCCGCGCGTCGCCAGGAATAAAGAGGAACCTCGACATTTTTTTTTCTTCTTTCGCGAGAACTGTTCGAACGGAGGTCGCACATGAATAACGTCGTACATTTGCTATTGTAATTTAAAACGGCACGTGTTTCGTGAGGCAGACGCTCGTCACACACGCGCGCGCGGGCCGAGCGAGCAGGCCCGGCGGCGGAGGACGGGGCTAACGGGATTATCAATCGGCAAGTGTCCGCGCGCCCTCCCTCCTCCCCCTTCGCCATCCCCCCTGCCGGTGCAGAGCGAGCCAGCGATCGGACTTCAAAGGATTGAGAACCGCTGGCGCGCGTGCGACGCGAATGCGCGGATGCGAGCGCGAGCGAGTCGCGCGACGCGAGGACGGGAGCGTTGCGTACAACCGGCTGCTTTAACGGTGGCTCGGTAACATCATCCTCTCGTTCCTTCTCTTTCCTTTTGTCTTCTTCTCCTTGGCGATATCTCGAAATTATATTTTATGCCAGTTAATCGATTATGATTCGATCATCGTCGCTCGTTCGCGAACGGCGAAGCGAGAATCGGCGGTAAAGTAACGTTAACCGCCCCGGATATATCATTATCGCAGCCGACTGTACGCGATACTTGCGCGCGGATGTACATGTACGAAAACTGCGCGCTCGAGCGTCGGGAACGAATATTCCCGGGGGCCGCACGCAAATGCGTCCTTGTGCGGATTAATTGCTGCGCGCGCGCGAGCGCGCCAGCGGTCGCATTAATTGCGTGCTCTCTTTTCCACGCTCCAACCTTTTTTGCCCTCCGTTTCCCTTCTCCTCCCTTCCCCCCGCGCTCGCGGGGGACGCGAAACGTCGCCCAATTGCGAGCAATTTACTCCGGTCCGCGCGCGCCATGGGTCAATGCTAGATCCGGCCATCCCCGCTGCCGACGTCCGCGAAGCCGGATTCCACTCGAATAGTCCCGTCGTCACCATCGAATATTCCTGACCGGAATTATTCGCGTATGCACGCTCGAGAGCGGAGATGAGAGACGCGGGCGGACTCTGTGTGTATCCGCACGATCTCTCGAAATGCGCTTAGGTACTTTATATAGGGAGCGACTTTGAATGACCATCGGTCGCCGGTCACTGATCTTTGAACGATCGGATCTGTACGGTCGTGAAAGTAAAATATGGCTTGCTTTCTCTTTCTTTCAATAAAACGAAACAATGGATAACAATAACAGTAGGTATACTCGCACGGAACCGTTTACGGGATAGAGAATTTTCCTTAGAATGCTCGAGACACGGCCAGGCTTCAGTGAGTCAATTTGAAGTATTCCGGATGTATTTTGAGTTTAAGAGCCGCGGGTGCCACGCAGCTCAGCCAGCTGACGAGTTTATTCTTGCTGCAACATAAAAGATCCGCGATAATAACGTGAATTATTCAGACAGAGCAGAGCGTAAAGATTCTTTTGATGTGGCTTTCTTCTATTAATTTTCCCGCTGGTTAATGCAAGCTCCTCTCACCTCTTTGGCATGGTTCGGAGCAGCCCCTGGGATAGACACGGGTGTAGCTGCAGAAATGGCGTGCCGACGACAGGGTGAATCGCCTCCGATAATTCCGTGTAATTTAATTTGGAATCGTGAACCGCCTGAGCCTCATTCACGCTTACTGGGTTAATACCGGGGAAATCTAAAGAAAAAGAGAGAGAGAGAGACAAAATTAAAAACGCGCGCGTTTCTCTCACGACAATTTGCCGCCTCCTCTCGGCGATGAATATACGCAAAGGATGATCAGTGTTAATTAATCTAAAACGACATGACGCATTTCCGCTCCGCCGAAATGCGCGTTATCGGGATTAATTAATACCCCGTCGGCATATCTGCGCGAATATTGAAATAGTCGGGCACGTTTGCGTTTATAATCAATAAAACGATGCATGCGAGGGGCAGGGATAGCGCGCGAGTGCACGGCGCCGCAGCCGTTAAATTTCAAGCTGTGCATTACATTCCCTCTCTACGACTTTCGAAAATTTTGGAAAGGCGCGCCCCATGCCGCGCCCTTCTCGAAAATAGATTTCGGCAGGTCACATTTTATTCTTTCGTTAACACCCTTCCTTCTTATGACGAGTCCCGTAACGCTCAGATCATGGATATATATATTTTTTAACTTGCTCGACCCGCAAGTATAAGCCGTCTCCGTCTCGCTGTACCGTCCGGATTACCTGATTTCCATCCATTGAAGAAGAGAACTGGAACACTGTAGCTCATAGACCACAGGATGTGATGCTCGACGACGAGCGGCGTCTCGCTCGTGGAGGGAGCCGCCTCGTGCGGGTCCTCCCGAAAATTCACGTGGAACTCCTCGGGATCGTCGTCACCGTCGTCGGCGGCCGATCCGTCCTCTCTCGCCGTCGGGTCGCACGGTATAAAGTGTTTGACCCTCCTAACCAGATAAGCTTGTCCAGGAATATCCTATATAGCGGGCATACCATCGTTACATGGATGAGTACATGAAGATGACGCCAAATATCGCGCGCTGTGCAACAAATGTGTTTCTCAACCGCTGGCCTGCGCTTAAGTGGTCATAACTTTGACCCCCCGCCCCCCCTCGAAGAGCTCGCAATAATACTGTACGTTTTGAGCGTTTAAGCCTTACAACTTGAGAATTATAAGATTTTAAATAACTGTTCGATTCATTGAATTTTTACAAAGTTTTACATTTGATATACGTTTACAATAAACAGCACAATTAATGCGAATAGATTGCATAATTGTGAACATGTCATATATTAATGTGTCATATATTAATGTTAATCACAATGTTAATGTCCGATGAATCAATTTATGTATTTTATACATCCGTTCGGTCTGCGTGTAATTCGCGCGAGTGACTCGAGACCGACGGGTATATATACAGATGTACCTTGTCCCCGTGGAGCCCCCATCCATCCGACAGCTTGTTTGAAACAACGAGAAACCTTTCTGCATTCTCGAGAAATTCCTCCCATGTAATCGTGCCCGGGCCGTCCATCGGAGTAGCACGAGTCTATAAACATCGAGAAACTCATTTTGGTCAAATGTACCATTTGCAGCGCGTGACAGCTAACAAAGAACCCTCCGCAATTATTTGCGTTCGACATTTTCGCGGTACATTTTGTTTTCCGTGTTTCGAGAGAGACGGAACCTAGTGATTAATATTCTTTTTCACCATCAGGCTAACGCCGTCTCGCGCGATTTATCTTCGGTTCCGACGGCTCCGTCGCTCGAACGGAGCGACGAGGAAGAAAGAGAGAGAGAGAGAGAGAGAGACAGCGAGGGGAAGCGCATAACAGAATTATAGAAGATTTCGTCTAATTTCGCGTAGCGACATCCGTGTTGCGACGTCGATCGCATGATAAAATTGAAAAAGGGGAAGCGGTTCACCCGAGAGAACAGCGTGCCTCCTCTCGCCCCCTCCCCCCCAAACCTACCTTCTCGCCAAACTCTCTATCGCGTCAATTGTCGACTATTTCGCGTCGGATACGTCCGCCGACGTTCGGGCGTAATCGGGCCCCGCACCTCGCTCCCCTGTCGCTCCTTCTCCCTCGCCCCGATCCCCGCGTTCACCTCCCCCGCTTCCAGGGACTGTCGACGTACGCACGCCGATAGTGTTCAACGCACGCACACACACACAGACGCACACACACCGGTGTATCACGGCTCCGGCACGTATGTGTGTTTGTGTGCATCGGTCGCGGTCCAATCGGACGCGGAGTTGCAGCCAGTATCGTACCGCGAACGGGCGCGAGAGCGCGAATTTTGCGCCCCTTTTACCCTCCCTCTTATTACGCCACCTATTCCGCCGCGAGTCCTTTTTGGGACAGCTTCGTCCTTTATTCGACAACGTGCCGTGTCGGCGTGTCCGTCGCGCGGGCTAGAATTTCTCGCTTGTTTTACGCCTGCGCCTTTATCGCAAATTCGAAGTATCGACCTATCCCAATATCGCGCAGCGCGTTTTTAACAACAATATTCCATATGCGTACGCGCGCGCGGCAGCGGCAGAGATACGGTTGCTCGTAGCGCTTTTATATTGACGACGACGACGACGATGATTCGCGAGGATTCTCTCTCACGGGAAGTATCCCGGCGCGCGGAAAACGCGCGCTCCGCCAATCCGCTCCGGCACGGCTCCGCTCGGCGAGATAATACCCTTCATCCTGCACGCCGATATCTCCGTTACCATTGTCAATAACCCGGCCGAGACTGACAATGCAAGGCCGGCGGGGAAATGAAATATTGTAATTTACTAATTTGTTAAAAATATTGTAATTATATTCCGCGACGCAAAAAAGATAAGGCTAATAAACGCTGTCGCATACATATACAAGCGACATATGTGTGTCACAAGTATACCAAACAATAGAATATTATTTAATGCTAGAAAAAACTTTCTACAAGCGTGGCAGCTGATGATTTCAACTTTACGTCGATTTGTTTATAATAATTTTAGACGATTTCAGCGTTATATAATTTTTGTATAGAATATTTCCTAGATATTGACTTCTGTGAAAGTCCGACTGATCGTTCGTACGTTTTTTCAAATTGCAGTTCAGATACCGGTGGTCTCTCACAATTCGTTTTGCAATGCTATTTCTTAGAAAATATAGGATGCTGTTTGTTAAAAAAAAAAAACTTTCTCTACGGGATGGCGTAGGAGAAAGAATGGTGTCGAATAGGCAAAGAGTACCCTTGAAAGTAAACTGAGGTCAGGCTTGTTAATCTTTTTAACCGTAGTAGAAAGTAAGACAACCTTTCGTTAGATTCAAAATATTCTAAGTAACGTAGACGGACACGGTTGTATTCTCCGTATCTTCGATGAATCTTTCCGAATGCGATAGCAACAAGAATATCAGCTCGATTGCGCGTCAATAAGATGATCACTCGCGCGACGGAGGGAAACAGCTGTCAAGATCTGTCGAGACAGTCTCTTGACAGTTGTTTTCCTTCCTTCCTAAGCAATTCCTTCAAGTTAAATACGCGGCCCATATGCGGAAAAATATTCGTTCGTATCGACGACGCGAGAGAAAATCGTCGTGTAACCGAGGAAAGATGGGGCTTCGTTCGCCCTCTCGTTTCTGCGGAGTAGCTCTCGTAACGGCACTGGCATAACAAACGGCGATGCGCGCGCAGCGCTCCCGGCCCGTGGTGCGCGGGACGAGGACGGCGCATCGATACGGCGAGAGAAGCGAGCGGGGAAAACGAGGGGGGGGGGGGCGGCGCGGGAGGGGGGCGCCGAGCGAGCGAGACAGAGCGTAACGATGATACGTTGGGACGGATGGCGGGGAGGAGAGACGGGTATACCCCGCCGACTCATCTGCGTGTAGTCGTGCAGCGCGTGCGAAGTCTACGAGTCACACTTCTGAACTTGCTCGTGTTTACACGACAGTGTAACTTCGGTCCGCTCCCACTCTCTCCGGCTCTGTCCCTCGCGCTCGCGCTCCCGTCCCGGGGTTTATCTCTCGCGCTGTCGCGTCTCTATCGGACGCGCGTGTGCGTGTGCTTGCGCCGCGTACATATCTCGTGTGCAAAGTAACGTGCCGCGGGTGCGTGCGAGCGCGCGCGCGTGTGTGTGTGTGGTGTGTGGTAGGTGTACGTGTATGTGTGCGCGCATACAAATGTGCGCATATGTGTGCGCGCGCATGGAGCTCATATGCGTTATGTACATCGTGGGGCCGCAGTGATACACCGTTCCTGTGTTGCGAGACGCTTACGGTCTGAGCGCGCGCGACAAAGCGAGTTTCGCCGAGGACGAGAGCCGCGTCCGGCGGCGGCAGCGACGACAACAACAACGACGACGACGACGACCATCACCGGGTTCTCGTCTATCGATACCGCGGTACGGTGAGTCGAGGCGAGTCGAGGCGACGACGACAGTGGGCCTAGCGAGCGAGCGTACGAAGTGAACGGACGACAGCGACGACGACGTCGTCGATAACGCGAGTCGGTGCGGCGTGCAAGTGAGCGCGGGCGTCGCGATCGCGCGATCGAAGACAATAGGACGCGCGCGGCGGTGACGCGAGACCGTGGCACGATACCGGAAAGACGGTGAGAGGTGTGCGGGAAGGAAGTAGAAGAACGATGAGGACTTCGACGGCGGCGACAGCGACAGCGACAGTGCTGGCGACGACGACGAGGCGCCCCCAGCGACGCACCTGAATCGCTGACGATTACGACGACGACGACGACGACGACGACGTCGTCGTGATGCGTCGCACCGTGTCGCTCCAGTATCGCGCAGCAGCAGGCACCTCGCTCCAGTTGTGACGCGACGTGTTCGTGACGTGACGCGACGAAAGCGGGACGGAGAAGACCTTCTTCTTGTCGGTGTGCGAGTGAGTGAGTGAGCGAGCGAGCTAGACGGAGAGGTGGTGAGAAAGAGAGAGAAAGAGAAACGGAAACACACCTCCCGCGAGCTCCTTTCTGTGTGCGTGTAGTGAAGACGGAGACGGCGATATAGCAGCGAGCCAGCGAGAGAGAAAGAGAGACAGTCGTAGACTGAAAGAGCGCGCCCAAGTGTGTGCACCTTTTCCTCGGGGTCGCGTTTCGTTTGACACGACGTCGCACGTCGGCGACGTAAGCACGCCGAGCGATTACCGTTCGCCGTTCGCTCGGGTGAGCGAGACAGACGCCGCTCACACGTATACACACGGGGGAACGCGCGTAGCAGCGCGCGCGCGAGTCCCCGATCTCCCGTTCTTTTCACCACTCGGCCGTCCAGCGGCGCACGAAGGAACGGCGGCGCACTTGTGTTTACGCTAGAAGCATTGACCGGCCACTACGGCGACCATGTACGCCAAGGGAAAAGGGTCATCAGTGCCCTCGGACTCTCAGGCGAGAGAAAAGTACGTATTGTATATTGCCAGCGAGCGAGATAGAGAGAGTGAGAGAGAGACAGTGGGATAGAGAGAGGAAGAGAGGAGAGAGGAAAAAAGAAAAAATAAAGATGATTGGCGTTCCGTCGTGAAAATTCCGACCGGCCATTGATCGCTCGGTATAACTCCATTTTTCTCGGGCATCCTCCCGCCTCCCTCCTCTCGCGCGAACCCAGCTCCATCCGCGCGGGCTCTTCTCCCCCCCCCTCTCTCCCCCTCGCTCCCTCCACGCTCCCGCCACCCCCTTCGCCGTCGCCGGTTCTTTTTGCTCGGAGCGTGCATCGCGCGTATATATGCGCGACCGGAGAACCCGGTCCGTCGGGTTAATCCAGTTTACCTACCGATGGCTCCGATGAGCCATCCGTTTGTCTTCCCTCTTCTCTCGCCTTCCTCCTTGGTTATACGTTTCTCTCGTGCGAATGTACGCGATGATGATCTCCCTTACCTCTCCCTCTCTTGCCCCCCCCCCGCCTCTCTGCGCGTCACCATCGCCACACCGCATCCCTCTCTCCCTCCCTCTCTTCCTCCCCGCGAGATCGATTCGAGACTTGATGTGCGAAAGGCTCGATCGTCGACACGCGCCATCGCCAGGAGAAAACTCGCGAGGTGAAAATTCGCGGATCTCGGTGAAATTTTCACATTCGCGAATATCCCGCCCGAATTAATCCTGCGAGAGCGGATTGTTTTGATTTATGCATACTTTTAATCGAAACACCGGGATCTCAATGGCGCGAAACGAGCGACGACCTACAGGACGAAAACATGGGCGTCAGTATATCAATATAATATCGTATAACAGTATATCGTCGGTGGCGCTACCAAGATCGGCAGGGAGTTAAATCGCGCCGGATTAGAAAGTTAGTTTATAATTCATCAGCCGGCTGGCCGATCCCGATCGAATGTCACTCGCGTCAATTCGAATTTGTTCCTGATCGCGAAGTCGCCGACGGGCGACGTTATCGCGGTCATTTAGACAATATCTGGAGTTGTCGCGTTTTTCCAATTTGCGGATTTCCTCGCGCCCTCATCTCCTTCTCGCGTCCTTCTCCGCCGAATGTCAGCGAGCGAAAACTTGAATGAGTAAACTTGACGTTTCAGTAGCGGAACGGGGTTGGGGGTCGTTAACTGGAATTAGCCGGTCATAAACCGCCGATGCATGCGACTGATTGCCGTCGTAATTAGCTTCCCAACTCGGGACACCTCGGACAGTGCCGTTCGTCGGCGGCCCTTTTCGGACCGTAGTTCCGAATTGCGACGCGGATCGTGATCCAATTGATCGGTTGGTTTACCGGGCCGAATAAAATTCCGACCGGCGCGTCCCGAGATCGGAAAATCGAGGATGGATCAGAAAGAAGAAGAAAAAAAAAACGAAACGAAATCGTCGCGACCGGGAAAGACTGCGTCCAGCCGGGGTCTCGCGCGCGTAACCCGCTTTCTCGCGAGAGGCGATTGATCCGCGCCGCGTGCTGTCAGTCACCGCGAGAGAAGCCGCGTACGTACGCGCTTCGCTCCGATTCGCGGATCGGCGGTTTCCGATTCCCCCCTGCGCGCCATGTTTGTATCGCCGGGCCTCGGTGTCTCTCTCCTCTCGGCGCGCGGCATCCGCTCGCGCGCGCGATGCACCCAGCCGCGCGTTTACTGCTGCCCTGCGCGCGGGGAAAGTCGGCGTTAAACTTCACGTTTAACGAACGCGGACCCATGAGGAAACGCTATTGTCGAGGCGTACTTCGAGTTAAGTACGGGCTTTCTAAAAAAGAGAGAGAGAGAGAGAGAGAGAGAGAGAGAGAGAGAGAGAGAGAGAGAAAAACGGAATGACGGATACCGATCCCTCGAGTTTGCGTAACCCGCCTTGCCTTTTCGCGCTACTCGTCGCGATCGAAGTTAGTTTTCGTTCTGCCGCTCGCGAAATCGTCTTCTCAATTTTATAATGTAATTAATGGCTGATCATGTTTTTTTTTTTCAGATTGGCACTTTACGTGTACGAATATTTGTTACATGTGGGGGCACAAAAAGCGGCACAAACGTTCCTGTCAGAGGTACAGTGATTCCTCTTATTTTTTGAAAACTTTTTTACGCCTGTATTATTGCAAAATGCCGTTTTACTGCAACACGGTTTGCTCTGCTTGTCTAGATTCGATGGGAGAAAAATATTACGTTGGGAGAACCACCTGGGTTTTTGCACTCCTGGTGGTGGTGAGTATACCGCCCGTTACCGTTGAAGAAAAATATCGGCAGCGATGTTTCAGCGTAAAATAAATTGTTGTGAAATTCGTTTTCAGTGTGTTTTGGGATCTGTACTGCGCAGCGCCCGAGAGAAGAGACTCATGTGAACACAGCAGTGAGGCCAAAGCGTTTCATGACTATGTAATTATATTAATGGCTATAACGCTCTTTTGTAATTCGCATAAAATTATTCGATGTTACAATATTGAGGCAACAATTCAAATATTAAGCATAATAAATGCGCAAACATTTGTAACGTTTTGCATATTATTTATGACACTGTGTTCTGTTATCAGGGATTCGTGAATAGTGCTTACAACGTCAATGGCATCGCACACGTAAGTTGAAAAATTTATGTCCAGTATATTAATCTATGTATTGTGAAGCACATGTACTTATATAAATTTTTCATTTTAACACGTATTTGCATTGATAGTTATAGAAAATTGATATAACTTACAATTAGTAAATATAGTTTTTTTTTTTATTCAAATATCTTTCTTTCGCAAAGAGGCAAGCGAACATTAGAAACTAAAACTATGATATATTTACAGAATGCTGGGCCAGCCCCATCTCCAATTGGTCAAATGCCACCAAACGACGGAATGCCTGGTGGCCCCATGCCTCCCGCTTTCTTCCCAGTGAGTTTTCATTTGATAACATAAAAATGTCTTAATATCATTCGTTTTGTCTTTACTTACAGACTACATAAAGTAAAAAATCATTATTTGGTTAAATCGGTTGTCACATAATTGCATTTCTATTGCACTTGATACATTTGTAAAATATATTTTACAGAATTAAAAGAGATTTGTTCTATTCCAATCAAATCACTTATTATAGTAATTGCATCTTTTCGAAAAAGATTTCAAGTAGGTTTTGCACAAAATTATTACATAATTTGGAAAAAAAGTTATTAACGCTTCAAATAAAATTTAACATCATTTCCCATATTAATCTAAATTAATATGTATATTTTTATACACTAGATATACATATGTGTATGTGTGTTACACACATATCATCGTTTATCCATCATTATTGTTATGCATAGTTCTTGTTTAAAATTTACACTTGATTCAAAGCATAATACAATTAAGCTGTTTTAGAAGCTATTTTAGAAATCGAAACCAAATTTAATAATACACCAAAAAAATAATAATTTCAATTTATTTAATAAATCATAGGAGGAAATGGACAATACTTAAATAATACTTTAAAGAATTTGTTAATATTTAATTTAGATTATTTGAAAATACAGTTATCGATATAGATAATTATAAATAATTTTTAAATAAGTTACATGTGAATATAGGTGACAGAACCGATCTTTGTACACGCAAATTTTTTTCTTTTTCTTTTATTGATTTCGATAAACGAATTATATGTCATACATTCCTACATGAAAATTGTTTAACTAAACATATTTATATATCCCCATTAATACCGATAAATATTACACACACATTAGCCGTAGTCGTGATCAACTTGTTTTGAAACAAGTGTACATTCAAAAGACGTTCTTATGTCATGCTTGTCTATACTGTATATATGTACTTACTTTCTCTCTGCTCTCTATCTAATACTTGTATGTGCGTTCTTGTACCATTTTCACTGTTTCATCTTCTTGGCGCATAAAGCAAATCTAGAAACTCTATGAAGAACAGGATTATATAGATGTTAGAATACATTTAGAGCACAATATTGTGGTACAGTAAGCATATCATGAGGGAGTATATTACTTTGCGCTGGCCATGTCACAGTAATCCGAAATATTACCAAAAAATACTACAGGTAGAGACATTACTGTTTTTATTGTTGCAAACATTTTTTTTCCAAAATACAAAATTTCAATTTTTCCGGATCACATAGTCAGCCAAAGTTATACTCTTTAGAATGTATGGGACAACTAACATGGAAGCCTGCTTAGAAATGTAGTCTAGTTTTTTTCACAAATGGTCCACGACATTATTTACATTATTTGACAAACGTTAAATTTTATAGATACTAATTATATATTATATATGATTAATTATATATAATTTATGGAAATAATTGAAAAGATGATTTTATTTTAAAGATTTCATTTAATGTGATATGTGTGTAAATATGTTTATAATTCCATAATTTTATGATTTAATAATTATACATTTATTAAAGATTGCAACACACGGAAGAAATTTTCGATCTTTTCCATTGACATTTGATTAATATTTTATTTGTATAATGATATAAATACATTTATATAATTGATATCATTGACATCTTAATGAAAATATTTGTGTCAACAATTTATGTATGAAAAACATAAATAATATAAAAACATAAAATGTATACGGAATTAAGAAAATGAAGAAAAGTTTTGCATTTATTGCTTGTCAAAAAGTAGTCGTCCCCTACTAGATTAGACAAAAATAATATGCTACACAATATATAAGCGATACAACATTTGTTTCTAGATCTCTCTACATACATAGGTATCCTGTAATGCTTAGGAGTCATCATATGTCTTTCCAACGAAGTCGTTTTACGTTCCATAACGCTGTACATTTTACAATTAATTGGCATCTTTTCTCTTGTATGTCTCGTTTCATAGTTTAATGTTTTAAAAGCGATTCTCGCATACAGGTTGTAATTATGAAAAGTGTGGTGCATAACGACAGACACTGAAACGTCATTCGAACGATTTTTCCTAATTACAACTTTTTCTCTCGATTAACTTAAGATGCTGAGACCGGATCATAGTATTAACACAATCATCCCCCAAAAGCCTTCTAGTCTAGCTGTTGCCTGGATCGCAGTGTTGCTACATGTCTGTCGTTTGCGTTGCTTGTTGCAGAACAACTCGACAATGCGACCATCTCCGCCCACACACCCCTCATCACAGCCATCCCCCCAGCACCCCCAGCCACCCCCGCCCCCACACTCGCAGATGATGTCCACCCAGGTAAGCCTCATTCAACACATACACTCTCACTCATGAAGAATCACTTGTTCCGCTGTGTCATCGCACCATATCATGGTATAACCGAAAGCAATTCATAATTGTCGTTACATTCGCTATAATTGTTTCCTTTGTGATGTTCCTTCATGATTTTGTTTTTATACAGAAATTTATTGCATAAGGGTTTCATCAAGAGACTTTTGCGATAATTTAAAATATTATATTTATACCATAAACGAATCTCTCTCTCATCTGCAGTTTGCGCTTAGGAACGTTGTGTAATGATATAACCAACTAATGTGCTGCGATGAACTTGAAATGCATATTTTATGGCCTATCATCTCACGGATTGCTTATTGTGGCTGCCTGATATTTATACTATATCTATAGTCAATTCTGTGTATAGTAATCATGATTGACACTTTATGGATACCTAATTTACACTTGGAAATTACATTTCGTTGTAATATGATCAATTTGATGAATGCTCGCTTTCTGTTACAGTTTATGGGCCCTAGATATCCAGCTGGACCACGACCTGGAGTACGTATGCCACAAATGGGAAATGACTTTAACGGAGTAAGTGTGAAAACTTAATCTGTATATCACGATTATTGATTGATTAGATTTGTTAATATCTCAAAATATAGTGTTTTAATAAATAAAATTATAATATATATATATATATATATATATATATATATATATATATATATGGCACACACAATATACCAAAAGTCTATTCATGATATTAATTCTTGAATATATTTAAATATATGTATGAGAGCTGTATTATTATACAGCTATTACAGAATTATAAATTCACAACGTTATTTCTGTTTCACAGCCACCGGGACAGCCAATGATGCCAAATAGTATGGATCCTACCAGGCAAGGTAAGAGATCAATTTATATGCCAGTGTTACATTACTTTTTTCTGGCATTGACGAGAGTTGCGAGAGAAGAATGGCATAGACGCATGCGTACCAAAAACCACACAGCAATAAACGAATAAGTAATATTTTAAATTGGATTGGATTGCTGTGATGTGGAGTGGATTGGTTTTTGAATTGTCTAGTTACAAGCAGTGGTGTAGTTTGCGTTCGATTGTTACTGCTAGATATTCAGTCTTGTGTACTTAGTATGTATTTCAATGGTTCTCTTTAACAAATATTTTGATTGATTGCTTTTGTATTTTTTAATTTTTTTTTTTATAAGTAATTTGTGTCGTTACATACGTATTTTTTTCAGAATATTCTGCCATTTCATAAATTAGACTTTAAAAAAAATACAATTTACGATATTTCGTTCTTAAAGTATTGCAAATATTCAAGTATTAACGTATATTCAAGTATGAAAATATGAATTTTTATTGAATAAAAAAACACGGCTTGACTCTCAATACGTTTATATGATTAAATGTGTAGCTGTCAATATAATTTATCCCAGTATGTGCATTCGAGAGTAACTTTTAAATAATTCTTTAATATATAACTGTTTAATTCAGAAAGAATTTTATCTGCTATACCACTGCAAAATAACTAGGCTTTACCACCATGAACCCGACCTTACCTACCTGCCGTACTAATGTGTGCTCTTGTGTTCCTCAGGCGAAGCTGGAGAATTTGTAGGGTGGCAAGGTAGGAAGCAACCCAAATCACACTCACATGACTTAGTCAAGCCTAACTTTTATTTTTTTTCTCCTCCTTGCCTTTGATTTTATTTTATTTCCATTTTCATAAAACGGTAATTGCACCGGCTTTGCTCTTTTGCAAAATGATTTGCTCATCCGAACTAGCATCCAGCATGACAATCGCAATTGAGTGCATTAAACGTGTATATTTAGTTATGTGCATAACAAATAATATTTTTTTTATGTGGTTTACGAGAATTTCATTTGGCACACTATAATAACTCTGTGATACTTCATTCCACGTTTAAGATAAGAAAGATCGCTGCTAATAAATGTGTGCAAAATATTAGAGTTAAAAATATTTATGTATATGTTAATATCTCTACATTAATTGTACATGTAATGTATCATTTTTGAATTTTCTTGGACATTTTTTAATTAACACAAAAAACTATTTATATTTGTTAGTGTATTATAACAAGCTTACATTTAATATTAATTGAACATTTTTGCGCATTATGAGATCATGCTATATGCAGATGGAAAAGATAGGCTGATCATGTTTGTGTTTAACAAATATATATTTTCAGAACATTAATTATCATGTTACGTTCTGTTATGTCCTGAACGAAATAATATTCAATTATGATCTATGGGTGTTACACGATAAACTGTCGCATAAAGCCAAGAAGTGTCGCTTTTATCTGGAATTAGGTCTTTTGAGAATTTTTTTAATAATACAGCTAACGAAAATTATTTTGTCTTTTTTTTATGTTTGAATGTATAATTCAAGTAATAACTGTTCGCAATTTAGTACCATGCTGTTTCTTATCTTTAGCATGAGCTTTTCACTATGTTTTTAATTTGTGTGGTGACAGTTGCTTGACCGGCATGTCATCCACCGGCTTTACCTCGAGCTCGCCTTTGGCAAAGCATGACTCTCAATTTTCGGCACTTCGAGCCCGCACTTAATGTTATATCGCACATTATGGAGCCCAGTCTTATACACAAGTTACTTTATCTTAGAGTCTACAAATCCACGATTTTTGTCGTTTAGTATCCACAAAATCGTAATTAGCAGTTAGCATTAACATAGAGCTAGACCAAAAAACGTTAACAGTCCCGTATTTAACGATCGAATTTACTAGACTCCACTTTCTACCATAGGTCCACCGGGAATGAACCCAATGAACCCGAGAATGAATCCTCCGCGAGGTCCAGGGATGGGACCGATGGGTCCTGGCAGTTACGGTCCAGGCATGAGAGGTCCACCGCCCAATAGCACTTTGGGCCCAGGTGGGCCGGGAGGTCCTGGAATGCCACCGATGAGTATGGCCGCTCCGGGTGGTAGACAACAGTGGCAACCCAACACATCTACGGTATAGATAAATACATATTAATTTTTATTTCTCGATATCTATTTCCAATATTTAATTCTGTATTAACGAATACGAGCGTCTAACATCTCATTGTGATGCAGCCAATGAATTATTCGTCGTCATCGCCGGGCAACTACGGAGGGCCGCCTGGATCAACGGGTCCGCCGGGACCCGGTACACCTATCATGCCTAGCCCACAGGATAGCAGCAACAGCGGAGGAGAAAATATGTATACCATAATGAAGCCTGTACCTGGGGGAAATATGCCGGGTGTAAGTTACTAAATGATAGCAGCTATTATATTTTCTGTTATATTTAATTTTTTTTTTTGCTAAACTTTATTGCAAATTTGTTTTTAATAAGTCGCAAACAAGTGATTAATGTTCCAAACGTTTGCGTACCTGTATTACATGCGACATAAATGTGACATAAATTTTAGGATTTTCCAATGAGCGGCGGACCTGAGGGCGGTCCAATGGGACCCATGGGTCCCAATACGATGGGTCCGGTTTTAAACGGTGACGGTCTCGACGGGATGAAAAACAGTCCAGCGAACGGTGGTCCTGGTACACCACGGGAAGATAGCGGCAGCGGAATGGGTGATTATAATCTGGGTGGATTCGGAGCTCCTGGAGAGAATGTAAGTATGCACAGGTTGTTTAATGACTTTTTCTAATGGTCACTCGACGTGTTGTTGTTGGATTTGTATGTCATCGTTTTATCTGGCAAATCACCTCTCTTATTCATCATCTTTATATATATATATTAATGAGCGAATCTTTAAAATTTTATTTTAAATTATTATCTTTATTATTTCGTCATTTTTGCGGCATACGAATCCATGTTACAACTTGTTGCCCTTCTAATCATCTCAATTAACAGCCACAAGCGCTTCTATCAGTTCGGCGGATATTCACATATTTTGCTAAAATAATATGGGTTCAGTCTCGTTCAAGGGATTTTATCCTCAGCCTCGCTCCAACAGGCTTGTTAATGCTTTCTTACAGCGTATCATTTGTCCCTATAAATTTCTCGGAAGGTGTTCTGTTTAATCACGCGTCACATGGTATTTTGGTAAATTTAATCAGCGTTCATTTGGTCGCATCTAATATTTGTCATAACCGTATTCGCTGAAGTTGCGTCTAACTACTATCACACTAACAACACGTCTAACGATGCAGTAAAGCGGGCAGAAAGATGACAAGACCTAATATAATTTATTTTATTATTTACATTGATTTTATGAAAAATAATTTATACACATTTAAATGTCTCTTCTTTCTGCGTGCTTTATAAGGTGAAACACCAAATTACTTTCGTGCGACAAAGTAATCGAACTTTTGATTCAATCGCGTATACGATTTTACATGCTAATCTTACATGTTTTATGAGATTATCAGTAGGATATAACAAGGAACAGTCACGACGCTGTCATCTTCGATTTTGCTGAAACTTTAGCGATTTTGCCTGATAATTGAAAATGGGCAAGATTCTTTTGTTAAAAAAATGTACACTTATGAGACGGAATTAGCTCAGTCTCGATATTCAAAATAATATTTGTAAATTTATTTGAACATGTTTTCTTTTTAATTATTGCGTGTAGCAGTAGATATATATAATTATAAACGCGTTTAACTTTTACTACTCCGTTTTTACTCAATTTGACGCTCTTACAAATTTCTTATCAAACTTCTTTTGTTTTTCTATCGTTCGCACGTGTAATTTAATCTTTTAAAGAAAGTTTTTACGAGTAACCAAGAAACGTGTTGTGATAATCTTCAGTTATCTTGCACAATCCGCAAAGTTTTGTCGTAATCCGGAAGTGACGGCGTCGCGGATGTTCTTTGCGAGGCTTGCGAAGAGAGTTATCAGTAATCACGTACGTGCACCTTCTCTGTATTCTCGACAGTTTTTTTAAAAAATCAAGTCGCCTTGGAGCCAGCCCCGAGTTCGTAGATGCCGTAGACTTCGCACGTGGTGTGTGCCGGTTATATACATGTAATGCGGAAAAGCATCGTACGCGGATTTCGCTGCGTATTCACGTGTTCCATGGTGCGTTCCGGCTAATAGTTTCGCTATAGTCCGGCACATATGTAGTTTCGCCGGTGGTTCAAGCTCGTAGCAGGCCAGAGCGAGAAAAGAGAGAGGAAAAAGTAATGATACTCGTGCGGTCGTTATCGATTGCTCCTGCTCGATTAGGATTAGCACTTAAGCGCTCATTAATTGAACCGCTATCACTAAATGGCGCAGATACTTGAACAACGATTATTCTTACACGCGCGCCTCGCCGTGTATAGGAATACGATATGTATATGCTTTCTCTAAATACTCAAAAGGTTGCAAGACTAGATATTTCTTTTTTTTTTACGTTACTATGATTACACCAGGGATTGAAAACGGTATAACAAAAGTACCGATTACTTGCCGGTTTGTTTTACAATTGAAATATATAATCAGAATATATAATATATTTTATACAACACATATATATTATATAATTAAAAAACCAATTAGTATAAATAATATCATCATAATTATACATAGCTTTTTGGTGTTATAACGATTGTATTATTTAAAGTGCTAACACATAATAATGCTAACGCGTGAATATTAAATTGGTTTAGTTGATTGATTGATTTATATACTCTTTTTTTTTCTTTTATAACGGAAAAATTTGCTATCTCGACTGGATACCGCGTTTGACGTCGAATAATATTATTCAAGATATTTATCATTTATTGTGAATTTATAAGAATAAGCATGCACACGGTATCAGAACAATTGCTAAAGTAAAATTATTTCGATCTTCAATCCCTGGGCTATACCTATATTTTACTACGGAGGTAGTTAATATTTACTTAAGATTTGTCAGATTATTTTCTATTATTTATATTTATTTGACAATTATACATAGGTCGTAAGTAAAGGTGCCTGAAAAATCACGTGAAGATTGTTACATAAGACAACCCATACATATACACACTTATACACACATTTTCACACACACACACACACACACACACACACACACACACACACACACACACACACACACACACACACACACACACACACACACACACATACACATACACGATAGGATATACGTATATAACTGTCTGCTACTGTGATTACTGATCGCATAATTATTAATCGATTTTTACGCTCTTGTTTTCTTTTTCTTTTTTTTTTTTTAATCTCGTTTGAACGCACCACTCTGAGTTGTATTTGACACTGAGTTTGATGTTTCAAACCCCGTTTCTTCACTGCATTATAGAGTTAACGGTGTAAACTGTAAACGATTTTACACGGCATGTGAGAGAATCCCTTTGCGAGAGGGGACATCTCGCGCGCGCGGTCTCTTTACACCCACGTGAATCTCTTAGCAGTTTTAACTTTCGCACATGTTGCAATAACGATCACGAGACTCTGTAATAAGGTGAACAGTCTAGGCAAGCTCGGACCGAATCCCTCCAATTATTTGCTCACAGTCTGCTCTCTTCAGGGAGCAGGCGTTCTGTCCTTCTTGCAGTCGTCGTTAGCATTGCGAAATGGAAATTGATGTATTGTACGTACGTCTCAATCACGGGATACACCGTTTCTTTGCTCGCGAACGCGTGTGAACGGATCAACGGATTAAAAGTGATTTTTTTTTTTTACGATGGAAGCTCGCGCGTTTCTGTAGAATCTCCGATTCGCATTCCCAATCGGGACATCCACATTTTCGGGATGATTAGATTAATGTACTGCGACATCGCGTCGTGCTTCTAATCGTTCTCTCGTGCAGTCTGTGAGTGCCGCCCGTGCGGTGTAATAAATGCGTTAAATTAACTAGAATCGTTCCTATTTAATTTAAATTTATTTTAAATTCGTGCAGAATCAACGCGCGTGTTTCGCGCTGACCCGCTAGTGCTCAGTTTCGCCGTCGTTTCTCGTGCAAAGTATGTAAAGCTCGTCACTTGCTCAATTTTTAGCGTCACCGTCGTAGGACGAGAGGTGGAATCTCTTTCGAAAGCAGATTTTTTTTATTATTTTTTTTAATTTTTAGTTTACGTATACCTTTTATTCGTTTGGTGCGACTCGAGCAACGATGATTCATGTAAATTTTAATCGATCGATATAGCTTTCACCTTTGACACTGGTAGCCGATTGACATTGTACAACGGTAGAGGCGGATTTCTCTCAGCGTAGCTTCGACGTAGCTCGAGATCACGCGGTAATTGCGAGGCGAATGGCTTACTGCAGGTAGCTTAAACGAAGTACTTGAGAGAGAAAGAGGTACATAAGAGAAATATATGTTATATATGTATGTATATAATATATGTGTATATATAATTATATTTATATATATATAATATATTAACATACATGTATATATAATATATATGTATATATATGCAAACGTTATTATTTTTGTATGAATATATATATAACGTAGACATGCGAGTACTGAACCTTAGAGAGCGAGTGTAGGTAGAGAAACGGAAGATAAAAAATGCGAGATGAGGGTGAGAGAAGCGAGAGATTTCCCGGAATCCATCCGTCCGCATTGATTATAGGTCAGTACTGGACTATACTGTGCTGCTATTAATTATGTTTAAATTAACTTATAGTGCCGAGACATCGATGGAATTTTATGTAAAGAAAAAAAAAAAAGAAAAATACACGGAGAGAATGCGGGTGAGAGGGAGAGAGAGAACGAGAGAGGAGGAGTGAATGTGCGTATGCGCAAGTGCATGCTCTGGGACCAAACGGCAAGACGCTGCAAGTTTTTTTTTTTTTATTGTCCCGTTGTGAAAGCTCGTATTTTTTTCCTTTTTTTTTTTGACAAAAGCTACCTTGCTGCGAACGTTCTTGGGCGTTCTTTAACGCTTCTCATTTCGGTTTGGGATCGTGGATTAACAGATTGATCGTTACGAAAATAGGGTGTTTTGCTTCACACCATTTAATATATATATATATATATATTTATATATTTTATTCGCAAAATGTGCGTGAAGACATTTTGGCGCAGGTGTGTAAATGACGTAACGAACATCTCGGGGATAAAAGTACACGAAATATTAATTATCTGATAAAGTTGCGACCGCGAAAGAGTCGCGCGGACGACGACGTGGTGGCGGGTTTATCTTGTAATTAAAGCTTGTCACTTGATCAGGAATTGTTTACCGCCTGTCACGAGAAAGAGCGAGAGAGATATATATTGCAGGTCATAGCAGAGCGCACTGCTTGCCGATATCCCGGAAGTTCTTGCCGTCTTGCCGTTTTAAGCCCGTATACGTCAAACGGAGAAAAGAAAGTACACGCGCGCTTGTGGAGTCGCATAATCTTTTCTTTTTAATGCGAGGACGTACAACATACGAGTCAATGAGTGAAGGAAAGAGCTCGGCAAAGAAGCGGCGCATTGAGGGTACGAAGCTTGAATACGCGATTTCGTATGAGAAATTGAGCACCTTCGTCGGTATAATTTGCGCGACGCGCTGATCTCTCCACGACAGAGAGTCGTGGACTTTCCTCGAGCGGAAACAATCGTCGACGACTTTTGTCCCGCCGACGTTGTTCCTCGTTCGTCGGTAATGCAAACAGAGACTCGCGAAACGCGGACGTACGCAGTTTGGTACCCTTAATGCCGAATTTACTTGATATTACTCCTCGTTGTAAGCCGAAACCTATTCGCTGGAATGGATAACATAATTAATATATGCCTATAAGCCAGGCGAGAGATCGAGACAATAAATGTAATCGTTACACTGAGATTATTGCGTTTTTCTTTTTTATTTACGAATTTACAATTCTTCGAGGGGTGCTGGCTATTATCGTATTTATATATAACTATCCGTCTCCGTGTATTTGCACTTGTGCTAATCACACAACAACACACATCACTTGTGTTTCACTCGTCGCTTTGTTCGTACCATCCGTCCGATTAGCGCGAGATCAGTGTCTTGCTCGCGCGAGAACGAGAAAGAGAAAAATCGCTGATTTTTTTTTCAAGCCGACTCTCGGATCGCCGACCCTCCGACACTGATCTCCGCTAAGCCGGACGTTGCACCACTATCGCTGCGGCTGTGGAACACATTGTCATGATCGATGTTGCACTCTCGTTGAACGTTTCTCGAGTGTTTATTCACTTGCGTGATGAGATACATACGTAAAAAAAATCGGACTAGAGCAGAACAGATAGCTGTATATAGTACTAGCCTGTACTGACCTGTAGCACATGGATGCGTCAGCGCAAAGCGTATCGATGGATTGCGAGATCGAGACACGGAAAGTAAGCGGAGACAAAAATTCCGAAGGGGGCGGAAGAGTGTCCTCCGCTGAAAGGGGGGATGATGAAAAAAAAAACATAAGTGTGTGAAGGACGACACGTCGAGTTTCTCTAGAGTACCTTTTTTTTCACTGTACTACCTGTCGTTTATAATCGGTGAGGTGTGCGTGCGTGGGGGGGCAGGCGACGATAATGAATTTTTCGTTGTGTTTAATTATTATTATTGTTATTATTATCATCATCACATCATCATTAATATTTATTATCGTTATTATTCTTATTGCTGTATTATGTTCGGCTCGACACGGGCTTCACTATCTTACGTAACGTCCATGTGTTGTGGGTCAGAGCACCCTTAAAGCAAAACAAGTACCTCAAGCCCCCAACTTTTCTTCCGGTTCCCGACAACGAGACCGACACACCTCCATACTCCAGAGTGTCCTGTCCCACCGGAGTTTTTCGTTTCACGAGCCCGGCCCCTTCACACGACGCACCGCCATCACGTTGCGCTTTTTAAAAAGCGTTTTTATTCACCGGCCAGCGTTTTCGCACACGGGGGTGAGGACGGATCTTGTTTCGCGGGACTCCTCGGTTACGTCCACATCCGTGGCTCCCATCCGTCGTAAAGTCGCGAAAGTCGGATACGTTCTCGCGCCGTCTGGCCGTAAGAAATTAACTGGCCAGATTCCTGGCACACGCGTTCCTTTATTTAACGTGCGACGAGAGTGGGAAAACGTTCAGCTCCGGATACGAAAACTGGGCCTTATCCTTAACTAGAAATTCGCGACGCGCGCGATTATACCGAGAGTCCCGCGAATCTCGCTGGTGAAAGACGCTGCGCGCGGAGAAAGAACTTTGGGCAAGGTTGATGGGCTTGCCTGATCGTTTACGTGTAACCGGCCTGGTGTTGGTTGATTCGCAGGATCAGACCGAGTCGGCGGCCATCCTGAAGATCAAGGAGAGCATGCAGGAGGAGGCGAAGAGGTTTGAGAAGGACTCAGACCATCCCGATTATTTCATACAATAACTCTTCACGAGTCGTTGGACCCCGACCAAATTAACAATATAAGAGATAAACGCAATTTTTCCTTTCTTCCTTTAGTCCGAGAACCATCTCCATCCTCTCTCTCCCTTCTCTCGTCCCCTCCCCCCCACCACCCCTACCTCTTCTTCGTCTCCTCGCAGTGAAATCACTTGTGCATCCGTACGTTTTCCTTTCCCATTCAACCCTCTCTCGGATGGAAACCTTTTGATGCACCTCACCACATATAAAGATCTTCCTCTCCTCTCTTCTTTCCGAAGCCGTCGAACGGCGTTAGATCGATCTCCGTGAGGAAGGGCGCAAGAGACCCCCTTCTGCGCGCATTGCTGACCCCCCATCCTTTTTGTCGCGCGCTGCTGCAAGGAGGACCACGATGTCAGGACGGGAGAGACCGACCTTCGTGACAGAGACAAAGAGAGAAAGAGAGCATCGAATTCGCGCGACTCTCGCGCGCGACCGACCGACGTTCTCGCACAGCGATGTTGTACAGTATCGAACATTGATGGTGTTGTTATCCTTGGGGGAGGGTGCTCGCGCCATTTTGAGCGAACGAGTAACCGCGGTCAAGCTCACTTAAAATTTCCCTCAACGTGCCGCTCTCGCGAGCCAATCAAAGCAAACCTGTATCGGATACTCGCAATAAAGAGTTCTTTTTTTTTTCGTTCTGCATTTCCTTATACGAAGTAAAGTATTTCTCGAACTTTATTTTTAGTTAAAAAATTCGCATTTCCTGCGCGTTTGTTATTCGTTCGCTTAGCGTACGTCCAACCCTTAGGATGCGGCCGCGAACACTGTTCCAGTATCTCTTACTTAGTACATGACGAAAAGAGAGAGAGAGAAAGAGAGAGAGTGTGTGCATGTGTGTGATAGTATTATATTAGCGTAAACGTTAAACTTCTGAAAATTTTTACGATCAGGATCACGGTCGAATTTCCAGGATAAGCCCGCGAAATTTTCTAAATAAATATTCTTGATCGTAGTCGTCATCCGTTCCGCGCAACAATCTCTATTAAGAACTCTGTTATACAGCCAAGTTCGTACAATCGAGGATTGTGGTCGTACAATTTAACTATGATTAACTCTTTCTCTGTAGCTGAATTCAATTGATTATATTGATTTGGCAAGAGCCAGGCACGAGTCTGGTCGTCATAGTCAATGCAACTGTGAGGAATGTATCGTTAATTGAGACCTGGTTCGAGGAAATTCAAACCAGGTCGACGTCGATCAACGTCGTGAGAGCCGCAAGACGGATGACTACGACCGCTTGAACTACCAGGAGGATTAATCTATCGGAAAAGAGAAAGAGAGAAAAAGCCAAAAAAAAAGAACACTTTGTTATATAGCTGTTATATGGAACCATGGATACGTAAAGTCGTCAGCAGTGGCGCGATAAGACGTTTACGACGGCGAGGACTAGAGCTGCGTCGCCCAAACGTGGGAGATCTTTTGGTATTCCGATTGGCGTCACGATCGCGCGAGGACCAAATTTATTTCTACCGATACGATAAGTATTGCGATTATCTCGGCACGAACGATCCGAATGAATTTACGAAAAGAAAAGAAGGAGCGCTCAGTCTCTACCGGTTACAAAGTATTCTGCCAGGATCTAAACTTCTCCTCGATTACGTTCCGCGATGACCGATCGTGACGTTTCAAGGTATCGCAATCCGAAACCGAACTTGAACCTTCGCTGCAACTAATCGTGGTTTCAAATCTAGCATAATTTGAATTTTTATTCTCACGAAAAAGAAGATATGTTGTCATAATTATATTGAATATAATAATTTTCTCGTTATATAATTACATATTATCCTTTCACGAGTAATGGCCTTTCAGTTTAATTAAGCGCAATCTTTGCATGTTATTATTGTGCAATAATATTAAATAATATATCGATACATAGAGGCTGCTTGGATCTTGCAGTCATCAAGTATTTACGATTTTTGTGAAAAATACGCCTATCTAATGGCTAAATTAATAAAAATATTCGTGCTAGGAAAATGAATATGTCTATTGTGCTTTGTAACCGGTGATGATTGTTGAGACCTCTACATTGTTACAATTTCAGATAATGCTGGATCGAACACTTTTATATGATTTCAATTTGTATGTGAAAATAATATATCGTACACGCGAGAGAAATTGTTATTAGATTTTATATACGATACGTTTTTTCCAAAGCCGAATAATTCGTTTTGACGTCCCATTGACTCAGACATCTGAAACACTGAAAATCGCCGATCGAACTTCACTGCTGTATCATCGATCAATTATGTATTTAATGATATACATGTTTGTTGAGAGTCGTTTCAAGCGCATCGTCCCTTTCATAAAATCAAAAACGCACCTAGTAGTCCTCTCGATAATTAAATTACAGATTAATTTAGCGCACAGTCGATTATTATTTTTTCTTCTTTTTCGGCGGATAAGAGAAAAAAAATGGTAATCTCGATCGCTCTCTCTCTAGCGTTGAATTCAGGATATCTTACACAGGTATTTTGTATAAAGAATTAGAATATGAGTTTCCATAAGGAGTTTTTTCTGCGGATCTTCTCTCTGGGCGCGCTGCATTAATTCATTTAGCCTGTTCTCTCCGGATGCATACCCTCTACGCTTTTCCTCTTCCTTTTTTCTCTTTCCAAAGCGTAAACGTATAGTTGCTTCGTTTTAAGTGCAGAAAGCGTGAAAAGGGTTGTGCAATTGCCGGATGAGAACAGATCTGAATGATCAATCGAGACGCGTATCGCGCGACGGAGGAGGACAATTGGGTAATTTTATTGTCGAGTTACTTTGGTCCAGTTTCGGACAAGCTGATGGCAATGGAGCATCGCAATCCCTAGACGGGAGCTGCGCCTTATGTTACGTCCTTGTACATGTATATTGCTAAGTTCTTAAATGTATGTACATCGCGGACTCAATCATTATCTCGCGCCTCTTGCATTTCTTATTTAAGAATGTATATCGGCAATGCGAAACGTGCGAGTGTAAAAAGAAGATAGAAAAGAAAAAGAAAACGCAAGAATTTGTCTTTCCCGAGGAAAAACGCGTTTAACTCTTTCACTACTTTAAGCAAGATTGAGTTATCAAATCGTGACACGGGGAACTCCTCTTTTGACGAACGGTCTTCTCTCGGTGGGACCGAGAAGTGAAAAATTCGTAAAGCCATCGAGTGAAAGAGTTGAAGGCGGAGTTCGAGATAGTGATCGAGTCCGTGCGTTTATTAGTTTACGTATTCGCGATCGAGAGGGACCGATCCGATATCGATCGCGACCGAAGGGCATGAAGAAAAGAGAGAAAACTTAGGTATTATGTAAATCGAGTCGCGCGCACGCGGCGTGTTCTCTTCGCGTAAAAAAAAAAACAGCCGGAGAAATCGGAGCGGGCAGGAGCGCTTGATCGCGCGTGGTCGACGGGGCGAGAACCTCTTCGAGACGGGGCGGACCGCGTCCCGCATATTCGGAGCCGCGTCCATCCTTCCCATGTAACCCTCGCGTCCGGCCCTCCCACCCTCCTCCCCTTCTCCTCCTTGTAATTAACTTACACACGTACGCGTAATCATTTATAACACACGCGTCTCACACACGGGCTGTAAAACTCGCGCGGCAGACCTCACGCATTCTACGGATTCACGCATGATCTATCGACATAATTATAGAAATACCTACTACGAGTATAGCATTCAGTAGCATAAATAATAAAGTAATTAAATAAATGTCATCTGTATATCCTATCAAGCCTTGTGTTTTCCGTTCCCCCAATCTCGCGTGACGATAATTAATTCAGATGTCCGAGTCACCGGACGGGAGATCTCAATGCGGAGGATCGAAGTCTCTCTTTGAAGATTTACAGGTAAGTGAAACTGTTTTATACAGCTAGAGAAAACATTGAAATACAAGCTCCGTAAAAAAATATATTCCTTTTTACTTTTTTACTGTTGCAAAAGAAATTAAAATGTGCACATAATTACAATGAACATTACAATTTTGTTGATTAGAATTTCGAATAAAAATAATTACCCGTATAATAATGCCAGTACAATAAAATTCCAGAACAGTAAAAACTTTAATGTGACTATTACCGCAATATCTTATTCGCGAAGAATCATACGATAGAGAGTGAAACTGCACTCACCAAAGTTTATTACAATTTATACCATTATTTTCTGTCGTTGAAAAATTATCGCGAGTAATAGCTCATGAACTGTTTAGAGCGGTTACATATGTTTATTGTACTCTCCAGCGTATTTAATACAAACTGTAAAGTACTTCTTAAACAATCGGTTGTCGAACGCCGTTCACTTGTCTATTATTAATACTTATGTTACATTTATACGAAACCTATACTTATCGTAAGTGCCTGTCACCTATGCGGAAACCCGCGGTGATCACTATAATACAGTACCTCGAGTGAAGGGAGAAAAACGAGAGCGGACCAGTGTCTGAAATATTAATTTAGCTGGTACTTATTGCAGGTAAAAAAAGCACCTTCCGATCGAAATTCAAACGACATTGTAGTGTCAAGAAGACAGTTTCTTCGTGAAGTATGGAAGTCAGCAGGGACCATTATTACGATATCTGTAAGAGGCTTCTGACGTTAGTCGGTCAGTGGCCTTATCAGAAGCGGAGAGAAAGTTTGTTTTTCTTCATATTAATACTCGTTTTCGATGCCAATGTACTCGTCGCCCAGGTATAATTACGTTAATTATCATCGAGTTTTTTTTAAGGATAGGGAAGAAAATAAACTAATAGTAGTAAACTTACACGTGCAATTACGTTTTTCAGATCGCAAGATTTTTTGTATGCGATAACATGCAGTGTATCTTTGAAACCTTACCTCCACACCTACTGGCGGCGATTGTTCCGGTGAAAATTTTCACGTATCGATTTAACAGCCAGAAAGTACGTTATATTAATACGAATGGCATTGATATTCTAATAGTGAACTACAGATAGAGCTTCTTTGCAAAATCTTAGATTCTTCTTGACAAAATTGTTATATCTTTTGAGAATATTGCATCCGATGTGTCGAATATATCGGTGATGTTTGTAGATTAAACATCTCACAGATCGCTTATTCATAGACTGGGATATGCTCGAGTCTGAAACAGAACGCGATATTATGAGAAGGTACGCCGAAAATGGTAGATGGTACGTGCTTATATATAGTTGTAAGTAATTTCTTGATTTTAATTGAAAATAAAAAAAAAAATTTATTTCTTCGCGTCTGTCTACATAGGAAACATAAATTAGAAGAGACAAATTTTTTGAAGAAAAATGATACACTCGCAAAAGAAAAATGCGAAACAATTTTAGTAACATTTATATAAAATATAAAAAAAAACAAGAGCCGTTTTTAATGAACTCTGTTCTCGTTGCAGCGTACGTTTACATATCTACCATTTCATTTACAATAACCTCACTCACGCCACGCATTTTGGACATAATATTTCCCTTGAACACTTCTCGTCCTATAATGCTGCCGTATCCGGCGTACTATTTCGTCGACGAAAATCAATATTTCTACTATATTTTTCTCCATATGATAATTTGCGCCACTGTGGTGCTAACCGGGTTAGTCGCGCACGATTGCATGTTTTTTACCTACATCGAACATATCTGCGGCCTTTTCGCCATCGTTAGGTAACGATTATTTACATTGTTAACGAACATTACATTTTGTAAATGAATATCTAGGAAAGAAGTAAAATTCTCCGTATCGAGGAGTAAATATAACGTGATAATAGTTTTAGCTCGTTCACTTGGAAGTGACTGAAATTAAATCTCAAAAACTCATAACAATGTTACGTTGCGTAAATACTTGCAGATACAGATTTCAGCATGTATCGCATGAACGTATTAATACGGAAAAAAGTATGATGGACTGTCCGGATTACATGTATTACAGAAACGTCGTTATTTCGGTTTACGTTCATCGAAAGGCCTTGCAGTGAGTGTGCAATAATATCGTACTGTAGTTTTTCTTTTATTAATCTCGATACTAAGAGAGAATGATCTTTGATAGATATGATAAACTATGATAAACGATACTCTAACTTGATTTTTATTTAGATATCTAAGTAATTGTCATTAATGTCGTATTCTTACTACAGGTTTGCTAAACTTCTCGAGGACACTTTTTCGACATCGTTCGCCGTTCAAATCTTGTTAATTACAATCTGCTTGAGCATTACCTTGATACAAGTGAGTTACTTACACGAGCGAAGATAAATATAAGAATTCCGTAAAACACACGACACAGAAATTAAAGCAGGCTCTTACCTCCTTCGTGTTTAAGCTCTCGACGCATCTACACGATTCGGCGGAGGCGATGAGATACTTCGTCTTCATTATGGCCCAATTGTTTCACTTGTTCTGCATTAGCTTCCAAGGGCAGAAGCTGATAAATCATAGTCTCGAAACTTGCGACAACATGTAAGAGACGATATTAAATTGGAAGTAAATTATAGCTGGCTAAAAAAAAAAGAAAAATGCTTGGTCGGTATAAGTTAAGAAATTGCTTACAAGAATTTAATTATTTCTCAGAGTGAACTGTTACTTATAACGTGTACTTTTTATGTGAACGGTGATCTAGATATCATAGCTCATGGTATAAAATACCTGTGAGGGAACAGAGATTGCTCTTGTTCGTCATGAGAAAGAGCATTGAGGCTTGTGCCTTGACCGCCGGCAAAATATACGTTTTTTCGTTAGAAAATTTTACAACGGTAAAGCAACGACAGATATTACTAAAATACATACATCGAAAAGATATGTAATGGATTTTTTAAATGTTTTTATTTAGATCGTGCAAAGCTCGATGTCGTACTTTACATTATTATCGTCCTTTGACGTATCATGATCGATATATCTGATGATTAAGACAGCATGCAGTAAAATATCCATGAGAGATATGTTTTGCAGAAGTATATTATATTATAAATTATATATCAAATAAAATAATATATATTTGTTATTATTTAATGAAGCAAATTTAATGAAATTTTATTTTATTATCGATATTGCTAAGCAATTAAAAAACTGTCCCTTGTCCCTTCCGATCTCTCATCTCGAAGGTCTCGAAAAATTCACGACACATGCAGGAATTATTACTTATTTATTTTATCTTTTATTTCTTATAGATTTGTGAAATTATTTGAGGATTAAAATAATAAATTTACCTTATCTTTTGTTGTACAAATGTTGATTATCGGTTTCTAGAATCTAATTAATATATTCATATATCTTTTGAAATAATTTCATGTATTAATCGCAGAATATATCAAGCAGTCTTAATGTGTATAGAAGAAAAATTAGAGAACAAGAGTATATCGCAGTTTGTATTATTTCCTCAAAAGGATGGAGTGTGAATATTGTACATTGAAGACACTCGTCTATATTGCTCATAGCAAACACGCAACGATGTACAGGATACCCATGACAGACACCATAACATTTATCTTATAGCTAAGTACACAGACGTGCAGTGTCACCGGAACTCTTATTTTCTTATTTTCTTATGGACATTCCGATCAATATATTCTGCGTGAAAAAAAATCGTCTTTTCTGCTGATAAGGCGCTGTTCACATCCACCATTTATCAGGCATGACATACGAGATAATTATTATTATGAAAAAGTTTCCGACATATGCAATATTTTTCTGCTTCTAACAATCGCTGAAATATTAATTTGTCTCTCATAACAAGACGAGAAATTTAGTCGACTGTGTGCCACCGAGGGTGAAACATTGCTTTGAAAATTATGAAGTACAAGTGGAATCATTATTATAGCCTTCTACAGAAGATATTGTCACTCGCCGGGCAATGGCCTTATCAAGAAAGAAGAACGAGGTTGTTCCGAGTGGGCTTGATAACTGTGGCCATTTTTTCATTGACCGTTCCACAGGTCCCAGACAATATTCTCTCATAACATTTTTACCTATTACTCGCATTATACTAGTTCTAAATTTAATAATCAATAGAGTGCGCACATACATATAAAGGTTGATTAAAATACATTACGATGTCTATATTCGTTAAACTTTGGACGATACACATATATTTCGGTAAAATATAGCATAGAATTTTGTTCATGAAATTTATAATGCACAAAAATATAAAATATGTATTTAAATATGCATGTGTATTTTAAAGTTCATGGCATATAAAAATATAAACAGAATGTCCTGTGAAATTGATCACAAATAAATACCGTTTAAGATTGGATTTAACGATATTCCTAGGTAGGCAAATTTATTCAATGCAACGGAGATGTGCGATGTATTATGTTGATCGTACCAACGGGGTTTGCTATGCTTATAATTCTGGTGAAGCTGTACACGTGCCATCTGAACAATAGTAAAGTACGTCATATCGAAATTTTTATGATACATTGGTCGAAAGATAGCTTAGAACATATACATATACATATACATATACTATGTTTTAAGAAAGATAGTTTTTCGAATTTTTATTATTTTTCACGATCGTCGATATGTTGAATAATCCAAGAGGTTTCTAGATCAAAAGTCTCACTGATCATCTGCGCAGCGACTGGGAGAAGTTGGAAAGTGCGGAGGAATACGAAATTATGAAAACGTATGCCGCGAACTCGAAACTGTTTTGTTCGGCATTTTGTTGTAAGGGTAAATCGCTCGATGTCATTTTTATTTTAACGGATAGACAATTCAATTGTTATGTCGTTTGTTGCAGTGTACATGTATATATCTGCCGGTATGTTTGTATCAATTAGCCTCGTACCGCACATAATGAATGTCGTATTACCGCTCAATGAGTCATGGCCCATATTCATGCCTTATGAGGCTTATTACTTCGTGGACATCGAAAAATACTTCTTCTACATATTCATCCACGTTTTTGTGAGCATAGAGATAGGTATGACGGTGACAATCGCGCACGATAGCATGATTGTGGTTTACATGGAGCACGCCTGCAGCATCTTTGCTGTGGCTGGGTAAGAAAAAAATTGTACTTTTTTTGCATTCTCTTAATCGTGTCTGACCGAGAAAACGGGACTGTCGCCTGCATGTTCACAGATTTCGATTCCAAACTCTATCTCGTAACGTTCGTGACGACGCAATAAGTATTACTAGTCCGGACGACGTATACTATCAGAAGATCGCGATCTCGGTGTACGCACACTGGCGAGCTTTACGGTAACACATGCAATATTGCACTAAAATGTTAAAAAAGAAATTGTGGAAAAAAGAAATTGTTGATACATATCGAAAAATTTGCCTGCAGATTCGCAGAACTTCTTGAAAGCACCTTCTATGTTACTTTCGCCGTACAAATACTAATAGTTACCATTGCGATGAGTATTACCCTGCTACAAGTACGTGTCAATTTATTGTTGAAATTTATCTTGTGATACATACACTTTTCGAGATAGATCGTGTTTGTGTATTACTCGCTTTTGCGTTGATTAAGGCTGAAGCGAAAGATTAAAATATTGTATTTATCGTTTTCGAGATCGTGTTGCGGTTAGACGAAGTTTTGGAAGCAATGAGATACACGTTATTTGTCATTGTTCAAGTGGTCCACTTGTTCTACTTCAGTATGCAAGGTCAGAGACTGATCGATCACAGCGTGCAAATGCGCGACAAGATGTAAGATGATAATTTTAATCGTCGTTGCTCTAAAGCTCGATGATCAATTGAGATGCAAAATTGTTGCAGATATAACTCTTCTTGGTACAATATACCCGCGAAGTCGCAAAGGCTGCTCCTGTACGTAATGCGACGGAGCATGCAACCAAATTTTTTGAGCGCCGGCAAGATTTACATCTTTTCTCTGAAGAGCTTCACCACGGTAAAGATTATTTAAAAAAGTTACGTTTTATTCTTCCGAAATCTTTCTTAGAAATATTTTTCTCTTAAAGGTGGTACAGTCTTCGGTGTCGTATTTTACCGTACTTGCGTCCTTCCAGTAATCAATGATCAATATGCGATTCGAATAGTGTCTCTGTGCAATCACAAGATTACGTTATAGTAATAGTTATCGCGCAGTCGAAGTAATGCTTACATTTAACTTATTAGTCACGAGCGAGTTACCTACGCTATTAAAATATTATTCTTAAACATAATTTAAAATCTCATTATTTTACGGATGAAGCCACGAGTTAGGAAGAAGTAAATAGAAATGGAAAATGGAAAATAGATAAGAAACCATAATATTTATTCTAAATGCTAATATATTTTATTAATTTTTGTTTGGTTTTATTATTAAATGTGAATTATTACACACCGTAATAAATTATAGGAAAAATAAATTTTAATAAAATATGTTTTATTTGTATTTCGCGTGCATAATACATGGTAAGCTCGTCAGCTCGAATAGTAATTAGTTCTCAGAGTGAATTGCTACTTATGACGTGTACTTTTTATGTACTTTTTATGTGTAACAGTGATCTAAATATCACAGCTTGTGGTATAAAATACCTGTGAGGGAATAAAGATTGGATCTTGTATGAATAATGATTGGATCTTGATAAAGAACGGATCTTGTTCATCATGAGAAAGAGCATCGAGGCTTGTGCCTTAACCACCGGCATAATATACCGTTTTTTCGCTAGAAAATTTTACAATGATAAAGCAACGGCAGATATCATCAAAATACATGAATCAAAGAGATATGTAATGAATTTTTTTAAACATTCGCGTTTAGATCATGCGAAGCTCGATGTCATATTTTACATTATTATCGTCCTTTGACGTATCATGATCGATTTTTGATCATTAAGATAGCATGCATTAAAATAATAATAAAAAAAATGTTTTGCAGATGTAAAACATATTGCGATTAATTATATATCAAATAAAATAATACATATATTTGTTATTAATTAATGAAGCAAGTTTAATGAAATTTTATTTTGTTATCGATATTGCTAAGCAATTAAAAAGCTGTTTCTTGTCTTTTCCGTTCTCTCAGAGGACTCGAAAACTCACGGCATGTGCAGAAATTTCTATTTATTATATCTTTCATTTACCATAGATTTGCAAAATTTCTCGAGGATTAAAATTATAAATTATCTCTTTTGTTGCGTAATTATTGATAATGATTATCTTATTTTTCCAGAATTCATTGTAGTTCGTGTTTTTTTGAATTAATTTCACATGTCATTCTCAGAATACAAATAACCTTAATGTATTTCTATATAGAATAAAAATTAGAAACAAGAATATATCACTAGTATATAATATATTGTTCTGCTCACGCATCAAGGGGACGCGAATTCGCACTCGGATGCACATGTGAATACTTTCGCGGCACAGAAACCGCGGACACTCACGTAACACGCTTGCAGAAAATGAAGAAATACTATCTTCACTCTTTGTGAACGGAAGAATCGTTTATTATTAATTTGTACAATAAAAATCATTTGCGCACCAAAGCTCCTGTTCAAATCTGACAGTCCGCTTAAAAACTCGTTATCAGGAATCACTCTTCCGATGTCGCTCCTCAAGACGATCAATAATGATCGGTGTGACTAGAGCCTTAACGCAGCGAGACCAAGCGGCGCCAGAGATGAGCGCAGCTAATATATGCATGCAGCGAAAAAATATACTTGGCGGGAGCCGCTACCGCGTCTCCCGATTTGTACTTATTATTTCCCCAAGAGGCTAGAGTGCGAATATTGCACATTGGAGACGCTCATCAATATTAATCGTAACAATATTATACGTTATAGCAGATACGCAACGATATACAGGATGTGTGACAGACACCATAATGTTTATCTTATAGTTAAGTATACTATCGTGCAGTGTCACCGGAACTCTTATTTACTTCATTGACATTCCGATCAATATGTTCCGCAAAAAATCATCTCGCCTGCCACCGTGCGCGTCAATCCGTTACGAGGTACGACATGCGAGATTATCATTACTATTTTAAAAGAGGTTTCCGACATATGCAGTACTTTTCTGTTTCTAACACTCGCTAAAATATTAATTTGTCCCTCAGAACACGAGAAGAAATTCAGTCGATTGTGTGCCACTGAGGGCGAAACGTTGCTTTTGAAAATTATGAAGTACGCGTGGAATCATTACTACAGCCTTCAACAAAGGATGTTGTCACTCGCCGGGCATGGGCCTTATCAAGAAAGAAGAACGAGGTTGTTCCGAGTGGGCTTGATAACTGTGGCCATTTTTTCATTGATCGTTCCACAGGTCCCAGACAATATTCTCTCATAACATTTTCACCTACTACTCGCATTATACTAGTTCTAAATCTAATAATCAATAGATTGGCCACATACATAAAAAGGTGGAGCAAAATACATTACGCTATACATCGCTGTCTATGTTCGTTAAACTTTGAACGATATATAATTCGGCAATATTTGGCATAGAATTTTGTTCATGAAATTTATTATATACAAAACTATATATAAAATATATGTATTAAAAAATGCATGCGTATTTGTAAGTGCATAACATATACAATTATAAATAGAATATTATGTAAAATCGCAAATAATAGAGCGTCTAAGGTTGAATTTGACGATATTTCTAGGTGGGCAAAATTATTCAGTGCGACGGAGATGTGCGATGTATTATGTTGGTGGTACCGATGTGCTTTTGGGTGCTTACACTTCTGGTGAAGCTGTACGGGTGCCATTTGAACAGTAGCAAAGTACGCAATATCGAAATTTTTATTATACATTGGTCGGAAGACAATTACTCGAATTTGTATTATTTTTCACAATCGTGGTCTGTCACGACGTCGATATGTAGAATATTCATCAAGGATATTTCTAGATCAAAAGACTTACTGATCATCTGCGTAGCGACTGGGAGAAATTGGAAAGTGAGGAGGAATACGAAATTATGAAAACTTATGCCGCGAACTCGAGACTGTTTTGTTTGGCATTATGCTGTAAGGATAAATCGCTCGATGTTATTTTTATTTTAACGGATAGATGATTGTTATGTCGTTTGTTGCAGTATATTATTACATAGCTCCTGGTGTATTTACATTAATTAGCGTCGTACCGCACATTATGAATGTCCTATTACCGCTCAATAAGTCCCAGCCCATAATAATGTCTTATGAGGCTTATTACTTCGTGGACGGCGAAAAATATTTCTTCTACATTTTCTTCCACATTCTTGTGAGCGTAGAGATATGTTTGACGGCGGTGATCGCGCACGATAGCATGATTGTGGCTTACATCGAGCACGCATGCAGCATCTTCGCTGTGGCTGGGTAAGGAAAAAGTTGTACTTTTTTTGCATTCTCTTAATCGTGTCTGACCAAGAAAACGGGATTGTCGCCTGAATGTTCGCAGATTTCGATTTGAGACTGTATCTCGTAACGTTCGTGACGACGCGATGAATATTACTAATTCGAACGTATACCATCAGAAGATCGCGATATCTGTGCACGCACATTGGCGAGCTTTACGGTAATCATGGAATATTATACTAAAATGTATATAAAAAGAAAAAAGAAATTGTTGGTATATGTTGTAAAATTTGTTTTTTCGCAGATTCGCGGAGCTTCTTGAAAACACTTTCTGTGTTACCTTCGCCTTACATATAATGTTAATTACCGTTGGGATGAGCATTTCGTTGCTGCAAGTACGTGTCCATTTATTGTTGTAATTCAACTTGCACTTTTCGAAATAGATCGTGCTGGTGTACCACTCGCGTTTGCGTTGATTAAGGCTGAAGCGAGAGATTAAAATATTGTATATTTTCAAGCTCGCGATGCAGTTAAACGAAGTTTTAGAAGCGATAAGATACACGTTATACATCGTTATTCAAGTGATCCACTTGTTCTACTTCAGTGTACAAGGCCAGAAACTGATCGATCACAGCGTGCATATGCGCGACAAGATGTAAGATGACAATTTTAATCGTCGTTGCTCGAAAGCTCGATGATCAATTGAGATGCAAAATTGTTGCAGATATAACTCTTCTTGGTACAACATACCCGCGAAGCCGCAGAGGCTGCTCCTGTACGTGATGCGACGGAGCATGCAACCGAATTTTTTGACCGCCGGCAAGAATTACGTGTTTTCTATGAAGAGCTTCACCACGGTAAAAATTATTTAGAAACGTTACGTTTTATCACGGCAACCCTTTGAAATCTTTCTTAAGAATGCTTTTCTCTTAAAGGTGGTACAGACTTCGGTATCGTATTTTACCGTACTTACGTCAGTTGCATCCTTCCAGTAATCGACGATCAATATGCTATTCGGATAGTATCTCTGTGCAATCACAAGATTACGTTATAGTAATAGATATCGCGCAGTTAAAGTAATACGTACTTACATTTAACTTACATTAGTCACGAGCGAGTTACCTACACTATTAAAATACTATTAAAATATTGTTAAACGTAAAAAATTTTTTTATTTCTCAAACAAAGCCACGGGTTAGGAAGAAGTAAAGAGAAATGGAAAATGAAGAAACTGGTAAGAAACCTTGATATTTATTTCAAATGCTGATATATTTCATTTATTTTATTATTAAATATAAATTATTTATTATTACGAAGAATTATTAATAAATTATAGGAAAATAAATTTTAATGAAATACGTTTTATTTCGCGTTTGTAATAATTGTGGCTTGTTAGCGTGAATAAAAAAAGTAAATCTTAATTATCCTGCTGTGAGATCTTTCTTTCCTCTTTTCTTTCCATTGAATGGTATAGATCGTGAGAAGGTTGCAATAAGATTTGTCCTGCGCGCCTTAACAACATTTACAGATAGAATAAAAACATCTTTATTCTAAACTTTACGATACGGCAAATATTCTTTTAAATAAGGGATGCTAAGATATAATTTTTCAAAAATAATTAAATAAATAATTTAAAAAATGCTGTTAATGTGATTAAATAAAAGCATTTTTACTGTTATATTTTTATTTTTGATCTTGGGTACTAATTGGGCGTATACTAGGAAAGTCGAATGGTGCGTACGTGAAAAGTAATAATGAATTTAATTATAGAAATACCTATTACGAGGATGGCATTCAGTGGCACATATAATGAAATAATTAAATAAGCATCATTTATACCATACGAAGCTTTGCATTTGCGTGCTCCCAATCTCGCATGACACTGGCAGTAATTAATTAAGTTGACAAGTCACCGTATAACATTTCTCCGTGTATAATCGAGAAAGCAAAGAATGTGCACTCGCCGAAGAAAGTTTACTGCGACAATGCCGTTTGTTTTCTATCGCGGAAAATAATCGCGAGTATACAGCAGTATAAAGCAGAACAGTTTAGTACACGAGTCGTAAATGTTTATTCTACTCTCCAGCGTATTCATACTTCCCTTGTGAATTCAGACAGTAGAACATTTCTCCAAATAGTCAGTTGTCAAACGCTCTGTCCGCTCGTTTGTCACATAGTACTTACGTTGTACGTGACGTATATTTATCGTAAGTGCCTGTCGCCTGCGGAACTCGCGTTATGCGCGTCGTGCGATCGAGGGAGGAGAACGAGCGTGCGGGATAGTATCTAAAATATTAATTTATTTATAACCGATACTTTATCACGAGAAAAAGAGCTTTCGAGGGAAGCTTCGAAATTCGAAGAACCCTGTGACGACCACTACTTCGTGAAGTATGGAACAGAGTAGGAATTGCTATTATGATATCAATAAGTGGTACCTCATGTTAGTCGGTCAGTGGCCATATCAAAAGTTGAAAGAGAGCTTGTTTTTCTTGACTGTTATACTCCTTCTCGATGCCAGTGCACTCGTTACGCAGGTAACGTTACCGTCGAGATCTTTATTTTAGAAAAGGAAGGAATTAATGACAGAGGTATTGAGATTTCGTGCCGATTCGAATAATTCGTTTGTTAATTGACAAATTTACAAACGAGTGCAATCGTATTTTTCAGATAGCAAAATTTGGCACATGCGATAACGCGCAGTGCATTTATGAAACTTTACCTCCGCATATGGTGACAGTGATGATTCTGGTGAAAATTTTCACGTATCAGTTTAACTGCCGAAAAGTACGTTTTATTAATGTGAATGGTATTTTAATCGTGAGCTGCAGATATTGCTTCGTTGCAAGATTTTAGATTCTTATTGACAAAATTGTTATACCTTTTGAGAACATTACATCTGAGGTATCGAATATATCGGTGATGTTTGTAGATTAAAGATCTCACAGATCGCTTATTCGTAGACTGGGATATGCTCGAAACTAAGGAAGAACACAACATTATGAGAAAGTATGCCCAAAACGGCAGATGGTACGCGCTAATATATGGCTGTATGTAATTTAATTTTAGTTAAGAATAGAAGAAATCCATTATCTTATGTATAAATTAAAAAAATTAAGGTAATAGTGTTTTCTTTGCGCTTGGATGTAATGTTTAAATTAAATAAAAATAAGTAATTCCAATTAGTTACAAAGAAGACGTCAATATAGTTTAACTTGGCAAAGTATAAACGATATATATTGCATAAGGAGAAGGATTTTTTCTAAAAAAAAAGTCGCGTTAGTCGATACAAGCTAAAAATATTTGAATGTGAACTATTTTGCTAGTGAACAATTTTATTCTATCATGATAAAAAAATTGGGGACATTTCGCCAAACATGTTATTTGATAAAAGAAATAACACATATATACAGACTATTGATTAAGAGAGAAAAGTTTTGACGAAAAACTACACGTACACTTATATGTACAAAATATAAATATAATATAAATATAATTTTTGTATAAAATATTTTTAGTATCATAATTATTAATTAAATAATAAATTTATTTTTTAAATAGATAATAGTAATTTTGACGAATTTTGTCTTCATTGCAGCGTATGTTTACGTGTCTACGATTTCATTTACCACAACCTCTCTCGTGCCACGCATTTTGGATATTGTATTTCCATTGAATACTTCCCGTCCTGTAATGTTAGCATACCCGGCATACTATTTCGTTGATGAAAATCAATATTTCTACTATATTTTTCTCCATATGTTAGTTACCAGCAGTGTGTGTATGACCGGATTAATTGCGCACGACAGCATGTTTTTTGTTTATGTCGAGCACATCTGCGGTCTTTTCGCCATCGTTGGGTAATGATTATTTATACCTAAAGCAAGAGGTTGCTTATCTCTCTTGTAATTAGGATTTAAATAAAATACCATGATTAAATAAAATTCTCTGTATCGAGAAGTTAATATAACGTAATTATATTGTTAGCTCTTTTATGTTAATTGGAAAGGAACAAAAATTAATTCTCAAAAATTTTCTAATAATGCTGTTTTGCGCAAATACTTGCAGATTTAGATTTGAGCACGTATCACATGAACGCAGTATTGCGGAAAAAAGTCTTATCGATTGTCTAGATGACAAGTATCATAGAAACGTTGTAGTTTCGATTCACGCTCATCGAAAGGCTTTGCAGTGAGTGTGTAATAATACTTTTGCATATTTTTCTGTCTTTAATCTCGATGCTAATTAATTAATTAGAATCATCTTTAACAAACTATGATAAGCGATATACCTTTACTTAATTTATTTAGACATTTAGTCGTCAACAGTATCTTTCTGTATTCTTTCTGTAGGTTTGCTAAACTTCTGGAAGATACCTTTTCGATAGCGTTCGCTGTACAACTCCTGATCGTTACAGCTGGCTTGAGCATTACCTTAGTTCAAGTGAGTTACGTACAAATAGATAAATATGTAAAAGATATACTAGAATTCTGTAATACATAATAAAGAATTAAAACAGAATCTTACATTTCTCGCGTTCAAGCTGTCGATACAGTTGCACGATTTTGCCGAAGCGATGAGGTACTTCGTTTTCATTATTGCTCAATTGTTTCACTTGTTCTGCTTAAGCTTCCAAGGACAAAAATTGATAAATCATAGCCTCGAAACTTGCGACAAGATGTAAGAAACACTACATTAAATTAAGACATTAAATTAAGAAATAAATTAGCTATTTGACTGATATAAAGGATATATTTTCCATAAAAATACTTAGAAGAATGTAATCTTTCTTTTTCTTTGTAATTTTTACACCGTATTTATTTATTGTATTTATTTCGTATGTATAATAATGGTAGTATAATTTTATAGATTTCATGGTTCATGGTTTATCATACCCGTAAAGGAACAAAGACTGCTCTTGTTCGTGATGAGAAAAAGTATCGAAGCTAGCATCTTGACCGCCGGCAAGATATACATGTTTTCTCTAGCAAATTTCACATCGGTAAAACAATTATGCCCGTTTTTCCACCAATAAAGATTAACTTTAACCTTGGTTTGATTTATTCTTCATCGTTTTCTAATTCTTAGAACTGGAAAAAGATAAAGGGTAAATTAAACTAAGATTAAAATTAATCTACATTGATGGAAATAGCGACAAGCGTTAAAAAAATATGCAAACCAAAAAGATATGTAAAACATTGTTTTTCATTTAGGTTGTGCAAAGCTCAATGTCGTACTTTACGTTATTGTCATCCTTTGACGTGTCATGATCAACACCCAACGATATCATTATGACAGCAAGTAGTAAAATATCCTTAAAGTATTCCACAGGAATATATAATATTACAATTTATAAATCGAATAAAATAATATTTATATTTGCTATTATTTAATAAAATAAAAGTAATACAATTTTAGTTTTTTTTTATCAATATTGAAACAACCAAAAAGCTCCCCTTTCCGATCTTCTTCGAAAGCCTGGAATACTCACGACACATACAGACGTTCTCCAATAGAAAGTATTCATTTTGTCGCACCATTTTATTCTGATCGATACGTGCTCGCTAGTGGGAACTTGTAAAATCATTTATTAAAGAAACAAATATGCGTAAATTTCATTAGACATCATCGACACGTACGAAGTTGTTTTGCAAAAATTTTCCATGTCTACATTGTACTTTTCAAAAAGGAACTGTTTTCACTTATGTCTCATATCAAAGGACGAGCAATCAATTCAAAATTAAAGCAAAAAGTATGTAATTGATTATCTTTGCGATGCCGAAGACGCAGGTATTGTTTCTTCAAGTGTTATAAGAGATCTAGAGTCATGATTATGACATCTGCAGAATCGTCGCTTACCGACACGTGGCTGTATCAGGAAACTGAAAATAAAGACGTTTCATGTTGCCTCACCACAAATAGGTATATGGTTGCGCAGATAAATACACGTGATGTCTGAAGGAAAACCTATTGGGTGCAATTCAGCGCGATTACAAATGTCTATCGTATGTCCCACAGCGCGTATACACTCGTATTTCTCGAGGGACCAGCTGTCCACTCGCTACCTACCTACAAATATCTATAATGTTACGTTTACGCGAGACATATACTTAGCATAAGTGCCTGTCAGTTACGAAAACCCGCGTTGCGAAATTGTGGACTCCGACAAAGGGAGGCCCGCGTGCCGCGGAGTGCGGCATCTGAAATATTAATTTACTTATAACCGACCCTTATGGGAAAAATGCCTTCCGAGAGGAGGCTCGAAATTCAGTCAAAATTCAGACTGCAGTACCGAGAAGATCGTTTCTCCGTGAAATATGATACCCGGCAGAGGTTACTATTACGATATCTGTAGAAGGTATCTCATGATAGTAGGCCAGTGGCCTTATCAGAAGCCGAAAGAGAGGCTGATTTTCTTGACATTTATAATGATACTTGCAATCTCTTCATTCATTCCACTGGTAACGTTAATTGTCAGTATTTTTTATTTAGGAAAGAAAAAAGGAATGGTGTATATAAAATTCGTTAAGATTCCGCGTTTATGTTAAGTGGTTTGTTTTCTTTGAAGCATCACAATATAACGCTAAAAAGATTAAAATCTTTTCTCCTCACATGAATGTGTTTCCAGACAGCAAAATTCACCATATGCAAAAGCGCGCAGTGCATCTACGAGGCTTTACCTCCATACATGCTGGGAGTGATAATTATATTGAAAATTTTCACGTATCAGTTTAACAGCCGGAATGTACGTTTCATTAATACGAATGGTATCGGTATTCTAACCGTGTAATATAGCTTTATCGCAAAATTATTTGCTGATGATGATTGTTATAAATAACTATTGAGAATATTAATACATCCGAATATATCGCTGATGTTTCTAGATTAAAGATCTCACAGATCGCTTATTCGTAGACTGGGATATGCTCCAGACTAAGGAAGAACACGACATTATGAGAAAGTATGCCGAAAGAGGCAGATGGTACTCGCTGATATATGGCTGTAAGTAATTCGCAATTAAGATCAAGGCTTGATCTTAATTGAGAAATTTATTTCCTTGTATACCTAAAAAAATTTAAATTGAGATTATACGTTTTCTTTGCATTTGGATGTGTTGTTTGAATTAAATAAAAATGGAAATAAAAGTATTTCAAAAACTAAATATAAAAAGATATTAATAAAATTTAACAACTTTATTGTATAAGAGATGTATAAAAAAGGCTTCTCTTCTAGAAAAAGTCATCAGTCAGCTAGCTAAAAATATTTAAACGTACAATTTTATTCTGTGATGTTAAAAAAAAGTAGAGAAATTTTGTCAAACATATTATTTGAAAAAACCAAAAAGTGGAAAACAAGAAAAAATTCTAAAGAAGAGATACTTAAAAAAATAAAAATAAAATACAAAGTATTTTAATGGCATAATTTTAAATTAAAAAATTTTAATAGAAGCTTGTTTTGATGAATTGTGTACTTAATTGTTGCAGCATTGTTTTACTCAGCTACCGCTATATTTCTAACGGCTTCTCAAGTGCCACGCATCTTGAACGTAGTATTTCCGTTAAATACTTCCCGTCCTCAAATGCTACCATATCCGTCATACTATTTTGTCGACGAAAATCAATATTTCTCTTATATTTTTCTCCATATGTTTACTGCCTGCACTATATGCATGACCGGATTGATCGCGCACGATAGCATGTTTTTTGTTTACGTCGAGCACATCTGCGGCCTTTTCGCCGTCGTTGGGTAATAATTATTTTTAAACTGAAAGCGAGTTCGCATCTTTTGCAGTTAGAACATAAATAAATTTCTCTACATTTAGAACTAAATATAACGTAACAATAATTCAGTTACAAAAAAATTGTTTTAGCTTTTAGAAGAGGCAGAAATTAATTTGCAAAAACTATCAATAACAATGTTTTGCGTACAAAAATTGCAGATTTAGGTTTGAGCGCGTATCACGTAAATGTACTGTTATGGAAAAAAGTATGATCGATAATTCAGATGCCGTGTATCACAAGAACATTGTGATTTCGATTTACGCTCATCATAAGGTTTTACAGTAAGTATGTAATGATTATAGCATGTATTTTCTCGAGAATTAATCGATATTAATTAACAAATGATCTTTGATAAATCGTGATAATTTGCGATACTTTTGTTTGATTTTTATTTAGATATTTAGTTATTATTATATCCTTACCGTATAGGTTCGCCCAATTTCTTGAGAGTACCTTTACGATTTCCTTTGCTGTGCAACTCCTGATGATTACAATTGGTTTAAGCATTTCCTTAGTACAAGTAAGTTACGTGCGAATAGGTATAAGCAAATATGAGAAATCTGTAATGTAACGGAAACTAAAACTGGATTTTATCTTTCGAAGCTCTCGATACAGCTGCACAATTTTGCTGAAGCGATGAGATACATAATCTTCATTGTTGGTCAATTGTTTCACTTGTTCTGCTTTAGCTTCCAAGGACAAAGAGTGATAGATTATAGTGTCGAAACTCGCGACAAGATGTAAGAGATAGCATTAAGGTAGAAGTAAATTGTTGATCGGTATAAATTTGATTGGCATAAAGAACAGATTTTCTGAAACATTTGCAAGAGTTTAATTATTTTTTTTTATCGATAAATTATAGCCTTACTTAATCTGCTTATTTTGTACATATAATACATATACATATGTACATACATATAATGATAATTTTAGATATCATAGCTCGTGGTATACTATACCCCTGAAGGAGCAAAGGCTGCTTATGTTCGTCATGAGAAAAAGTATCGAAGCTAGCGTCCTGACCGCCGGCAACATATACGTGTTTTCTCTTGAAAATTTCACAATGGTAAAACAATTATAACACGACAAATAAAGATCTTATAAACGTCCGCAATCCAAAAAGAGATACGTAAAACTTTCGCTTTCATTTAGATTGTACAAAGCTCGATGTCGTACTTCACATTACTATCGTCCTTTGACGTGTCATGATCGATATGCGGCGATTGCGGCGGCTTGTAGTAGAATATCACTGAAACGTTCCACAGGAGTACAACATTACGAGTAATACATCGAGTGAAATAATGTTTTATATTTGCCATAACAAGGCAAAAGTAATAAAACTCTATTTTGTTATCGATATTGCTGAGCGACTAAAATGCTTTGCCTCCCGATCTCACTTTCGGACGCCTCGAACACTCTCACGACACTCACAGCGGACTCTCTATTAATACAGAGTATACTCATTTCACCGCGCTATTTTATTTTGATCGATACGTTCTCTCCGGAGGGAACTTGGGAAACGTGCTCGTCATTGGGGCTGCTATATAGTTAATGTCAAAGAATCAAATGCCACCTGTTCCCCATAAATTCTACGTTCCGGTCCGTTGATTGACGTGACATGCAACAAAGTTATTTCGCGAGAGACTCAGCTATGTATTATAACTATATCACAAGGGGATGTCATTTTTAATTGGCGTCTCGGAGAGGGTGGGCGATCATTCGTACGAAGGCACGGAATTAGTCATCTTCACGATACCGAAGACGCAGTGTCGTTTGACCCGAGAATTATGGAGACCTGGAGGCATTATTATGACTTCGTCTGTAAATTCTCGTCGCTCACCGGTACGTGGCCGTATCTGAAACCGAGAACAAGGAAACTTCGCGTTGCTCTGCTAACTGTAACCACGCTAACTGTATTCGTTCCGCAGGTAAAAATTAACACCCGAAAGAAGGATCTATATTGCAAGAGTGATAAACGACAATGACTATTTCAGATAGCGTATCAATTTACGTGCAAGACAGACGTGCGATGTATGTTCGAGGCGATGACGTCGTACCTGCTGACAATTGTGGCTTTGCTGAAGGTGTACACGTTTCAATTGAATACTCGCACGGTGCGTTTTACGATATATATATTCCAATTAAGCAATGAAAATTTTTTTGATACATTTGATTCTAAAGATCACCGTCTGAGAACAAAATTTCAATATTTTCTTAATTTATATTTGGAATTAATTTAATTAAATTTCTTAATTTACATATATTTGTTATGATTCTACACCGCTATTTTATGAAAAAAAATTAACCCATTTCAATTGATGTTTTGTCAGCTCAAAGACCTTACCCAACACTTGTTCGTCGACTGGAAGGGATTAGAAAGTCCCAAAGAATACGAGATTATGAGGTCGTACGCAAAGAACAGCAGACGATTCTGTTTGGTGTATGCGGGTGAGGACCGATAAGAGGGATATGGTATCAAAATATTGTTCTACTTCGTAAAAGCTGCGCGTTTTTCCTTTCTCACGAATCGCTTCGTATACATTACAGCATATTGCTTAGCAGCGGTAGTCACGTTTATGTCAATATCCCTTATACCATTCGTACTCGATATCGTGTGGCCCCTTAATGAATCCCGTCCCATAGTACCTCCATATCCGGGGTACTATTTCGTGGACACTCGGGAATATTTTTTTAAAATCTTCTGGCACTCCGTCGTCGCTTGGGAAATCATTATGGCCGGAATAGTCGCTCACGATTGTATGCTTTTGACTTACATCGAGCACGTTTGCAGCTTGTTCGCTACGGTCGGGTAAGGAAACGACTTGCGAGTTTGACGCAAAAAATGTATAGTTTCTCCATCCATATTACGTAATAAAATTAAACGTCTTTAAAAAAAGAAATTTGCCTCCAGATGTGAAGAAAAGTGCATATCAAAATTTACAATTTTATTGAAATTTTTTCAACTTTATTTGACAAATATGATTCAATTCTTTTGCACACCACTGTTTAATATTAAAATATATTTTCACAATTTATTCGGAATGTCAGCGAAGGCGAGAAAGAGAGAGAAAGATATTGTATTAACCATTTACAGATTTCGTTTCGAAAATCTTTTTTGTAATTCCGACGAAACACTGAAGATTGCAGACGATTCTAATGACACTTATCGCAAAAGAACCGCGTTCTTCGTACACGCACACCGGGAGGCTATAAAGTGAGTAACATCGCATATATAAAAGCAAAATGCAACGCATCCTCCATTTAAAGATAAAATAATTTTTAGAAAGGCTTCTTTCGCGATTCTTTTTTTTAATTTCCCGTTTGCGACAGGTTAGCGGAACTTCTCGAGGATACCTTCACCGTACCTTTCGCCATACAAATGTTGATAGTGACTGTAGGAATAAGTATTACCTTGCTGCAAGTACGTATTTAGTCATGATAAAATTGTTTTCCGTATACAAGTTATTGAAAGAGATATATTGTCTTTTATATCAAAGGTCACGCAGCAGCAGGGCGATATTTTAGAATCGGTTAGATACGTGGTGTACGTCATTGGTCAGCTGATCCATTTATTCATTCTCAGCTTCGAAGGGCAAAAGCTAATAGATCACAGCCTTCAGACGTGCGATAAGATGTAAGGTCTGACTTATCTAAAAGAAAAAAAGATATCGAATCATGTAACTTTTTGAATTCAACTTGCGTATCTCTTTTCGAAACGCGCGGCAGATACGGTAGCTCCTGGTACGAGGTATCCGCGAGCACGCAGAAGCTAATAATGCTGGTGATGATGAAGAGTGTACGACCGAGCTTCTTGAGCGCCGGCAAGATCTACATCTTCTCCCTGGAGAGCTTCACCACGGTAACAACGCGTAAAATTATCGTGTGCTTAAATAGAGATTCTTTTGACGCGCGTGCGACATGACGCTCTCTTGTTTTGAAGGTTCTGCAAACTTCGATGTCGTACTTTACGGTGTTCGCATCCGTTCAGTAGCCCGTGTGTCGTTTGCGCACCCGACGACATTACGTGGCGGTGGTCACTCGTCGCAAGAGCAATACCATGTGTCTTTAATTCTCCTATTACAATATTATACACTTCTAATTCCATTGTCTTTCATTTCCCCGTTAAAATTGTATTGTAACTCCTGTTATCATCCTCGCACTTAATATGCGTAAAAAAATACGGAAATACCGTATTTATCAATTTTTATATCAATCTTTTCGGCGTCGCAAAATAATACCACCGTTCCTGGAAATAGTTGTAACTTATATATAATGTGAAACAAATTTAATTACTTGAAATTTCAAGTATTTCAGTCGCGGAATATAATTTTCGTACGGCAATAATGTATTTTCATATGGAAAAACAAATTCAAAAAGAAGGTACTTATAATTACTTTCGCAAGAAGCCGGAGTGTGAATGTTGCGCGTCTCGGCGACACTTGTCTCGCAGCAATATTGAACGTATGGCAATTTCCCCGACAGACAGATACGTGTGACAGACACTATATTTCGTTTCTGTCTTGCGACTAAGTACACGGACGCACTTTGGCACAGAAATTCTTATTTTCTTGAAACATCTCTTCCCGATCAATATGTTCCGCGCGGAAGAAAGTCGTCTTGCCCGTTGATAAGCTTCCCTTCGTCCGATAAGCGTTCATCTTTTATGAGACGTGACACGCGGGATTGCCATGTCAAAGATTGTCATTTCCGACGTACGTAGTATTTTTCCATTACGCCCGTTAAAATATTAATTCGTTCCCCTTAACGAAGACGAGACGGGAGAGGTTTAGTCGAGCGCATGCTGCCAAGGGTGTAATACCGCTTTTGAAAATTATGCAGTCCGCGTGGAATCATTATTACAGAATTACGAGGATATTGTTGTCACTCATCGGCCAGTGGCCTTATCAAGAAAGAAGAACAACATTGTTCCGAATGAGCTTGGTGACTGTGTCCGCTCTTTCGGTGTTAGTTCCACAGGTTCCAGAGAAGTTTCTCTCTTGTTTTAAAATATTTCTACCACGTACTCGTTATATACTAGTTTTAAATTTAATCCACCGAGTACGCATAAAAATGTCAATTGAAATACAATATGCTATACAACGCTGAATACATCTCTTAAACTCGTTTTGAATGATATAATAATTCGACAGACTTCATGTTCATAATTTCATGAAATTCGTATAAAAAAATATATATATATGTATATATATATATATATATATATATATATAAAATACAAGTATATATATAAAATACATATTTCAAAGTACAAAACATATAAAATTACAAATAGAATTTTATCTCTTTGCGAAACTTGACGCAGCAAATTATAAGTCGTTTTAAAACATGGATTTTAATGAAGATATTTCTAGGTGGCCCAAATTTTTCACTGCGACGGAAACGCGCAATGTATTTTAGTGGTCGTACCGTCGATTATGTTTATGGCTATGATTCTGGCGAAGATGTACACGTGCCAGTTTAACAGTAGCAAAGTACGACAACAGAATTAAAATTCATATTGTATCATTGGTCGAAGAATGATCACTCGAATTCTTATTATTTATCGCGGTTTTATTATCTTTCATGATCCGTCAGTGGGTTTCGAGGTAAGATTTTTTTTTAACATTCATCGAGGGTGCTTTTATAGATAAAAAATCTCACCGATCATCTGCGTGACGATTGGGAGAAGTTGGACGACGCGGAGGAGTATAAAATTATGAAATCGTATGCCGCAAACGCGAGACTGCTGTCCCTGACATATTCCTGTAAGGATAAATCGCTCGATGTCATCTTTATTTTAACAAACGGCGGACTGGATTAATTCGTTTTGTTGCAGTATATTGTTGCACGGCCTCCCTTATATTCGTATTAGCCAGCCTCGTATCCAAAATATTGGACGTCGCGTTACCGCTCAACGAGTCCCGGCCTATAACTTTGCCTCACCAGGCATATTACTTCGTGGACACCGAAGAATATTTTTTCTACATTTATTTTCACCTCGTTGTGTGCGCGACTATAACTCTACCGGGGATAATCGCGCACGATTGCCTATTTCTGAGCTACATCGAGCACGTCTGCAGCCTCTTCGCTGTTACTGGGTAAGGGAAAGAAACTCGTAAAATTTTTCTCGATCTTACGATCGCGGGGATTGAATCGGGGGGAGGGCAGAACTGTCGTCTAAATGTTCACAGATATCGTCTCGAGACCCTATCACGTAACGATCGTAACGACACGGCGAACGATAGTCCGGACGATCCGAAGATCTACGATCAGAGGATCGCGATATCCGTTCGCGCACACTGGCGAGCTTTGCGGTGAGTGCGCAATACTGCTTTACGTAGAACGTATATATATATATATATATATATGTATATGTATATATGTATATGTATATATATTATATGTATAAAGAATAAAAGAAAAATTATTCAAGATACAAGAAATTAGAAATATAAGTATATTATTATATAAAAGTAATAAGAAATATAAGTATATTATTATTTCTTATTAGTATAAGAAATTATTCAATATAAAATTTGTGTCACAAAATTTGTCGAACAGATTCGCGGAACTTCTCGAGGACATCTTTTGCACTGCCTTCGCCGTACAAATGATGATAGTTGTCGTAACGCTGAGCATTACTCTACTGCAAGTACGTGTCTATTTGTTATCGCAATTCAACTTGCGGTATACCTCGCACGTTTCGCGTGATTAGTATACCCAGGGCGAGAGATTAAAATGTCGTATTTATCGCCTTGAGATCGTACTGCTGTTTCACGATATTATGGAAGTGGTGAGGAGTGTAGCGTATGTAATCGGTCAAGTGATACACTTGTTCTGCTTCAGTCTGCAGGGCCAGAAGTTGATTGATCACAGCGTGCAAATGCGCGACAAAATGTAAGCACCGTGGTCACCGCGAAATTTCGTAAATTTTTCGTGACGACTGACAATGAGACGTAACGTGTTGTTGCAGATATAATTCCTCCTGGTACGAAATACCCGTGAAATCGCAAAGGCTGCTGCTGTACGTGATGCGAAGGAGCCTGGAACCCAATTTTTTGAGCGCCGGCAAGATTTACGTCTTCTCTTTGAGGAGCTTCGCCACGGTAAGCGTATTTATTTACGAAACTTACGCACACGTTGTTACGTGTGCCTTTGAAGTCTCTTTTAAGTATACTCTTAATTCGAAGGTTATACAGTCTTCGATGTCGTATTTTACCGTACTTGCATCCTTCCAATGATCAATAATCAATATACTATTCGGATAGTATCTCTGTGCAACAACAATTATGTTATAGTAATAAAAATTGCGCAGTGGAAATAATTGAAATAAAATAATAGGAATAATATTTACATCCTAATTAATTGTGAACAAATTTCTACTATTAAAATATTGTTGGTAAATATAATAATTTAAAAATCTCACTGTTTCACGGACAAAGTCCACAAATTGTGGAGAAATAAGCAGGAATGGAAAATGAAGAAATAGGTAAGGGACCGTGACATTTGTCTTGAATGCTGAAATGAGCTTGTTTCTTTTTGTTTGGGCCTAGAGGTAAGTTATTACGCGGGTTAACAGATTCTTAGTAATGGACTAGGTTTTATTTGCATCTAGAGTATATAATACATAGTAACGTCGTTAGCGCGAGTTGCGAAAACAAGTGAATTCAAATCGTTAACTGATGAAATTCGATTTAATTTTAATAAGTATTTCAAGCAAAAATCACGCATTATCGGCGACCGACGAGCACGTCATGTCCCGCCCGTCGAAACGATCATACTACACTTGTCAGTTGAACTCTCGATATCTACCGTTACAAAAAATCAAAGTCGTCAAAGTCAAAGTTAAGCTCGAATAAAAAGAAGTAAGTCTTAAATATCTTAAACGTTTAGTTTGATAACTTACTCATCTCTATATATATTAATAAAATCTTCTTCGTGTTAGGCAAAAGTTGTATCGCAAAAATATATTGCCAACTTTCGCCAGATATTTTTATAGCGATTAAAAAGAAAGTCACGTTGCAGCGTCGACGCGTATACGGCGTATACCACGCTCGGTATGCCATACCGTTTGGATATTCCGGCGTATAGGAGTTCCGAGTCCCTTCCGTCGATCCTTTCTTCATAAGCGAAAAACGTATAACGAGAGAAGAAAGGCCGAGAGATTGGATTCGACGATTAATCCTGGGCTTTTAATTTCGGTGACTCGTAACGTCGAACTTGAGACCGTAAGTCTTACACGATCTAACGGGATATGTACGTGGATATATTGCGCACGTGTACGCACGGTCTCGCGTTGCACGCGAGACGAAATGTCTGTCGCGTTTTCATCGCACATCGAGCGGTGCGTTTAGCTGCCTTTAAATGTTGGAGAAGACGTATCTCTTCGATATTTAACGACCGAGAGGAAATTTTGCCATCACATATATAGTAAAATATTTAGACTTCTTTCAAAACTACCGTGCTTTCGAGAGCAATGAGAAAATGCTTTTGCACCAAAACTTGCACCGCTCAAGTGTACACTGAAGACACGAATAAAAGAGAGAGATAGAGACGGCCTTCTTCTTAGCTTCTTTCGAAGGTAAAAAACGACACCTATCGCTTTCGAACTTCTATACCGGATACTTTTCGGCGCCTGTATATAATGCCCTTGTCACATAATCTCTCTTTCATCTATAATTATTGTAGTAGTATTGTCTGTTTCCCGACTGCGTTCGTCCTTGTTTACTCTATAACGCTTAGGCGATCGTGCGATCGTGATAAAAGTGACGTTCGAAAAGATCCTGACGATCCGGTTTGGATACGCTATTTTTTTTCACGTTGCGATTGTATGAATGTATATAACTGTCAATAGTATGTACATACATATTTCCGTGTACATTACGTCCAACACTTGCTAATTATTCGTGGTGTACATATATCTTTACGTATTATATTTATATATATATATATTTATCGCGTGGTATACAGTATACGATATTCGTATGTATATATAGATATATCTCTACTCTATATATATATTGTATATTTATATATAACTCTGGGTACAAATAATGCTTACAAAAATATTAATTTGGGAAGGCAAACTTTCAATTATAAGTCCGTTAGTCTCGAAATACTCACGAATGCAACAATTAACAGTGGCCGATTTTATCTACAATACCGAAATTATAGGGAAACCGCCGTCCGCGTCTCTCTAAAGTCTAACTCAACACAAGCCTCCGCGTGCAAATTCGCCTCGGAATACAGCCGCCCTAAAATCTCAAACTCATATTATCATTATCTCTCCGATATCTCGAAACCCCTCCCCTTCGATGTGTTGTATTTTCCCTGCGTATCTTCTTTCTTTTTTTCTTTCTTTCCTTCGACACCTTCCTGGATCAGGGTAGCAGCTGCCAGGAGAACAGCCGGTAACAATAAGTTACTAATTGTTATCGTACACTACTTACAAACTCGCGTATCCTAGCGCACCTATCTTGCTAAAATCTTTTGGTAAATTCGACGCCAGAAAGGACCCAGACGCACGATCAGCGATTATCTCCGATATTTCTGTATAACATTAACGTGCGTTTGATTGTGTGGCTATTCATTGTAACAAAGAATGATCGATGTGACATTAGAACAGAAGTACGTAAAATATCGATATTTTAACGAATGTCGATACCGTCCCGTCGTTGTCCGATGTCTCCCGACAGTAATTCTGATCGCACGAGAGCCCTTTTACGCCACGCCGCAAACACTGATAGTACTAACACTTCTTATCCTAGACTGCGTTATATCGATTAACATCGTCGCTAGACCCAAAAAGGAAGACTCTTGTGACGTTTTCTTTTTTCACTTCCTGCTGTGTGAACGCTTAACCCTCTCGCCTCTCGAATTATTCATCGCGAAACTCGGAACGATAAGAATAAAAGTCGTTTGACGTTGCACGAAATCTTTTAATCACGTTCGCCGAACTCGGCGAAAGTGTTTCCGTGCGACGCCGGCAGTCGCGTGAATTTAATTAGACGTGTTATTCGTTGTATCAGTAATCATTTCACGAGTTACGTGAAATTATATATAATGCGATGTTTCGAGCAAGATCGGCAAAATATTGTATTTCATATATCACCAAAAATTAAACGAAGAAATTCGTCAGCTGGTAATATTGTATTTCAAAATATTGTATTTCATATCACCGAAAATTAAACGAAGAAATTCGTCAGCTGGTATCTTCGAAGGTACGAAATTTCGGTATCGGGATTTGCGAGAATAATTAAAATTCAATCAGTAAATTACAAAAAAAATTGATTGTAAACATTTCTTAAAATTTCCGTACATCGGAACAATTAAAACTGCAAATGTACGCTTAAAGCACATTAAAGAAATAAATTAATAATCGTAAAATAAATTGCAATCATAATTACCTGTATAGATAATGCCGTAGAAGATGCAAGCATTGCAATTATGCGTGTTATATACATCTTCATTCTTTATTTTTATAACGAAGAAAAGAGGAAAATAAAACAAATTACCGCGATTTCTTTCAGCAAAAGCCTCCTGCCGAACGTAACTTGCGAAAACCTTCGTACTGCCAGAGACAACGATCGGGTTAAACGTTGAGAAATTCAGTGCCTATCCTAACGATTCCGCCTAGTGCTTTGGTGAAAGCTATCCTGGGCCCTGATGCGCCGCGCAGCGTCCAAGTCCTGGACCGTCGGCCTTCCTCACAATCTCTCCACGTAGTTGCCCGGGAAGGTACCGAAGTAGCCGGTCCTCTGGCTCGAGCCGACGTACCACCCATCGTCGCACTTCTCCATCACGTACACCGTGTCGCCCTCCTTCAGCTCCAGCTCGTCGTCGTTCTGCGGCTTGTAGTTGTACAACGCCCGGTATCTGTATCAAAATGGAAATGCCTGTGAGTCCGATATCGCCTCTTTTTGCCACGATAGAACGATCCGTGCGTGAATGAAAAACTAACATAACGAATGTATTAAGGCGTACACAAAAAGAAATCATTAATGCGTTTCACGCCGCGTGAATCGCCGATGATTAATTGGATTTTTAATTCAAACTGTTTGAATATTTTAGCTTAAAAAAAAACATGATCAGAAAAAATTCTTGAAATTGTAAATTGTTACAAAATTATTTGGTACAATGTAATTTTAATTACCGGTGACTACTCATTAGTTTCTGTATTTTTATACGTATTATGAGAGAATACATGTTATTTAACAAATACATAATAAACACGACAACGTGGATGTCATCGATGCAGAATAAAAGTCTAAAAATTAATAAAATTAATGCGGCATGACCAAATTTTCGAAAAAGTTGCGAAAAACTCACGGGATCGGTTCCGAGTGCGTGTCGATGTGCAGGGTTTCGCTGAGTTGCGACACGTGCAGCTTGCTCCCTCCCATACGTGGCTGGAAAGCACGAGGAGAAAGGGCGGTTTAAGGAGTGTACTTTTTTTTTTATTAAAACGCTTTCGCTTTATTAGAAACTGTCTCCCTCAAACGAAAACGACGTCTCCCCGCCACATTATCCGTTACGGCGTAATGAAACTTTACCGGGGAGAGGATTCAATCACGCCGCGGAGTAATTATGCCACGACACGAGATCGCGCGATAGTTACCAGTGAATTATAATGGGGCTGGGTTGTGTTGATATTGACCGGGATGGACGGCACGTAATGATGGGGTCCCATACTCATTTTCCCTCCGGACGAGCCGTTCGCTAAGAGACTGTGCGCCGCCGGAGACGCGACCGGTTTGTTCTGAATCGGTGTCTCTGAAATAAGAGCGGACGATTTTTCGTATACGAATTTCGTCGATTCGAGAGGCTAATCTTGACTAGCGATGGCTCTCAACATCGCTCCGTCGAGGCTCCCTTTTATGCTTTCTTTTTTAATCCGGCCACCCTGATCGAATTACCTGATCGAAGTCCGGGCTCGGTGATGACCTCGACGTAGGAAATCGGGAAGATGCCCTTTCTGTTTCCTATACGCCCCTCGTACCAATTTTCGTCGACCCTCCTCGTTAAGACCACCAATTCACCTGCCGAAAAAGTAATTTGCATTTCTTTTTCGTTGCCTCGAGAACCGAAGTTCAAAGAAATTCTACACGCACCTTTCGCCAAGGACAGCTCGAGATTCGTCTGGGCGATAAAGTTGAACTTGGCCCGCGCCTGTCCCTCGTGAGCCTTCTTCGGTGTCGTTCGCATCATACCGTCGTACGGTAGGATCTGTATCGAGTAAAGTTAGAACTTAAAAAAAGAAGCGCACTTTCCTCGTCGCCCATGCAGGTATCCAACTCTCGTCGTTTCTCGCGTCTATACGCGATTTTAAAAATCTAGATCTCCCAAGGGCGATTACCTCGACGTAGTTGGAAGGGAACAGTCCGATCATCGCGTTGTACTCCCCCTCGTACCAATTCTTGTCCACCTGCCGTCGCACGAATATGAGGTCGCCGCGGCGGAAAGTCAATTCCCGGGACGACTGGCCGACGAAATTGTAGAGCGCCCTCGCCACCAGACGCGGCTCCGGTGTTTGATCTTGGGATCGACTCCGCTGGCTCAAATCGTCCACGAAGTCGTCGTAGCGGTTCAGGGGTATGGGCGACTTCTGCGACGGTCTGAAAATTGTCGCAGCGCGACGTCGAGGAGGACGGAATGACTTCTCGGGCCGGGCGCGGCGAGTCAGGATTGTCCTTCTGTTTGCTCCGAGCAAACGCTAACTCTCTTCGGCATTGTGACGATTACCGAGTGCTTGCGATCGGGATACTTACGCGCGCGCTTCGGAAAAATGTAGATCTGTTCGTTTTGACATTCTCTCCAATCTGTCTCGTTTGAAATTTAAATCGCGAGCCAATACATTTTTTTACAGTCGACGAGCTTTGTTATGACAGAATTTTGTGAGACCTATTCTTTTCCAGTCTACTCGGAGACTTTCTATTTCGCGCCATTGAGAGAATCTAGGGCTACCAGCACATCCTTCCCTCGAACGTCAATGGAACCTCTCTCGGTTTTTCTACCTGCGCGTGATCGCCTACGCTCTCATTGTGACGCCCGCGGCTCACGGCGCGCACGATGCGTTACGCAACGGCCGTTGAATAGCAGGAAGTGTTTACGAGCCGACGACCGAGTGCGCGACAAGCTGAAGATGCACAATGCCTTTCGCCGTTATTAGAGTCATATTCAAAAATATTATTCTCGCGTTTGAAGGAATAAGGAACGGAGGAGCGCACAAAGAAAAAAAAACCGACGACGTCGTTAAAGCGAAGACTTTCGTTTTTTCATCGACGACGAAGGTAATTCCCGAGTCTTACGAAGCTTTGAAAAGAGACGAGATGATCAAGCACTGATTCGATCCGACGTCGCTCTTCAATCGCGAGTTCCCGAATTAAAAAAAAAAAGAGAAGAAACACGGGTGTGAGGCGCCCTTTTTTATGTACTTACATAAAGTTATCCGTGTGCCTGCGGGAGTCGATGTCGTGCAGCTCCTGGAGATACTTGCGACGGCGCTCCTCCTGGTAGACGCGCCGCATGTTCTCCGCGCTGCGGCGTGCGAGCTCCTCCTCGCTCAGCGGCTCCTTCGCCTCTGCACGCACCGGCGAGCGATAGTGAATCGTCACCTCACCCTCCACATAACGCCTCGGCGATTCTGCACCAAGCGAAACGCATTTATCGTCATCGATCGACTTGATCCGCAAGCGGAACGGCCGGTACCGGCCGTTAGAATTTTTTTGGGTATCTTATACATGGTGATCTATATATTCTCTCTTTTTATATACATATGTACATTTCGCGCGCGATTTTACTCCGGCTCAATTGGCCCTGACCCGTGTCACGCGCGACCAGATGCGAGACGCGAGAGAGCGTTGTTAACTTCGGTTTAAATTATTCGATTGATGGGAGCGTTTTATTGGGGGGGGGGGGAGGAATCGCGGTTTGAAAACGCGTGCCATTTCATCGGGTTAATCGTCGTCGTCAATCGCTCCAGTGGACCCAGTCGTTATTAAAAATGATGGCGAACGTTCGACGTCGGTCGCAGACACAATTTCAGAGTCGTTCGCGGCAGCCCGTGCTGAAGTGTCAAATACGGAAAATTTCACGATTCTCGCATCGTGAGATTTTCCGTTTTCAACCGTGGAAACGTTATTTCAACTCGGATTAAAACAATAAAATCAGATTATCAAGATCATATTCGCACAGAAGACGAGACTTGAACGTTTTCTCGGCGTCTCTAACGTTTGATGATGTCCGACAGTTATTGGAGCACGCGATGATCCAGCCAGATAATATCACGGAAAAGAATTGAATCATATATGAAAGACGACGGTTTAAACACTTTAAACCCACATCGAGGCCGTCGCTTGTTTATCTCATTCCGCTGTGGAACATGTGGCTTCTTCGCGGAGAGAAAGAGAGAGAGAGAAAACGATGCTTAAGCCGCGCGGTCATCGACCGGCACGAAGCAAAAAATCTAGATACGGTGTCTGAGCATGATTTCATGTAATGCTCGATTACATTTGATTACGCGCACGTGATACAGCATGAAATAAATGTAAAGCATTAGCGAAGTAAGTCCATTACATTCCGATATTTGCGAAATTATAACGGCGCTTATCTTCGAACAGATAGAGGCTAGATATTCCCGTGTGTGTAAGTGGTTTAATCACACTTACAGGCGATTATTATTTATTTATGCATGAACACGTAGCAACTAATGACCGTGGTATCGATTCGCGTGACGCGTTTCTTTTCCCGTTTCTCTTTCTTCCTGGTCTTATCTCTCGCGTTTAAAAAAAAAAAAAAAACAAGGAAGCTTCGTATTTTCAGGTGCTGCAAACAACAAAAGCGCTGTGCACGCACCTGCCTTCGTGCACACGCGTTGCGCGGGATAATCGACGAGAGTCGTTTATCGCGATGCAGCGGCACGCGCGCGTACGATGCGTGCTCGCGTGCGCCGGGCTGCAGCGAGACCGCGCGACTGATAAGATGGAATGCAGCCTGCAACAATCAGCCTGGACAATCCCCGACAAAGCGCAGTCGCGGTGACATGAGGTCGACGCAAGATGCGTCGCGGGAGAGAGCGAACCCGTGAAATACACGACCAAGTTTCGGGTTTCGGTCGTCATGCATTTTATTTTTTATCCCGAACGACCGGAAGTGGAAGCGCGTGTTTCACGAGAGAAGGATGTCACCGTGGAGGTGAGTAGATAAAACGGAAACGGGGAATAAAACTAATTAAAAAAAAAAAATCTCTTCTTTCGGATCGCATCTAGGAAATCGGAAACTTTCGTCCTCCAGTGAAATCTCGCTGGAGATTCTCCCGCGAATTCGCCCGACCACTTTTGTTTCATGCCGTCATTACTCATGTAACCCAATTTGTTAGCGTGTAACACTAACTCATCACAAATGCCGAAACAAGAAACTGAATTTCAGCCTCTCTCTCTCTCTCTCTCTCTCTCTCTCTCTCTCTCTCAGAGCGCCGCAACACCTTTCACCGCTTTCATTAAATGAGATTCTCACGCGATCGATTCCCTCTCTCTTTCCTTCTCTTTGTTTCTCGCGCTTATCCTGTGCCAAGACTATTTTTTATTTACGGTACCTTATTATTCTTTATCTGATTTTCTCCTCCGTATAATTTAATTCCACTTTAACGTTCTACTCTCGACGTGCTTCTAGAGTCTTTCGTGGATTATGAGACGCTAGCTTTTCACATTACAGCAATTTGTTATGTGCGTCGATGTCAGTTACGCTTAAGATTAAACACAAATTTCAAATTTTATTCTATTACGATTTTTCATACAGTATGAATTAATTTAATATATCTGCATGATATAGATACGTTTAAAAATACTTCGGTATTCGATACTTCTAATCCGATCGTATTAGATTTTTTTTTTGCTTAAAACAACATTTTCGAAGAAGCTACTCTACCTAATTGGTACCTTGATTCTATCTGTTTTTATTTTCCTCTCTCTTTCTCTTTCCTCCTCAATCATCGCGCCAGCGACACCAGCAACAGCTAGGTATGCCGAGGCGATTCTAACGGGGCGCGCGCGGTTATTTACGCGCGGCAGGAAGAGCATTATTTCAGGAAAATTATGCGCATGTTTACTGACTGTACGGAATCGGTCCGTAGACCGTAGACGGAAGCGCGCTTCCGGCGGCGTGAGGCCCGCCAATCGGACTCGTCTGATCGAACAAAGGGCTGCTGGTGGCTCGGTCACGGCGGCGGGCATCAGGGCCAATCGGAAGTGTCCCGATCGAGGTGGGATCTGCTCCCCGTAGATCGCCCGTCGAGCTCTTGCAATTGTTGACAAGTTGGGGCGACTGCAGTTCGTTGGCCAGCGAGAGATCGTCGCAGGACTTGTGCAGAGATCCGAACGATCGCCGTGGTCTCCTATCGGCGTCTCTTTCGCGCGGCTGATCGTTTCGCGGATTCCCATCCGCGATCCTCGACAGGGTATTACCTCCGACGACGTCGTTAACGGCTCGTCCGTTCGCGGCGACGAGCGGCGGATCTTTCACGTGATCCTCGTGATTTCGCAGAATCGCCACGTCGACGCTATAATCGTTCAGACACTTCCTTTCGTTCGCCTCCATGCGTTCGCACCGCTCGTTCACCGTGCTCAGGTCCAAGGGAGGAGGAATCCTCGCCGCCTTGACCTCGCGCCGCGGGGTCAAACGGTTGGACGAGGCCGATACGTCCGTCGTCGATTTAGACGATGTCGATTGTCCGCGGTTGATCGAGCGTGTCTGATCTACAATCTCCTCGCGCCGTCCCGATCGTTGTTCGCGGCGCTGCTGCTCGACGCGATTCGTTCTTACGACACGAGGCCCGAGCTCGTGACCGACGATCGACGATCCAAGCAATTCGAGGCCCTCGGGAACGTTAACCGTACGGGCAACGTAGAGCGGAGTGTCGAGGTTCCGCTTCAGCATCGTCAGATTCGGCAGAGACCTGCATATCTCGTCCCAGCAGATCCCGTCGCCGCTTGACATGCACGTTTCGGAATCCGATCGTCCGCGACAGTCACGGATCGTCCGAGTTTCGATTTGAGAGAATCGGTTCCGTTCGAGTTCGTTCTTCCGCGTTACTCGATTCCTCGCGTCGTCCGCGTCGCGGCATCTGCTTCGTGCATCCGGCGAGTCCCAGTCTTCTTTTCGGCTCCCGATGTCAATCATCTTTGCGGCTCCGCCAAAGATATACTCCGGAAGACTCCTCTCTCGGCACCACGCACTGGAATTGACATCGTCCTGATCCTCGATGTGGCACTGGCACGATTTATCGTGCATCCCTCTCTCGCTGATCGTCGCGTCCCGAAATCGTGCGATCTCCTCGACGATCGGCGAGTCCTCGCTCCGTTCATTACTCGCCTCATCGGGCTTAACGGACGGTACGTTTCTCACGTCGGCCCGTCTTATCTCGCTTCCGGGTAGAATGTTGACGAGCACTCTGCCGTCTCTCCGAGCGCGACCGACGTTCCTGCGATTGACGACTCGGGATAAGTTCCTCCCGGCGAACTCGGTCAACGTGTCCATCTCCTCCTCCTCCTCCTCCGGTGTGCGCGTCGTCTGCGCTCGGGACTTCCGGTCGTTTATGCTGCTCACGGACGATTGATTGCTCTGACTGGTGAGGGTCTCGGTGCTACCGAACCCGGTGCCGCGCCTCGGCAGCGCTTCCTGGCTGTTCCTCCCGGTGGCGTTTCCGCTTCCGTGGCAATTCTGCCGCGCGTTCCCCGGCATGTCGGCGAAGAACTGTCGCCGTAGATACCGGTTGTGCTCGAAGATTTCGTGCAGCCGCTCCCGGCTGTCGCTGAAGCGCTCCTTCTCGAGCCCCTCGGGATATCGCGACGATCCGCGCGTGGCGGGACTTCCGGAGGAACATTGTCGCGTCTCCAGCTGCGGGCGGCCACGCTCCCGCGGGGGGGCCGACTCGTGCGAGACGGGCTCGACGAGGCATTTTCTCGAATCACCGCAGTAATAGTCCTTGTAATCCTTGTAAAAGTACTCCCTCTCGAAGTCCGTCCGCGGCTTCCAGCTCCACCGAGAGTGCTCGAGACAGTCCCTTCGCAAGGGCGTGTCCTCGCGATCGTCCTCAAAATGCACCGTGTACGCCCGTTGCATTTCCGGCATGGACGCCCGCTGATAGGCGTGCCTCTCGATCCGCGCGTCGTCCCGCTCGTCGCGTCGGATCATCGCCGGCTTGTTCGGACGACGGAGCTTTACCAGGTTGTCAATGTCGTTCGCTAAGCTGGTCCACTGTGCACTATGCTCCAGGTCGGCGACGCGCGGCAATGTCGTCCGAGTTCCCACCTCATTCACCATCGCGTTCCTCATCGCGTGAGAACGGTGACGGCGCGCGAGTATCAAGTCCGACACGAGTATTCTGGAGGAGAAATTAAAGCGCTCGGAATATCCGCCGCGACACCGTTTACCAGATTCCGTGTAATCTCTTCCCGACACCTCGCGTTTTCCTCGATCTACGCCTTACGCTTCGTTCTGCCGAGCGGAAATCGCGGTCAAATCGAGCCGCATTGATTATTAATCTCTTAAGATAAGATCGAGGACGATCTTACCTCGCCGCGCCGGATATTGCTCAAAATCTGAATCAGCGATCGTGATCCTCGCGGAATTAATCGCGCGATTACAAACGGGAATGGAAAGCGCGATTCTCCCATTGCGTTGGGCAATCGACTCTCAACGACGACGGGCAGCCGAGTGGAGAAACTCGATTTGTTATTGTCGCCGGACGATGACTCGCGATCGTTTATTCAACGCGCCGATGCCACGTTCACTTCTATACGTACAGTTTGGATATTAAGAGAGCCGGTGTCGTCTCGTAACGGTGACTCGTACGCGGACGGATGTGCAACGTGAGCTGCAACGTCGGTGCTATCAAGGTTGGAACGAACGCGTCGTTCCGTGTCACGTTTCTCGCGGTAATGCCGATGTCTGTTTTCGTATCCGCGGTATCGCACACAATCACGTCGCTACGTAGATGTAATTCCGATTCCGATAATTCTGATTCTCGCCGTCGCGTAATCGTATATCTTTCTCTCTCTCTTTCTATCTCTCTCTCTCTCTCTCTCTCTCTCTCTCTCGAAAGATAAGCGCGAACAAACTTTCAATGAAAGTTCTAACGTTACTCATCACCCGTCCCGTGAAACGTGGCGTTATTCCGGGCGACGTAATGACGTTGACTCATTAACCGCGGGCCTCGTAACGTGTAATTAACGAGAATGAACGTGGGTTGCCGCGCGAAACTTTCGCGCGCTCGTCGCGGCGGCAAAAATGTCACGAAGAGAATACGCCGTTTAGGGAAAACCGTGTTAGAGGCGAGAACATTCGCAGGCGATCGAGGGAAGGCGAGACTCCTTATTAAATGGATTCCCCCCCATCCCTCGCGAAAACTCAAGTGTCTTAATGAAGTGCGTCTGTTTGTTGTACCGGCGAACGGGAGCAGAATCTTTCCCTGAGAAGGGTGCTACTTGCACTCTCATGGCTATTCTATTCAAATGAACCTCCGGCGCAATGTGGATCAAACGCGATTCACGAGGAAGACGGTACCGCGCGGATCGTTCTTTTCTTCTCAATGAGAACGATTTCGCTGACAAAGTGTCGCCGTCGCGACTTATTTTTCCACCTCGCCGTTCCGCTTAACCGTCCCTCAAAAGTTTCGAGATCGCTTCCCTTATCCCGGACAAAGACTCGAGCCTCCGCGGGTAATTAAATTCGATTTCAATTTGAAAAAAAACCCCAAGTTACATATATTCTCGCGCATTTCATCCGGCCACCGCACCGCGAGCGAATCCCGAGTTTTCAACAGGTCTGGTAAACGTGTCGTTCAAAGTCCGCTGTTGTCATCGCGTCGACAGAAACCCGGTAATATCAGATGACCTTGCACACACATATACACACACACACACACACGTAATACGTACTCGAATCGGTTCGCACGGAATTCAATCGTCGAAGCGATCGTATCCCGCACTCGACACGACGGCAAAACTTCGCGTCAAACGAGCTCCGCACGTTCGCAAAACTGCCGATTAAATCGACGCAATTATCACGATTATCGCACCTCGAGGAGAGAACCAATGGCCCTCTCGTTAGGATCGATCGAATTGCGTCTTGCACTCGCGTAACGGCGTACAACACACCTCGCCGAACACCTGTTATCGGTACCTGCGTCGCGCGACGCACGCGAAACGCGTCTGAGGAAGGCGCCGCGACGTTGGCACCGGTTATCGCGGCTCCCTACTCCTTGAGAAGAACGGTTCACCAAGCAGGAAGAACCGTCTCTTCGGGCGGAGCGCGTTCGCACGAAGTTTCCGACGGTTTCGGCCCGAAACCAAAGCTCCTAGCGATATATTTTGGGATGTTGTAGCCAATTCGCACGATGACCGATGTTTCTTTCGCGCGGAGAGAAATCTCGGAATTATTCTTGCCAAACGCACGAGACGAAATGCGGCTACGCATGTAACGTTTCCCAGGAGAATCACGTAAAGCGTATAATTTCTTCGAGTCGTTATCCGCTGCAAAGATAAATATATGGTCGTCGCACTAATTAAAAGGCGTTCAAGGCCGCTGACAAAAGCCGCGTTGTTGTACGTCGCAATCCTCGTGCTCCGATACGAGCGCATCGCGGACTGCAATAACAGTGTTGTTTTGCACGCTAATCACTTTCCAGAGCGCGTTAATTATTCATGATGCCCCGGCGGGGGTAATGTTTCCACTCTCGTGTTTCACTTCTCGGCGGATTTTCGCGAGAACGCGCGGCGGTGGATTCCGTCACCTGGTAACACGGTTTGACGAAGAACAGGGGAAACGCGCACGCACGGTTAATCGCCGTGAGATTAGATAAGACGGGACCGATCGGCAGGCACGAGCCTACGTGCGTACAATAAATATTTGGAATAACGTTCGACTCGATTGGGACGCCGATGGATCGTCGGCGATCTGCCGAAGACGCGTCGACGCGAACTGCAGGTCGCGCGAGCTCGCGATTACGTATGCTAATTATTGCGTTACGCAACGGCGATAACAATCGCGCGCGCGAGGCGGTCGAATTTATCGCGCGAATATTAAACGAAGTACGTGGACATCGCGACCGCCTCTCGGCCGCGGCCGCGGCGCTGATCATCGTCGAAAATAATCGTGACCGCCACTCGTACCAATTTTAGCGGCACGTAATACCGCGTATGCGGTATGATCTAACGTTACGCGATACGATCGGCATCATTAGCATCGAATTTACTGAGGCTTTACGTCTTCCTGTCTTGAGGTTGCGCGACGCGTGTCGTAACGAACGACTTTGAAGCTTAGCTTCTTCGATCTCGATTAAACCAAGTTCGTTTATATGATTTACAAGATTCTATATACTTTTACTTGAAATAACGCAATTAAGTGGGTTACGTGTTTCTACGTATCACTCGCGTACTGTGCTTCGACGCGAGTGATACACGAGTGCATTCACGTGTAAATTGAACGACAGCCAGTTCACTGTTACCTTTCCGTTAGACAATTAGCATGCGCGACCGCATGCTTAGCGGAGTCGCGAATGCCCTTGACATCATAAAACGGCTGATGAAGCGATTTAAGATCTATCTCTCTGACATCTTGACACGCGCGATTATACCATCGGGACTGGGGGATTTCCGCGAGGCTGGATTTTCCGGGCTGCCGATAACACACCGCGATTATACGAATTGATCGGCAGGCCGAACATAATTAATCGATCGCGTAACACATTACGAATGCAATTTTCTCTTTGTCCACGCTTGAACGTTAGCCATCACTTTTATCGTAGATCCGTCGTTTCCCAATTACCTGTTTCCCCTCTTTTGCGCAATACACGACGCAATGTATTTTCGGATACTTGTGTCAAGTTGTTATCTTTTTGATGTGCGCGCAATTAATTAATTCGTAGTTTCATTTTTCAGCCATTCATAAAATTATAAACTATCGTAAATAAAAACGTGTTGAATGTTTTACACATAAAAAAAAAATTGCGAAAACATTTTAATTAAGCAATCTAAATCTAATATACGTTCAATCTTTCTGAAAAATGATACAATATACAGGTATCTCTAATGTCATGCAGTGACGCATTCAACATTGACGTTTCACGTGCTGTTTCACGATCTCGCGCATCCACAGGAAAGCACAGGCGAGCACGATGCGGATTTAATATCAAATTTCTAATCGGGGCTGCACGGCGAGCGCGCGGTGATTTCTCCATATGCGAAAGTGCACATTATCTTCGGCGCGCGTCTCGCGTCGGTGGCTCGCGCGCGACCAGCGCGACTTACGACTCCGCAGACCAAGCCGGAGACTCCAGAGACCGTCAAGTGAGACGAGCAGCGAATAAACACGAATAAACAGCTTATTGCTTTAATGAGCACGACGCTCATTGAGGCTAACTGCCCCGTCGCGATTGTCCACGCTCGTTTTGCTCGAACTGGACCAGGCGTTATGCGAGCGCGCGCGGATGACGAAGCCGCGTGATGTACCAGCCGGATGAGCACCGGCGGTGCATCCCGTCCGACCGCGTGATTATTGCGCTCATGCTCGATCGTCCGTGCAAACGTTCGTTTGCGCAATGCAATCTCTTTCCCTGAGCACGCGTCGCTCGTGCATCCCGAGTCACATGCACCACGATGCATCATCACGTTTAGTAAGTGCCCGGCGTCGACTATACGTGCACGAATTTTAATGACTCTAGATCGACTGGCCTTAAGCTTGACGACGTATACGAGATGTATATGCATATTTCAAAGAAATTTATGTTACTTTCTCCTTTATTTTTTGTCTTTACTAAGATCTAAGATTAGGGCTGAAAGTGCTTGAATCTGATGAGAGGACGGGATAGCGAAGCGTTTTAATGTTATAATTATTTATATGTTAGCAGCATGATTTTCAAACGAAATTATTCTCCAGTTAAAAAACGGCTGGTTAATAATACGTTTAGTTTCCACGGGTGCCAGATGTTACGAAACACCCGGTCGGACACGCACGATCACACGCGCATGAACGCGGACAGACGCACACAGAACACACAAGAATTAAAAATATTTTATGTACAATAATAATGATGAGCTTTGTAAATCGGGCATTACCTTGGCGATCGTCCCTGTAGTGCTGGGATTTTGGTGGCGGCGGGGGTGCATTCGAGTATTCTACGAATGGAGCGGAAAAAAATTAAAATAATAATTAGCCGTTCTCTACAGCTACGGAAAATGAACTCGCGGGATTCAACGAGGAATCGCACACACGTTGCCGAGCGAACCTGTCGGTCAACTTGACGCACGTATTCTTCTCTAATATCTAACGATATTGGTGCCACGAGAAGCGATAATGATTTTTTTTTTTCGATTCGATCGCACTTAACAAAATTAAACTCTACTTTCTTAATCAACCGAAACAAAAACTAGAATTTATTTCTAAAGACACAGAGAGAAATTTCTCGGGTCCGCCTTTCCGCTCTCGGAATCTCTAGGGAGTGCTCAATCCAGCCTAGGTGCTCCAAACGGCTGACGAGATTTCAGACCTTCGAAGGTGACGGTAGGTCGCGCCATGTAGACAGGCATGGTCGGCCACCAGGTTCTGTGCTTTCGCACGGCGGTGGGCGAAGGCGGCGGAGGCGGTGGTTGGTACCTGAACCTCGGTCTGTGCTTGTCGGGGTCGAAGGGCTGCCCGGCGAAGACGGTTGTCTGCTGCGACGGTTTCAGGATCGACGCGGGGGCCGTTCGCGGAGGTCGCGTCGGCGATGAGGAGGTGGCGCGCGGTCGTTCCGGTTTCCTCTTGTCGACTGCCGATGGGGAACGCGTCTTCGAGGTGCCGCGGTGAATCCTGAGGTCGGCCGGCGACGACAGCGAGCGCATGTTGTCGCGACGATTCGGGTAGCGGTGCGCCACCCACTTTCCGGCCAGGTAGGGCGCGATGTCGCGAAGCTCGCGCACATCCGGCGCCGACGTGAACATCTCGCCCATTATGGAAGTGCGGCCACCACCGGTGTCCGGTGACTCGAATCTCTTCCGCATCCGGCAGACCGGCCTCTGCGCCTCGAGTTCCATGGTCTCCGCTCTTCTGGTCACGTGATTGGTGACAGTGCTAGTGGCTTGGGGCTCCTTCAGTTCGACCGTCTTGCTGATGACGTCGATGTGCGGCATCGAGAGATTCTCCCGACGCAGCGGCACTCGCGTGATCGGCGGCGAGTCGCCTCTTCGTCCTATCCGCGGTCGTCCTTTCCTCGTGGTCTCGAATTTCCTGCGCAACCACGCCACGTCGACGTGCTCGTGCGGCTTGAGAGCGCTGCCACGCTCCTCACCCTCGCCCGTCTTCTTCAACAGGCTCCGTGCCAATTCCGGATCGCTGCGAAAACGCTTCGGCGCGGCCGTGATCCTGACGCGCCGCGGCAGGTCCTCGGCGCTCTCGAATCTCGCGCGCAGCCTACGCACCGTGCCGTTTCGCACCAGGTTGAGGTAGGCGCGCCAGTACCTCTCGGGATCCGGCGACGAACTGCGCGGCCGACCGCCACCGCTGTCCACGCTGCAGGACGAGTTCGATCGCGTGGTCGCGCGACACGGACTGACGCTGCGCGGCCTCGCGTCGTGTTCACGCTCCCGTGAACAGGAGCGGAACGGTCGTCGTTGCTGTCGCGTGCTCGTCGCTTCCGGCAGCGTCGGCGGACTGCCGTTGATCCTCCTCCGCTCCCGTGGCGACGTCGATCGCGATCGATCGAGTCTGCCGACCAGCGAACTGTACTTGGCCGATTCGGTCTCGCCAAAGAGCTCCTTCAGATCGGCAAAGCTCTGCGACGACGGTAGCTTCTTCTTACCGCGAAATGTCCACGTACTCATCGCCGTCGTCGCGATCTCCCTCTGTTGTTCTTCTCTCTCTCTTTTGTCCACGTTCTCGAAAAACTCGATCTTCCGCGACACGTCCTCCATCTCGGGTCCGTTGCCCCGCTGGATTACCGTCCTCACCGAAGTCTCCGAGCTCTCCGTCATGCTGTCTCCGTCGCTGCCCGAGGCGAATTTGCTGCTCGATTTCGCTTTCTCACCTGGCACCGTCGTGGCCAACAAGGATGATTTCTTCGACCATTCCTCGAGCACGGTCTCCACGCGTTGTTTGTCGCTGAGGCTCTCGTTGTCGGGCGTCAGTACTAGCAGGAAGTCGCTCTTGTCTTTGGATTTGGTCATGTCTTCGACATATGGCGCTTCGAGGGAATAACAGGTCCTGGGAGATGTGCTGGCCACGCTGGGCGCATCGGGCACGCCAGGTGGTCTTGCGGTACTCATCGCGGACGTCGGTTTCGCCGGTATCTTCGTGGCCGCTAAGGCAGCGGCGATGCTACCACGAGTCTCGCGAGGCGCCAAACGCGTGGACAATCTTTTCCGCGTCATTCTGTCCAGCATTTCCTTGCCGAGAGTCAACGACAGCCTTTTTTTCTCCAATTCTGACATCGACGGCGAGATCGATCTCTCCGACTCGGATCTCTCAAGGCCTTTTAAACGACCAATAGAGTCGCTTTTTTTCAGGGTGCATTCGGCATCGCTCTGTTCCTTCAACATTGACTCGTTTGTCGCTATCATCGAATGGCATCGTACGTGGAGACTCTTCGAATCGTCTTGAGAATGATCCTTGGAATCGCCTTGAGGTGGCACAACAATTTCGTAGCTCGTAAAAATTTCGTCTTTAACAATGTGATCTTCCTTGACAGAAGACCGCCCATGCTCGCTAATCTTACGAGGTGCGTCGACAACGTCGCCGTTCGATCGTTTCGGAGGACTGTCGCTACCGTAGATTTCGTTCAGCTGCTTCTTCAGGTTGGTCACCTGCTCGATGGACAAACTGCTCCAGAACTTCTTGCTGCCGCCGAGACTCCTCTGCAGGAACGGATGATAATCTGCGGCTCTGTCGGTAGAATCGCGAAAACCGGCGTTCGCTTTCTTCTGCATCGTGGTCGCTACGTTCACAACGGAATTTCCGCGCCAGAGAGGTTTATATGTATCCTTCTGCGAAACCGTTCTTTTTCTGGAGGATTCTAATTCGCTCTCCTCACTCTGAAGTCTCTTAAAATACTGCAAGATGTCCTCCACGGAGCGTTCCTTGCAACGCAGCCCGCAATCGCCATGCCACCTGAATTTCTCAATGTCTTTCGCGCTAAAAAGAAAATCCTTGTCACGCTGGACGCTCTTCAACTTTCCGTAGAGCGCCTGCAGCTCCTGCTCCGCCTTCTCCTTCGATCTAACCCGTTTCCAACGATCATAATCGATAATCTCTTCATTCTTCAACCGCGGTCGTAGATCCCCGGAAGAAAACGTGCGCTCCAACTGGTCCATCCTGCTGAGACTCGCGTAGAAGTCGCGCAGATCCTTGTATCGTGTCGATTTGCGCCTGTGGTGCAGCAATTCGAGTATATATTGTTGATAATCCTCGCGATCCATGGACGATAATGACCCGGTGCTCTTCGTCAACGACGGATTCGAGCCCAGCGTCCTCTTCGCGTCCTCCGCCTCGCCGGCGCTTCGGGCTCTCACTTTCTTCGTAATCTTTAGCGAGGCGTCCTCCTGCTTGGAGTCGTGAGTTCGTCGAGGTGCCTGCGATCGCGTCGGAGACGGTGAAGAGGACCTCGGCGAAGACTCTCGCGACTCGGGCAGCGTCTTCAACGGCGGCTCGCTTAGACTTCGCTCCTTCACGTGTTCCCGCGACATGGATTCCGGGCTGCGAGCGCGCAACGTGGTGGACGAGCCGAACTCGTCGATGCCCAGCAAGCTGTCGAACTTGCTGATCTTCTGGAGGGCCGACCGACCGGGCCAGCAGACCCCGTACGGGCTCGAACTTCGGGACGAGACGACGCTCTCGCGCTCCCAACACTTGAACTTCGAGTTCGAGACCGGCCGCTTGTGCGTCAGATATGTACTCAAGGATTTCAGAGACGGCTCGGATCTGAAACTCTCCCGCGCGGTGTTCTGGAACATTTTTGCGCGCTCGCCGACGAGCGACTTCCTCGCGTTCTCCTCGTAAGATTGCGCGAGCGACGGATGGTTTCGCAGGAAAAGATTCTGGAAGAAAGTGTCGGTGCGCGTCGCTTCCTGGTGTCTCCTGATCTCCTCCACGGTCAAGGAAGCGATCCTGGAATCTTGTCTGACACCCGGCGCTATCTTCTCCACTCTTCTCAGCAATTTGATTTCATCCTTCTCGGCTATCTCCCGCCACCCGTTCAAGGTCTTGCTCACGTCCGCTTCATCGACGCTCTTATCTCTCCGCGTCTTCCTTCTCGCATCCATCCTTCTCCCGTCGCCGTTCGCAGTTACGCGTATCGTCTCCGGCTTCCTCGTCGGAGTCTTGACGATCGTCTGCGGCTTCTCGCGAGGTCGCTTCCTCCTGTTCACTTCGCCGGCCACTTCGGAAGACGAGGACACCGAGCGCAAGGATTCTTTGCTAACGACCAGCTTTTCTGACGGCTTCGCGACGATCCTCGTTCTCTTTGGCTCCGTCTTCGTGATCTGTGGCGACGCGATTTTCGCAGGAGAAGACTTTAGCTGGCCGCTTGATGTCGTCCTTCTCGTCGTCGTGAGCTGCTCAGGTGTCTTTCGTAATACTTCCTGCCCCTTCGGCGAAACCGCCACGGCGACTTTGAGAGACTTGTCCACCGGACGCTTCTGTTTACTCGCCGGTGAACTATACGGAATCGTCGAGCTCTTCACCACAGTGCCTGACGAAAGTGTCTTGGTCTGTACGTCCCTCGTTTCGCGATCTTTGTGCTTCTGTACAGTTTTCCTGGCCTCTACCGGCGAGGAGAGCTCCTGCGATCTGCTTAACCTCCTGCAGGATTGTTCTTGCTCTTTCTTCGTCAAACGAAGCTTCTCTCTCTTTACAGTCGAGAGAGGCTCCGATCTCGCTGCAGTTCTTTCCGGAGATCTCTGTCTTACTTTAGTGGCAACGGAAGATACGTGTCTTGATGGCACCTTTGCCGCCGCGAGTTTATCGAGCTTAACCGAAGATTCGCGAATACTCCTCGACGCCGACGACGTTGAAGGGCAAACGTGACTTCTCGACGGCAGACTTAACTTCTTTGCTTCGAACTGGATCTGCGACAAGCAGGGATCCGATCTTCTCTTGCCGAAGGTGTTGGAGAACAAGGCGGACACCTTGGCGGTCTTCGAGGCGATCGGGCTGCTGGAGGACGTGCGCACGATCGTGCTTTGAAACTGCTCGCGACTTCGTCGATGCCGCTCGAGGTTGCTGCAGAATCTCTCTCTCAGCGACCTGATGCTCGACACGCTGTCGGCATGCGCGAAGCACTGCTCGTGCCTTGGTTTCGAATACGCGGTGTACGAGTTATCGATCAATCGCGTACTACTCTCCGAATATAATTTCAAGGTTCTATTATGACGTGAGGATTTTCTTCGGGGCGGGGATGGCGGCCTCGGCGCCGACATAGCTTGCGGAAGGGCTCTATCGGACGACGAGAGACTGTGAGGAGGAGCTCTCATGACCGGCGATCTCGAGTCGATCGAGGACAGTATCGACCACTCGTGCCGCGCTGAGAGTGCCGTCGTCTTCGTGGACGAGATGATCGTCGATGTGCACGAGGCGCTTCTTCGATGCACGCGGATCCTCGTCAGAGTCGGCGAGATCGGAAAATATTCGATCTCCGAGTCGTCTGTGGACAAAGTTTCGAGGTTTTGGTTTTCGGGTTCTCGATGTGCCGTCGAAGGCCCTTCGCTTTTACACCCTGCCACCCAAAGAGTCAGTCGTCTATAAAGGTTGTCCCGCTCAAGGCTAAGCTGGTGGACGCGCCGTGCTTCGCCGGCGCGACTGCGTGCCGATGCGAGGATTCGCGACTCCTCGTCGTGTTGTTACTTGCGGCTGGCGGTGCGCTTTATAGGTAAAAAGAAGGATTGCAAAAAAAAACAGAGCTTTTTCGGAAGAACCGGCTCGCGCACCAATATCGAAAGACTATCGAGAGAAGAGGCTGTGCCATATTTAAACTTAGGTGGGAACGCCCGAGGTCAGGTTGCACCAACGTTCTACTCGGTTGACTAATTCCGATTATCGATTACCTGTCCTCCGTCGTCTAGATCGCAGCCTCGCGGCCACGACGCGATATCAGGAGGGCAGAGGAAAGTTTTAGGCTGACGGAGAGGCCGATGTCGTTGATTGATTAATTAATCGATACCGGACGAGTCGGAGTCGTCCGGTAAGTTTATCAGCAAAGTACCACAATAGTCGCACGAACTTGGACAGATCCCCGTTGTCCCCGCGGCTAGCGGCCCTCTCCTGCAGCCCAATTAATCGCGATTAGCGTTGTAATTGACGTTGATGCAACCGCCCACGGGAGATTATACATACAGAGAAAATTCGTACGTATCAAAGCTGTATGCTTCAAACAGAGCACTACTCACACGTCATGCCACGCGCTTTTCAGCACAGATCAGCGCCGAGAGTTAAATAAATTGTCTGAGAAGAAAAATCGTCTCGACTCGCGTCGATATATTAAATTTTGCGAAACATCGAGGATACTTTTTGTAACTAAAATTAATAATCCGAAATAATTATAAATCAATCGTAACGATTATTCTAATAAAAACTAACGTTTTATAATTCCTTGTATAATTCCTTTAACAATGTAAAAATAATCCAAAATAATTATATAAATCAATCGTAACAATTATTCTGATAAAAACTAACGTTTTATAATTCCTTATAATTCCTTTAACAATGTAAAACTACTCTTTTTCCTTATCGCTCGAAGTTTCGGAACGCATGCGTAATTGGTAAAACACAATGATAATTAATAAAAACGCACACACTGCAAGCAACCTTAAAACATACACCCGCATGCCAAAAGTAAACTCGGGTTACACGGTCGATGTTGATCAGCGTGCTGATTGATTAGCATATATCAAGACGTATGGAGAAAAAAAGGTAAGGAACAAAAGAAAAATCAAAACGCATACAGCACGAGGATGGGGACGACTCACCCTTCGGACGTTCCGGGGCTGGCTTGCGAAGCCCATGGAGGGGTACGTCACCACCGCTCTGCACCGTTTTGTACGCCAGTCTCTGCTCGAGTAGGCTGAGCGGACTGATGTCTTCTCGTCGGCGGAACACCAACGTCGAGTCGCTCTCGTAGCCTGACTCTTTGAGGGCACTTCGCAGACGAGAAACGCCGGTGAGAGGTACATCCGTCGATTTATTATGCAGATTTAAATGGATCTGGGATTGACATTGTACTTACTGAGTTATGTACGGCTTGGCCGCGATACGTGCTGCGGTGCTGCGCTGATCGAATGGCTGAAAAAAAGAGGGAAACGCCGTTATCGTTGCCGTCCGTAACGTCAACGGTCCTCTCGATCGCCACTTATCGTCTACGAGACATGCTACGAACACGCTACTCGGCATTAAAAACTCGTCTCACGGCACGCGAGAGGTACGATTTACTCGAGATCCGAAAGCGAGTGGTTTTTAATCGAGATTAGCAATCGCATTGAGCAGAACATCGAGCAAATCATGCCGCAGTCGTGTAATGCTAAGCCAGGATGAAGAGGGACGCGGCAGGATTAAGCTAATGAGACATAATCCGGAAGGGGATGAGAGACACAGGAGTGGGGAACGAGTACGTGGGAGATCAAGATATGAGGAGATCGACAATAATCGCTTGTGAGATGCAAATGTACTCGAACGATTTTGTGAATCAGATAAAAAAATAATGTCACGTACGAATTATTGATTCACAGGAATAAAATAGCTAATATCGTTCATTGATTAATTAGCTTTCGTAACAAAATATATTTCGCTCATGCCGTATCGAGTGATGGTGTCTTAAAAGAAAAATATTTTCCAGTGTTCTTTAGAGTTTTGCGACGTGTACAAGGAAAGCGCTAAAGACGCGGCTCTAACTTCTTTTTCGGCAAGAGTAGAGTATTGTGTAATGATACAGATAGAGATGTGTGCACTGCAAATCCAAGGTGTGTAAAAAATGTCTCATCCGAGTAAAAATAACACATTATACTGTGTAAAAATACGAATTTACACATTTAAATGTGTAATTTTTACACATTTACACATTTAAATGTATTATTTTTACACGAATGAGGCACTTTTTACACACCTTGGATTTGCAGGGTGTATGTGAAACAGGCATGTAATATGAATTGAAAGAGAGATGCAGAATGCATGACAAAGATGCAAAGAAGAAAGTGAGGGAGAAAGACGACTCCAGATAGAAAGAGAGACAGATGACAGAAAGATATAATGTATATATAGACAGATAGAGGACAACGTCATCGTGCACTCTACTTGTCGATGATGTGGCAGCCGTTCTAACCCGTGAAACGGCTTGCGTGGTGATAACGGAGGGTGTTGTCGGTGATGGTGGTAGCATGATATGATCGGTGCTGGAAAAAGAAGAAGAAGTAGAAGAAGAAGAGAGCGGCGGTCGCTGCTGTTGTTCTTGATCTTGATGAAGGGGTTGTTGATGATGGCGATGTTGGTGATGATGTTGATGCTCGTGATGATGATGGTGATGACCATGATAATGATGATGACGCTGTTGCTGCTGCTGCTGCTGGATGCTGTTGTTGCCGGTCGAGCTCGACACGATCGCAGCGATGGCCGGAAGCGGCGATACCGCCGGTCGCTCGATCCCGACCGGATGCGATCGACGGGCCGGGCAACGATCCGGCAACACGAAGCTCTTGGATCTTCCATCCAGCGTGCCAGCGGCGTGCCAATAGCAGGGATCGGCGGCAGCGAGGGCGCGTTCCAGGGGTCGGATAATGCGACCGTCCCCGGCGTCGTCGCCGCCGGCGACGGCGGCGGTCGGACGATCGTTCGACCGATCGGTAGACTCAACCGAGATCAGGGACGACTTGGACCGGTCTTGGACCGGGGTTCTGGACCGGTGCGTGCGCGATCTGCAGGATAGATCGATCGACCGATCGGTCGTGCCTTCCGGCGCCACCGGACGCGCCCGCCTCATGCCGCCGATGAATTCGGAGCTTTTCGTGCTGCTGATCGCCGGTATCCTTACACTGTCCTCCGGCCGGTAGGAGAGGCTGAGGACGCGGGACTGCCGGACGCCACCGCTCAGAGACTCCATCCTAGCGTGCTGAGGATGTCCGTTTTCATTCAGCCACTGTCACCCGTGGTCGTCATCGTCGTCGTCGTCGTCGTCGTCGTCATCGTCGTCGTCGTTGTCGTCGTTGTCGTCATCGGAGGGGGATGGATAGCGGTGTAGGATGACATACGAGCGGGCGCGACACGCAAGACATCGACGAGCACACGCACACACACGAGGGACATCGGTCACGATCGTCTCGGTCGGGATCCGGACGATTCGGCGATTCGCAGGAGATTCGGGGGTTCAAGACGGAAGACATTAGGTGCAATCGGTAAAAACGACACACCGTGCATAAGTTAATACATGGATATCACCGTATACATTGTATGTATACACGACGCGCGTGTCTATCGCGATATGCAAATCCTTTGCACCCGGTAATGTTTCTCCGTATAAATCCTTCAATTTAGTTATCATTATCGAAAGATCTATGGTACTTTAAGTAATGCCGGGGAAATCCCCCACGGCGGAGGGGAATTGCATGCGCCCGGGTGTGCGCGGTCGGGTGCAAGGACATCGATTATCGGAGCGCGATAAGCCGCAGTTAGTTATCACGTTTGACGCTAAGTCGCACGAGAAAAATCGTTGGCCGCGCTGTTCCTTCCTGGCTGACTTTACAAACGGCGTTACGTTACCGCGAGGATTAAATCAGAAGTACACACAATCCCGAGACGCTGCAATAATCATGTTAAAAAAACTGCGCGATCGTTCGCGAGCGAAACTGAAATTCGTTTTATGAAACGTGACAGGCACATCTTCTTATTCTTAATTCTGACTTTACGACAAATTTCTACGATAGAAGGAACAGAAGATTTATGTGATAACACAGTAATTCTACAAGATCCCTCAAGGCGATGAGCTACCAGGTTAATTCCGAAGTAAATGGAAAATGTTAATTTTAATTGAGTCTTACTATCTACGCGGGAAAGAAAGTAGTACCAATAGACAGATCGAGGAAGAGAGTAGAAGGAATAGAGAGACGGAGAAAAATCTCTTATTTAACTATGCATTAATATAAAAACTGGCGTACCCCGTCAAATATGTCCATGACCTCGTCCCACCACTAGAATCACAGAATTAAACACAGTGTTATACTATGCGCTATCTAGAAGGAGTTACGGAAACATTTAGATTCAAATAAAAGGGGGTAATCAAATATCCGGACTCTTTCCATTTCCCATCTAAAATGTAGAAGGCGCTGAATGGTCTAAATAAATATTGTATGTCAAAGAAAGAATTACGAATTTCTCTAGAATAGATGTTATCAATTGTAATTACGGTTAAACATATAATATAATTACACAGTTCAGTTGAATGTAATTAAATATCGTAAATTAAAGAATTATATAAAGAAATGTAGTAAAGCCCGTTGCGGCACGTATCGATTTTAGATGGAAATTGGCACGATATTTAAACATAGGATCAACTACAAGCAGCGCTACAAAAGCTGTGTGAAAATCAATGGGAATTGTGTACTACGTGAAGCCGCAGAGTACCTCGAAGAATGCGGGATTCTCTCCATTCGAGGAATAATAAAAATTTATGTATGTAATCTCCATTATTTTCAGTAATTGCTCTTTCTCTCTCTCTCTCTCTCTCTCTCTCGAGGGACTCTGCGCGCTCTGAATACACGTGCGTGCTTGGTATGTACTGAGAACTGTGTCTGCGCTGTGTGTATGTACGTGTGTATGTTAAAGAAACGCAATAACACCGCCACGAGGACGGTGACAGAGAGCAAGAGCTCGCAATCAATTTAAACTCGTGATCGCCAAACAGAAAAGCTCTCAATAAACGGAGGAAACGTAATAAGTTGGCCGGTAAAAGCAATTCGTTTTATTTAACACGTTCGATTGGCGTGATTACCTTCCTTCTCGTCCGCGCGTCGTAAGTCGGCTAGAAGCAAAGCCATTTCAAACGATCATGTTCCAGGTGTGTGTTCCAGGTAATCTTGGGAATCTTTCGGAGAAATCGCGGTCGCGCCGCGTTCGCGTTTTCCCGATAAGAAAATAAAAAAAAAAGAGAGAGGGGGAGGGCGGCAAGAAAGATGTCTATGCGAATTTCTACTACCGCGACTGTCACTCGCTAGCGCAAAATATACGGCTCGACGTCGCGCGATATAAAGTGATATACTGCACGGTTCGATCAATTTCGCGATGTTACAACGAGATATATGACACCCCGACGGAGGGATGGATGGCCAATCTTAAGCTCTCGCGTTCGCGCGAGCGCGCGCACCCCCAACGTTAGTGTTAACCACGTGGCCAACTAAACTTTGCCTTTTTCGCACACATCTATCTAGCTCTTATATCTAAGATGGAAATCCACACGGAGCACGTTACATATACATGACATATACTTTTTACTCTACGTTACTTTACTTAATTAAGATTACTTAACGGGGGCGATCGGAAAGCGAAATACTGCCGTCGTTCTAGAAGATTCGAGATTGTCCCGTCAATCGTTACTCTTCGGACGAGCTAATAATTTCTACAACGGTGTCGTATGACCCAATCTTTCGATGTTATGGAAGAGGTGCGCTTTAATTTATATTACAGGCAAATCTGTCTACTCTCGAGTTAACGAACGATACAAGTCGCCGTACCTCTTTAGCTTCCTTCTCGGCGATCGACGAGTGCCCTGGTTCATAGTCCTCGATGCGGCCAGGCTGATTTTTATAAATATCCGTCGAATATTTCAGCGCCCCATTCCTGGAACGGAAACGTAAATTGCCCCCGTTACCGATAATTCTTAAAGAGTTTCATACTTTAAGATGTCAGTTTCTGTGAGAGGAACGATCCGTTTCGTCCGACTGAATAAAATTTGATCGAAGGATGAAAATCGAGGACACGCGAGGAGGGGGGAGGGGGAATTCGAACGAGGATCCGAGGGGCATCCTCGCGAGCGAGCCGCTGAAGGAAAAACAAGCGGGAAAGTTTTCCAAATTCTCCCTTACTTTCTGGGCATAGTCGCTGTGGTGAAGTCATTTTCTTTGTTGCGCAGCCGTCGACGGCTATCGAGAGTAACCGATCGATCCGAGTATGCGCGCGGTTCCGGTTCACTCAAATATCCGCTGCCGCTTCCGTATCCATATCTCCCTCCTGAAACAAGAGTGTTTCGTTTTTCGCATTTCGTTTTGCAGCCTGGGCTCTCCTATTCGCGGGCTCCCGTTTAGTTCTTCAGCAAAAAAAAATCTACCGGTAACCAAATAACGTTCAATTAACAGCGCAAACAATTCGGTGTTTACCGTTGGTTTAGTTCCTACGACGTTATAATAGAAATATCACGTTACGCAAACACATATATGCACACGCATACGCACACACACATTTCGCATTATGTAACATTAGTATATATATACATATATATATATACACGTTATTTGAGAATTAATTATCGAGAGATCTTCGGCATCGAAATTAAGGCACGATCTCGGCTTGGTTAAATTTTAATCGATCTCCCCTGCGAACGGGAGATTAAATTTTTGCCGCGGAAAGATCGATTCTGGGCGTGATGAAACAATCTAAAGACGAAGCGAAAGATCGGAGACGCGAGAACTTGAAATCAACTTTAAGAAGTTCCCCCGCGACAGAGCTCACGCCAACACCAAGAAGTTGTTCCGACTTGGCTTGATATATTCAACGAGAGCTCATACCACCGCGCCGGGATTCTCTAAATTCTACGACGTCCACAATTCGGGAGACGTCCAATCCGCGTGGAATCAAGCAATCTCTCGTAAGTTAAAACACACATATTAATAATCGAATCAACCACGGTGTGTTAATCTACGGTGTGAGAACCGTGTTGCTCTGCCGAGGAGAGGCAGATGTTAATTATCAGCCGGATGTTAGATAAGGGGTATATAATAGGCGCAAAGGTAGTCATTTGTATGTCCGTCGCAAATTATTTATTACTGCCTTTTCACGCTCGACTAGCGCAGCTGTTAAATCGGCGGAGTATATGTACAGCGACAATTGTTATCTTTTGCGTTACGCAGAAGGCCATACGTCAGCTGTCGATCTACGGAAGAGTGACAGGCACCCTGGCCGCGATATGTGCTTCTCGCTACGCGCGCGCGGAGGGATCGTCTCTCCGCCGCGCGCGCTTCACTTTACAGATATTAGTTACGCTGGTGTTGTTACACAAATCGCGGCTAGAGCGGCTGCGTTACGCAGCGCGCCCACGCGCCGCCGTAATATTAGTAGCAAAATGTCGCAATTCGAACCACCGCAGCGCGGTCATGCGCGCAAGTTGCATATTCACCTCTTCTTGATTTGTATTTTATGGTTACGTAGTCATCTGGAAGCAAAATCGTGGAATTATGCCGACAGCGAATCGCATCCCCGTTTGTCGAACTTTATAACGTGTTATTTATTCCGAGCGTGTTTGTCGGAGTGATATTAAATTCCTTATTTATCCCGCAAATAACAACAACATTATTAATTGGTATTGTGTGTCCGACGTTACGAAAATATGCGCGGACCATTGTTTATATTTCTCTCATCCCCGCAGTAAAAAAATTCTCTATCTAATAACCGCCCGTAATAACAAAACTTACCATTTCTATCCGCGCGGTGCAACGAGTCGTACATTTTCTTGTACCATTTCGCTTGATTGCTTTCCTTGACTTCCTAAAAGTAATTTATCGAGAGAGTACTGAGAAAAGTGCATCGCACGCGCCGTAACGTAAAAAACAACCACTCGTTTATGACGCGATGATAAAGAAAAAAAATTGCGATATAAACCATTTCTTCCCATACGATCGCCCGCCTGCAGGCGATCAGAAACTCTTTTTCTTTTTGTATTTTCGATTTACTTAATAATTAAGCGACCTACCGATCTCAACACGAGGGGAACACCCTCCCTAGTCACCGGGCCGATCCCCTCGAATTTTCGAGGGCCCAGATCGGCCATCTTCTTCGGCGGTTCATTCTCCTTTTCCGGCTCACTCTCGTACTCTTTCTTCAGCGTGTAGACTGAACGGATTCAATTTCACAAGAAATCATTAGCACTCGCGTACGCAGTCGGATAATAGGTCGAACACGTAACGTAACGTAATTAGACACAGCTAGTTAGCGAGCGTTAGTGATAAGGTACAGATACACGGACTTTCGAAAAATCGGTGTACGTTTGTACTGGGCGGCTTTCATATAAAAATTATCCAATCGTAATGTAATAATCGTAATGCTGTAACGTTCGAGATATAACGTTAACTTACAACTGACCGATACTTACTTATCTCTCCCGGCGAAATTAATGGTCTCTCGTCGCTCAACGGTCGCTTATCGGCGAATGCGCTCTCCTCTAAATAAGCTGCTCCTTTCGGCAATTGTCCCTCTGCAATGAAAACGCAACAGCGGTTAAGTCAACGAGAGAAAGAGAGAGAGGAAAAATTGTGATTCCGCGAATCTTGAGCGTTCGACCACATTCGACCTCTGCCACCGAAGAGCAGAGATGACCTCTCATAATGGGTGCTGACCTCGCGCTTTCTGCAGCAACGTGATGGTCGGATTCTGTGCACGTGGCAGTCGCGGCGTGGACGCGAGCGCGTTCAATCCCTGGGAGGGTGCCGAATGCGAATTCACGATTCGCGAGATGCCGCTCTCCTTCCTCTCCTCCTCGCCTTCCCAGGGCGGAGGCGCCTTCTTGAACAGAATTTTCGCGCGTGAGCGCGTAACCCTTGAACACTCGATGGTGCGAGAAGTTGAAAACCATTTGAATAAAGCGACTATGCATATTAATTTTTGTCGTTTTCTTTGCAAAGAAATTTTTTTTTATTTATTACTGAAGAAATCGTCAGGATCGGATTTTGCTTTAAATTCGTTCGTGAAACTTAACAATTTAAACTAATCGATCGCGAGTACAGTTTTAACGCCGGCGTATAAATAGCGTCTCGGCATAATTGACTGGCGACATACCTCTTCCTTGGGCTGCCTCTTCCGGCTCAGCACAGGACTCTCGAACGGCACGGAACGAAATTCCTTCCTCTCAGCGACGGGGCTCGCGCCAGCGCTGGCGGGGCTCCAAACCGACGGGATCGGCTCGCACTTCTGCAGTGGTTCTTTGGTACGTTCCGGACTCGGTGCCTTCTCAGCTGGCGTTTGTCCTGGCGACCAAACGCCTGGCAACGAAAATTCGCTCTTGAGAATGTAATCGACACACACGTGCCCACGTGCGGCTTTGTTAATCAACACTCAATGTCAGGCAAATGCGGTTATATCGTCGGACGGACTACAGCAACAGTCTTGCTTAAAAAAGGAGGTCAGCCCGATCGATTTACCTATATACTTCCTATAAATGCAATAAAGGTTTCTGCCATTTTTAAGTTCGCCGTTTTACAATTGTAATGTATCGCCCCCGATGTAGAAGCTAATTGAAGGAAGATTGCCAATAAAGGAACAAACTCGGCGGAAGGTCTTTGCTCCTGAAACAGCTGCGCTGCTGTGGATTTGGTAGATTGGCGCTAAAGCTAACATATGAAATGTATACGGGCGCGATGCTAATCTTGGCACACAAGGGGGGGGGGAGGGAGGAAGGGGGCAGTATTACATAAGGGATCGTCTTTTTCCCGGCTATAACTTCCTACATTTTGCCACGTCACCACGCCCATCACCAATTTGAATCCGTTTAAAAACGGTGCTTTGACGTAAACGATTTGTTAAAACCCCTCCGCAACGAGTATATGTTAATCGCGTGTACGTTCGCGGACAATCTGGCAAGAGGTAAAGGGTATATTTCTACAGCGCCGTTTCCTAACGTCGGAGTATTTTTTTAACGAGCGGTTAACAAAGGTTTTATTAACTCGTTACCGCGGTCCAAATACGAACGAACGCTGCTGCGTGTCGCAACCGTCGTCGGCGACATAAACGAAGCTATTGACGGGTGACTACGCTCGAATGTCAGAGACGGAGGAGAGGAGGGGGGGGGGAAGGGAGAGAGGGGGAAAAGGGACAACGTTTACAAGCACGATAAAGATACATCGCCGGCGCGATGAGTCAGGCACATACGCCCGTCGGAATTGAACCTCTCGGCCAATTTGCAGAGCCGTATCTCTCCTCGCGGTCGCGCGGCGGCAACAGGAAATCAGGGTTGGTTTCATTTGGGACGCGCGGGTAAAATTAGAAGCTCGCGTGGGCGGCGTTAGGTATTATGAGATACGCGTAATTGCAAATTGGCCGAGAACAGCCTGAACACAATGCCGCGGCGCGGCGCGACGCGTTTTCTTGCGCACGACACGTTTTAGCGCAGACACGTTTCACGCACGAATTCCACGTGCATCGGCCAAAAACTCCCGTGATCGGGCACGTTGGAGACATCAGGGAAGCTGCGCGAGATAGGGATCGATTTCCCGTTAGACGAGTCATTTGGGACGCGCGAGCGAAACATCTTCGATACGCGCGACCGCTGAGATAACGTAGGTACACGTATTATTTCTCTATCCGGGGAGAGGGAGGGGGGATATGATAATTGATGTTGCATACACGCTACAACCTACGATACCGCTACGATACAGTAGCGGCTATACATTTTCGCTAATTGCAACGTACGTGCGATTAATCAACGCTGTCGCGGCGACGCCAGCTGCATCCAGCGCGTTTCGAAACGTCAAAAACATCGAATTGCCATCGTTTTTGGATCGTTTGTACCGACGTACTCGCAACCAACACACCGCGGCGGTGGTGCAATTAGTCGAAACGCCGATACCGTAAGGTAACCGACGTTCTCTCAGGTAACTGAAATTAATGCGCGCCTTATTCCTCCTCCCTGGACAAATTGCTGTACGAGATTACGCGTATTACTACGCGGAAAATACGTGCGCTGCAGAGACGCGTACGTGTGCCATGGCAAAGACTTAATTACGATCTCGCTGCTAAGAACACACACGCGGGCCCTTTTCCCTCCCGACACACAATGCGACCTACATCCCACACGTAATTAATTTTATCGCATCTTCGGAACGCGGGCGATGGTTAACGTAATAGAGGTACGCTCCTCTCCCCGATGGCAATTCCATTTCTCTTATCGCGTCGTTCGTCATCCAGCTACACTGGCTCCAATATATTCGAAAAGTTAATTAATTAATTACCGAACGTTTCTAACGTAATTAATTACCGCCGTTAAAAAAAAAAGTGTTAATAGACAGATGCTCTTGTAGCCACTCGGGCAACAGATATTAATATTTCAGACTCCTGCATCTCCAGTCATTATGCAAGATGCACGACGACAACGAAATTATTCTGTTAGTTTTTCGTCACACATTCCTCGCGCAGGTTTACCTGGTTTCGCCGACGAGGCTTTAAACGTGGGGGCAAACATAACGTTCTCTGAAAGCATTAAACAACATTTTGTCAAACAAAATGTCTCGGGTTTTTAGTCGTTTCGTAAATCGCATATATATGTTTTTAACAAATTTTTTTTAAGGCGTATCTCGCGATTTTTCTTTATCAATTCGTACGTTCGCGTGAGAGTTTTTTTTTCAACCTAAACCATTAACTATCAAACGCGAAATATCTGGATGCCTTATCGCGGGTCAACACTGCGCGACGCAAGGCTTACATTACGCCGCGCCGCGTCCAATACCGTCTGGAGGGCTCTTCAAAGTTACTTTCACGATGGAAACCGCCGCGATTCATTAATATAAAAGCGATCTTGATGGACTACCGCGAAACGAGCGCAAAGAGAGGAATAAAGCCAAGTGGATTGCCTTATTCTACAGCCAGACTAAAAGTGTAGTCAACGCCATGATGCATTTCGAAAACTCGATCGTATAATTTGCGAGGATTGAAATCGGGATTTAACCGAGTCATTCACACTACTCTTTACGACGCCTCTCTTCAATATCTTAAAATTAAATTAATTCCTCTCACGTCTAATAGACTTATTTGTCTTTGCCGTTTCCTCGTATTTTCCCGTGAATTTTCTCACCGACTACCTGAAAGACGATAATTCGAGAAACGCTCGCAGTATCCTTTCCTGAAAATTCCCTCCGGAAGGATTCGCGAGTTTCGAGCTTCCTCCGCGATCGCGGAACTACCTGTTGAAGAAATTCACGAACACCTACTCGCGCCTTCGCCCCTCGCTACCCCTCGATAATGCGTCAACTTTCCCGAAAACGATCACTCACTTTTCTCCAACATCGCCACTTTACGATCTTTCAACGACCCCTCTCTTTCTTTTTTTTTATCCGACCGCGGCACCGCGTATCTCGATGGGACACTCTTCACTCGGGCGGAGGCACGGGGAGGTAGCACGGTAGGTGCCAGCCGACTGAGGCGTCGCGACGCCGACGAGGCTCGACGCCACGCCGCACGACGCTCACTACGCCGACGTCGATGACGGCGCTCATCGCGTTCGAGGCTACTCTATACGAAATCCCGAGCCCACCGCCAACCAGCCGGGCTATACATATACGTGTATATAACGTTTGCTTTGGAAGATGGATCTGAATTTTCTCAATCTTCAGTCTGACGTTAAAACAAAGTAACATTAAAGTGAAATGAATGACGCGTTCAAAGTTTCATATAGTTCATCTGGAACATCTCGATCTTTCGGTTAGACATTCGGTTAGATGTCTCTCGGTTGGTTAGTATTAATTAATATTTTTTTGCAAATGATGTTTCGTTGCAAAGAGTTTAATGAGAGAAAATGATGCTTTCCGCAAAACTGTGTAACGCATGCTGTCAATAATAAAGCAAAATTGCAAACGCACCTTGCTCAAGTAGAAATCCCCTGCCGATTCTCAAAGCTTTGTCGATCTCGTGCAGCAAATCGCTTCGATTCCTGTCTCCTCCCTTCGCAATGGCATTGCGGCCGCTCCCTTTGATTAAAAAAGCATGCCCATCCGCCAAAGAGAAAAGAAAAAAAAAAGAAAGAAAAAGATGCGGTAAATTCAATTTCGAGCAGCAACGCCTGTTAGCAAGAGATGCAAGCCAGAATTTTCCGCGAACGGCAAAAGAAATTCGATGCAAAATATCTTGAAATATTCGTTTGTAAAAAAAGAATTGACGTATCAATTGGCGCAGACGTATACAAATAACTTGTATCCACAGGAGGATGCCTAAATTCGCACATTTAGCCCCGACGGGACGCGGGCTGTGGCTAAACTTTCGTGCTAAAGTTAGAATAGAAAATAAACGGGCGCTTCGGTAACCGCGCGTCGAAAGGTTCACGAGACTTACGAAATACAAATAACCGCGGTGAGTTAATAGTAATAGACGTTGCGACGTCCGCACGCCTGGCAATATGTCAATAAAAATTAACATTGTTTCACGGACGAGCTGATTCTTGTCCGAATATCGATCTGTTATACGTCTAACGTGTCCGCCGTATTCCACATATTTTTGTTTCCCGAGCTGCGAGAACATTGATTGGCGTCAAAATGTTTGAGCAAAACACGCACTCGTGCCGTATTGTAATATATTCATAACATGTTATATATCGCAAACAAGGGGCTGAAAAGATTTTAAAAAAAGCGAGCATGCGATGCAGTCAAAAAGCGGTTTCAGATGAGATGTGAAGATGACTGATTTCATTATCGAGATACATATATCGTAGGATCGTCATTTAAGCTAATTAAAATACAGACACGATTGAAGCTTTTGACAAAGTAAAAATTTTCGAACCTCATAAAAGAGAGAAAAGTATTCAAAAATATCCGTGTTCTCGAATGCTAAGTAAGAAGCTCTGTGGATTATTCATCGATTGATCGCGGTGAAACTCCGAAATATCGCTGTCGATCGATTTTTAATCGTAGACAGAATAGGTACACGGACAATTTAGCGGACAAAAATTCTCAGTCATCACGAAAAACGATCTCAGGACAGCGCGGACCAGCGGGCCAGTAGGCCACGTCGCGCGAGTGATTCAAAATAGCTGAAAACAAGACGGTGGTTCCGGCGCGCGCGCTGGCCGAAATGGCGAACGCGTCCTACGAGCGAGTGGCCTATTTCTCGTCGCGGTGTCTTATATTTAGATTCCCATCCTCCAATGAATCACGCGCGAACGCCGCGGCCCCGAGCGATCGCGGGACGAAGGAACGAGTGAACCGCAGGCCAGTACCCTACCATCGTCAGACGTGATATGATCCAAATGACCACGTTATACGTTGACAGAAAAGACATCGTGTCGAACAGAATTTTGTGGGAGCTTTAAATGACAGTAAATCGCGTTGTCATCTTATTATTTGCTCGTCGAGAAAAGGGAAGTGGTCTCTGAATTGCTCGCGGTATTAACGATGACAAGATTAAACATTCCGCGACTAATCGGCTCCGGGGAGCCGACGCGTAAAGCGACATGACGCAATTTGATAGCCTCTGTGCCACCGGCGTTGATATTCGTTATCGCAAAACTGTCGCGGTTCATTATCCGCGACGCTGTCGCGGCGCCGCCGAACGCGAATGGTTAACGCAATAATTTTCCGTGGCGTCGCTTTGACGATGAATCGATCGCCGTCTCGGAATAAATGCCGAAATATGTAACGAGCAAGCGCGTCACGGTTGCGCGCGTGTCGATCGCGTGCCGGATTTATGTCGCGGGATATTAAATCCCGCTATACACGAGCGACGCGCGCGCGAGCGCAGCCCCCGCCAGGCGAAGCCGCGCGCGACGGAGAGGAAGGCGCGCGTAAATACACGTATTCATTTGTAGTGTCACGTTAAACTCGCGCGTTTCGCGATACAACGAGATTTATTATTTATACAAGACTGATCGTTGCGAGACGAGTTATTAATCGGATTACGGAATTGGAGCAATCTGTGGACCGCGCGATTATGATGCTGCGCGCGCGCGCGACCTGCGCCAACGCAACGTGCAAATAGATCCTCCGCGCGCTCCGTTCGTTGCGCTGCCGCTTTAATGCCGAGAACTAATCTCGTCTTCGTAGCCGTGTAGGAAAACAGTACTCAAGACAGTAATGAGATTTCCGTTTCGACGTTACAGCCTGTCTCCCATATATTGAGAAAGTTCGCTCGGGCTACGATAGCTGAAGCGATCCGACGAAAGCGATGACATTTACCGGCGAAATTCCCAATTTTCCATTGAATTTTAACAATTTTAATAAAGAGCCGCGATATTTTAAATTTTACTGCTCGGTTTTATTACACGGAATCGAAAATTCGTGATATTAAAAAAAATATTTCAATTATTTCATTCAATTGCGAGATGAATGTTGTCGCTTGTCAATTTTATCGCTGCTTTCAGTCTTTTTAAATCACATTTATTAGAAACGGGTGTTCGTAAAAGGGACATTACGCCGGCGGGTAAACATTAATTGAAGATTAATTATGTATCCTTCCTGCAATATTTTTTTTGTCCAACAGTCCTTTCGTATCGTTGGCACCAGGCGGATAGATAGAGAGAATTAGCATAGTACCAAGAACGTTAGTGACGACAAACACTAAGGCATCTACGGACGTCGGGCAAAGATGCGCTTTACGTTAGTGGTTATTAAAGGGCGTCCCTCGGCGGGACACCGAGAGTCCAGGACGGATCGTTCGACCTCCGGTCGGGACACTCTTTTTCTTTCTTTCAGCAGCCATCAATCGGCACCAATCATCATCGCAACACGACGAGCAACACAGCAAAAATCCATCGTCCATTCCATTCGCCGTAACTCACCGCCCTCCTCGTCGTCGCTCATCGTGGAGATCTTGAGGAACTCCCGCAGATGCTGCGGCAGCTTCCGCACGTCCCGCAGCTCCTTGCCGTCTATTAGGAATTTCGCGCTGATCAGGGCGTCGCCCTCCTCGTCCTCGTGTTCCGTCCCGCTCTCGTCGAGATTGATCCCGAACTTGTTTAGCCGGCTGCGCGCCTTCTCGATGAACTCCCTCGCCATCGCGCTCATGTCCTCGCCGTCCGCTTTGCGCTTGATGTCCTCGTGCGTGCTGAGCTTCACGACTTTGTGGCTCTTCCGCTCCTGCCGCTCCAGCACCTTGTGCACGTACTCGTCGTACATCCGCTGGCGAAACGCCTCCCCGTTCGTCGGTAACGTCGTCGGTCTCTTCACCTCGGCGTTCTTACGCTGAGTCGTTCTCTCGGCGAACACCTCGGAGCCGTTCCTCGGTGCTCCCGTCGATCGCGCTTCCGCGCGACGTTCGTTAACTTCGCCCTCGCGGGGCTTAATCGCTCCGTTTTCCGCCGCCCTCCCCGAGTTTCCCTTCTGCGTGATCACGCGGCGTTCCTCACGCTCGATACTCTCCGAGGATTCCTCCTCGTGGCGCCCGTTCCCGTGGCATACCTTCTTCAGGAATTGCCGATTGCCCGTTTTATCGATCGTCTCTATACGATCCTTTTCTACATTCCGCGATTTTTCTTGCCAGGATTCCTTCTGAATTCCCGGTTCGCTTCGACAGACCTCTTTGAGGTGTTTCTCCTCGACGCCTCGAGGTTTCGCTCGCTTATCTTCCGCACATTTTCTGTCCATCATCTCACGGACGTCGATCGGAATTTCACGTTCGAGATTTGCGCTAGTTTTTTTCGAGATCTCCTCGGGGATATTAGCGAGAGACGATCTCCTCGTATCGTCGCACTGTTTCGTTCGATGAAAATGCGTTTGGAATTCCTCGTAGGCCCGTCTCTCCTCCTCTTCCGCTAGCAACACGTTCTTCAGTTGCTCCTCCAACAGCTCGATGTACCTCAGCTGCTGAGCAAAGTATTCCTGAGGTAACGAGCGACCGCTCCGGTCGCCGTCGAGTCGCCGCGACGTTTCAGTCTGCAGCTCTTTCAGCTTATCCATGATCTCCACGGCGGCCACGTGCTTCAGTTTCTCCGCCTCATGCTGCCCTCTTCGCGGCTCCAGACGACTCCTCGGCGGATTCTGGTCGAAGATGCTCGTCGTGTCGATGCACGATCTATCAACCGTGACCGGTCGCTTCGGCAACGGCGGCACCTCGAGTCTGTCGTCGATCAACGCCGGATTCACGTGCCTGCCGAGTTCGGCCGCCCTCCTGAGGGGCGGCGTCCTCTTGTCGTTGGCGTCCATCGATCGATCGGTACCGTTCGGCACGAACGGACACTTAACGTTATTCGCGAGCAATCTCTCCGAATCGCGGGTTATCGCCGCGTTGTTGCCCGCCAACGGTCGGGGTCCAGCCTGGGCGGTGGAACGTGTCGCAATCTTAAGCCGATCGAATCGGGCCACGTGACCGTTTGGCTTATCATCGCTCGATTCCCCATCCTCGCCCCTCGTCGTCGCCAGGAATAGCTCGTCCGCGGTGGCGCTTCGGTGATCACGTCTGGCTGGATTCGACCAGTCGCTCGGCCGAGGCTCGGCCTTGAAACACTCTTGATCCCCGCGCCCGAAAGAGTCGCGCGTGGCGTCATCGATTATCGTCTTCGTCTGCTGATCCGCGAGTGTATCGTTTCGAGAGCCGTTTCGCTCTTCCTTGATGATCTCCAACAGCCTGCTGCCGGAGCTCTCGATTGCGGTGTCTCGACGAGTCGCTCGAGTGGTCGGCTTGTGCGTTTTCGCGGCATCGTTCTCCTTGATCGGACGAATCTCCACTCGGTACTGCGGCAGAGGAACGCAATGCGGCTGCTCCTCGCGATAACTGTACCGGTTCAGGAACTTTCGGTGAAGGTCCAGCAGAGTGTCGGCACTCGTGCGCACCTGCGTGGCCTGCTGCGACGGCGACAGGCACACCAGAAGCCTGGGGTCCTCCGTTGTGGTGAGCGCGCGCCACCGTGGCTCCCGGCACTCCATCTCGCTCTCCGACGACTCTGACAACTCAAAATTAACGTTCTTCGACTTGGCCTGGTCTGAAACAGCGTTCGCAATGTCGTTAGGACGAGGCCGCTCGCCCTCGTCCGGCGCTTTCGTTAGTCCGTGCAGCCGTCGATCACTCACTCCATGCATCGAGTTTAGTTTTCGGGCGTTATCGCGCCGTCGCGCGCTCACCGGCGTGTCACTCACAAACCTCTGCAGAGTCCGCAAACTCTCGAAGATGTTGAACTTGGGCGTGGTGATCTCGCCCATCACCTGCGCACCATACGGCATCGACAGAATCCTCTCGACGCAGAGCTCCCTCAGGGAAGGTGGCTGTCGCGACACGTCTTTCTCGAGAGTCTTCACGGAGACCGCTTCCTTCGACGGCGCACGGTAAAGATCCTCCGCGGACGAACGAGGAATCTGCAGCTGCGGCGAACTCTCTCCCGGTGTCACTTCGTTCGCAGATCCAGCTCCCGCGCTTTTCAGCAAGGCGAGCTTCCGCTTCAGGGATTCCTCCACTTCGTTTCTCAAGTTCTCCTCCCTCGTCTCGCGGACGATCGCGCTGATGTCGCTCAACGACGCCTCCAACGGGCGATGCTTGACGGTGTTGAAGGACGTGGTGCTGCTGGACGAGTCGTGCCCTTGAACGTCGCCCAGCTCACCCTCGAGCGAGGGACTCCCGCTCACCGGGGCCTCGTCGTCGGACGAATTCCTCGCGTCGCTCTCACGGGACGAGCTGCGCGTTTCTTCCTTCTCGCACTTCTCCTCGCGCCTCTCCTCGCGCTTCGACTCCCACGTCGAATACTTTGAATTGCGTAGGCCATCGTGCTGGTTACCGCTCGTGCTCTCCTCGTGTCGTTCGATTATTCTCGTCTCCGACGTCTCGCTTTTCACTACTCGCTCGCGCCGAAAGCCGGACTTCTCGCTCTTCCCGTTTTTTCCCTCGGGTTTTTTCTTGCTCTTCGAACCGGAGGTACCCATCGTCGTCGACTTGTCTCGCACCGAGGAATCCGTACGAGCGTCTGATTTGTCGCACCTCAGTGACTCGTGATACACCGCGGTGGAATTCTTCCCGTCCGAATTCGCGGTCTGACCCGAGGGATACCCGCACACCTCGGCCTCGCCCTCCTGCCGGCACGACGACGCGTTTCGATCATATGCCGCCGGTGCAGCGGGCGTCGCAGATTTCCCTTCCTCGCGACGCGTTATTTCCGTGCCCGTCGCGCTTGCCAACGCGACGACGTGCGTGCCGCCGGTGCCGCGCGAGCGTGACAGATCATCGTCGCGAATACCCGATGACGCGATCGATCGACCGCCCCCGATCGAAATTTCGGCGCACCCGGTCGCGGCGTCCGCGCGTCCGACCCGATTTACACGGCCGAGAATCTCGTTAGCGCGATCCACGAACGTCGAGACGAGGTCGCGCGAGCACGACGAAAGATCCGCGCCATAAATCGCCCGTCCGGTCCCCGACGTGGACGAGCTCTCGCGAGTTCCGGGAAGCTCCGGCCGTCGTGGCGGCTCGTCGTCCGCGGCTTCACGACTCGCGCGCTTCCGCGCGGATAAATTCGTCGACCCACCGTACGCCGCCGCGACGGACGGACGCTGATGTACGTTCGCGCCGCTCGAGATATAGTCTATTTCAGGTGGCGTCGGCGGTCTCTGAGGCTCGCGGCCGAAACTGGACGACCTCCTCGGTAGCGGCGGCGGCGGCAGCGGCGGTCGCTTCGTTTCCGACGGGGTTACTTCGCACGGTGACGAATTTGAGGATGAATCAACTACGACCACGTCGTCCGCTCGCGACGCGCCATGATTAACGATCGCGCGCGTCTCGATGGAATCTTTTCGAGGAACATCCTCTGATTCCGCAGGTGCCCCGACTTCAGGCAAGAATTTATTATCTTCCGCTTTACCTACATCTGCGCCACTGATATCACTTACAGTCACGATACTCGTCACGTTTTTTCCCGCCTCCTCCGCTTTATTATTTTCCACGCCAGCGTCTCCCGCGGTATCATTTTTCACAATCTCAATTTTCTCAACGGTACAACAGTCCCCGAGCTCTAAACTATCTCGCGTCGCGTTTGCTGCAATTTCCACGGATTCGCCGTTCGAGATGTCGTTTCTCGCATCCACTTTTTCGCTCGTCGTTTCGGCCGCAGGATCGGTACTCCTTACTACCTCGGTTTCGGGACTCGCGACGCTTCCGACCGAATTGGCCACGACGTTTTCAATCTCCTCGCGATTGTTCGCTTTATCGCGCGAACGTAATTCCGAAGTGTCACTCTCCGTCGTATCAGTCCTAATCTTAATATCGAATTCCGTCTTCCCGGCAGCCAGTTCAATCTCCCCGGGATCAACGCTTCTCGCCTCGACTTCATCCACCGCCGTCCTCTCGACGGAACGCCTGTCTTCCCGCCGGTACTTGCTGATCTCCTCGTTTATGAAATCTCGAATGTGCTGCGCCTCGTCCTCCGACAGTCGTTCACCCTCCTCCTGTATGATGTCCAGAAAGCTGCTGGCGTAATGCGACGCCGACATCGTGCGCCTCCTCGTTTTCCGGCGCGACGACCCGGCCGCTTTTTCGCAGGATCTGCTTCCTTCCGCCGCAAAGTCCTGCAGGACTTTCTCGAGTGATCTTCCCTCGTCCTCGATTACTTCCTCGGAGAAACTCGGCAATTGAAGGTCCTCGATGAAGTTTCGCAACTTTTTCTCCACGTCTTTAGGCATCACCGTGGCCCACATCAAAGTCGGGGATTCCGCTTCCGGTTTGGAAAACTTTTTCAGCGGCACGAATTGCTGGTCGATTCGATCCCTCGGTTTAGATACCTCGCGAGCCTCAGAGTCCTCACCTCCAATCGATTCCTTCTCCGCGTCGGATTCGAACTCGACGATCGCTGACCCACAGTCGGCTTCCGAATCGCTGTCATTGACTTCTCGAATTTCCAATCGAGTCTCATTCGCTCGTGAGAGTCTGGTCTTCGCGTAGCCGGGAGGAGACTGTATTGATTCAATCGGCTCCGACACCGTCACTATCGTCGATTCCTTCGACGCTCTGTTGCCACTTCCGGTCTCCAGGATGCCCACCCCGGCGATATGACTGATCGTCGCCTCCAGAGGTAAACTACTGACGGTCGTGATCTCGATTATTCTGGGAGACGATGCCGCCAGCTCGATCTTCTCAATTCTGCAGCGCTTATCGTCCGACCGGAATCTGCGTCCGCGATCCACGTCCTCGGTCGAATCGACGCTCTCCGAAACGGGACTCTCCGGGACGAATCCGGAGTCGCTCGTCTTCGAGTCGTCGTCGTTGTCGTCGTCGTCGCTGACATTAATGCGCTTGTTTCTCGAGGTCGTCGGGCGATTCTCTTCCTCGGGCTTCGCCTGTTCGGCCTTTCGCGAGGATTCCGTGACGTTCACCGGTGGCTGAGGCTGAGGCTGTCGCCGTCGGTTCCGATTCCTGCGGCTGCGGTTGCGGTTACGCGTATTGCCCTGCGGCATCGCGGCACAGTCCTCCGCGTCGGTTGCGTAATCCGGAAGATCGCAGTGTCCTACGATGTCGCAAATTTGTTGGAAAAACTCGTATCGCGCGTTCACGCACGACGTCCTGTTTCTTTCTCTCTCTCTCTCTCCCTCTGTCTTCTCTTTCTCTTTCTCTTCTCTCGCAGGAGTCTCGTCGGAAATATCGCGCCGCGATCGTTTCACGACAACTTCTCCGACCTCCTCCGTTTTCTGTTTCTCCCCCGTTCGCTTTTACCTAATATCCGCCGCGAGTTTCCCACGACTCGGGGATTTTTCTTGCGCGCCCACGTACGTGCGTTTGACGCGCCCTTATTTTCACGTTTAAAGACGACGGCTCGTTACGATTTTCCCGCATCCTCCGAAGAGGAGCAACGGGATTTGAAAGTTTCTGAGAGTATTACGAAAAGATGTTACCGTATAGAACTGCATTTTGCAGAAAGTTACAGCCTCAATCTCTCCCACGAATTTCTATTGGACACGAAACGTCCCATTCTGTCTTAAAGAAAAGATAGGAAAGATACTGAGATTAAGATGGTTACTTTTATTTTATTTTTCTTAGTCAACTAAAGTTCTCAAGATTTTGAAGATCCCGAAGATTTTCTTCAGTTTAGATACAGTCTCGATTCTTTAACAATTTCTGCATGCATCTCAATATACCCTTCGAATATTTCCGTTCCGGAATTCACGAGGAAATTTATCGTGCCAATTTCTAATGCACATCGCACGCCTTTCTCTACTCAGATCTATACTCAGATTCCGAGTTTCCTTTTCACGCGAGACAATTCTCGACAGGCTTTTAGAAAGATCGTTCCAAACAATCGCAATCGCAAGATGACGCTTAATGAAGAAAAGAAGGAAGAAGATATCGTGATACAGATATGTAGATACAGTGTTTCAGCGATCATGCAGAAATATAAGCGTGGTCCAGCCCAGCATTCCCAAATATGTATTCTCGGTTTGCCGATAACGAGACGATCTCTTACCTTTCTTAGCGTCGCTTTGTTGTTCGCTCGGGCAGCTCTTCAGAGCGCCGTTCTGATTGGCGTAGCTCTGCTCGACTTTTGTGTCATCTGAAAGAAACGGTAAGACGTTGCAGTGAACAGCGTGAATATCGTCTCTCGGAAACGTCTTATTTATTAAAAACTCGCGACCGCGAAAGCTATTAAAAACTATTTTTTAAATATATATGAAATTAGATGACAGAATTTAAATTTAGATGACAAGATTTTAAATTTCGGGCAAAACGGTGTAAGTACGAATTACGTGGTTCAGCGCTTCAATCGACGGACTCCTCGACACGTCACATTTTTATGATAGGCTCCGTAGACGCGAATCGATTTACGTTCTCTCGCACCGGTACCGGTCAATCGGCGAAAATCCGCGAGTGCACGCGCGGAATATGACGACCACGAGCGCGGAGCGTCGCGCGTGCACGAGGCACGAACGAGCGCGTTAAATTTAGGCGAGAATTCCAACGACAACGACGACGACGACGGCGGCGGCGGCGACGACGACGACGACGACGCCCATGTTAACCGTCGACCAGCCGCGACTCAACCGCGACACAACACCGCGACCTGTAGGATACGTGAATCGCGATTATGCACTGAGCCACACGAGTAGACCCAACGAAACCACCCACGAAACGCGCTCGCGTTTCCCCACCCATTTGGAGTCACGTGTTTCGTGCACGCATATCCACGTCGATCCAGGTGAATTTGTATCGCTCACACACGTGGACGATTACGCGCGACCGTACGAGCGAGACTTTCAATACCGTCACCCGTCATCGTCGGTGTCGGAAATCCACGATCGCCCGTGTGTATCGTTCGTGTAGAGCGGGGCCCAAACTCTCTCAGGGCCGCTCTATCCTCGGAAAGATAGTCGACGTTAGGAGCGTTTTGCGCTCGAAGCGCGAATCGCTCCGGCACTTAGGTGCGCTGACGGCGGAGCACCGTGCAAGCACTCGACAATTTTGCGAAAAATCCTGCAGAGAGAAACGTGTGTAAGCTTATCAGCGGGAAGGACTTAGACAACTCACACACACTCAGTAATAAATGAGTCAGACAGCGGATTCTGTATATAGGCAATAATGTATTTGATATAAAGTTTCGTCTCACAGAATCACTCTCAGCGAGAATATATACATATCTCGCGGTCGGGCAACTCACACCCTTCGAGATACTCCGATTTACTTGTACGGTACGCTCACCGTCTTTCTTTCTCTTTTGCACGCTCGCTTCCGAAATTCCTGCCTTCTCTTCGCGACTCAAAACTCGACTCTCCCGTTCGGCCCGCTTCCCGCGCAACCCTCGCTCCCCTTCCCGTCTTACTCCGAAATTCGCGGAGTCACCTGCGATTGTCGCTCTATCTAGAGCA